CAAGGGAGGCTGAGCCTCCTCTCATAAGTCATAACCTGATAAGGCCACTGCCCTCAGGGACTTTGCATTCTAGTGTAGGAAAACAGACTGCAAACCTGTAAACAAGTAAGCAAATAAAATCATCTCAAATAGTGACAAGTACTAAAAAGAAATTGAAAAGAAGTACGTGACACGCCTGGCAGGTAGAAGGTCTACTTCCAGAGAGGGATCAAAGGAAGCTTTTTGAGGAAGTAGCATTGGGCTGGGCTTGGAATGAATGATAAGATGCTAGGGGAACAGCCTTTCTGATAGCAAGGACCTCAGGGAAAGAGCCCTGAAGCAGGCCTAGCATGGCCAGTTAAAAGGCAGGAGGAAGAGTGGACAGGCTTCAGCATCGAGAACAGAGCCAGGAACTGTGTGAGGTCAAGAGTGGGCAGTGGCTGGGCCAGGTAGGCTTTTGCAGGCCAATGAGTATTTGTGGAATGCATTAACTCCCTGAGAAGTAGAAACCAATTTTAGTCAAATTAATTATGTAGCTATTGAGAGGGTCCTGAGGAGCTGGAGGAAACAGAGGGAGTCAGGAGTGGCCTAGGAGGCTGGAGGGGTCACAGGCCCAGTCCCAGAACCTTGGCTGTGAGAATGAGTTTCAGCCTGATCCTCAGGCCCTGGCCAGCCATGGGAGGGTTTTAGGCAGGGTGACATTACCTGGATTTGCACTTTAGAAAGGTAGGTAAATAATGCCTCACAAACACCTTCCATGTGTCACACACTCAGCCTTTAATCCTCACAACCCCATGAGGTGATGGGGTGGCATTCCAGCACTTCCCCACCTCTGCCACATAACAGTGGGGATTTGAGAAGCCAAGCTCATGAGCTCAGATGAGCAGGAAATTGCCAGAAAAAAATAGGCCCAGTTCCATGGTGCTCCCACAGATCCTCTTACAGTGACTTGTCTCTTCTAGGATCCCATCAGGCTCCTTGGAAAGTGCTTCTACTTCCGAAGCCAACCCTGAGGAGCACCACCACTCGGCCAGCTCTGATCAGGACCCTGTGGCAGACAGGGAGGGCAGCCCAGTCTCCAGCAGCAGCCCCTTCCAGCTCACGGCCTTCTCTGATGAAGACATTATTGACTTGAAGTAACAGAGTTCAAATCTCCTTTGCCATCTTTAATTTTCTTATTGAGGTTTATACTCTTTAAACAGTTCTGATGTCATTTCTCAACAAAATGTGGCTTTTAGCCTGTCAGTTGGACCAAACCTTCTGCACACTCGGCCAGTTTGGGTCCCTCTCTAAGGTCCGGTGCCATCTTTCTTGATCTTTCTTTTTGTTCAGGAAACATCAGTCCCCTTGTAATAAAGGTGGTAATTTCATTGAGGTTTTAGATTGAAACTTTGAATAAATCAAAAATATTCATTCTTATTTACTGCAACCTTCTATGTTATATTCTTAGAGGGAAAATTAGTTTTTCATTACAGTTTTGATTTATGTCACATAATGTGTTTCTTTTATAAAGAAAAGTTATTGCTTTTTAACTTTATTATAAGTAAGTTCTCTTTCTGCACCTTTGGCCCCGGTTCCTGTTTCAGTTCAATGTGATTGGAACCAGCTATATTCCTGCCTATAGACTTTTGAGAAAAGCTGAATGGTTAGATCTTAGAAGCTCCTCCTTTTTCCCTGCATCTCATGAAAAATATTAAGGTGTAGGAGCTTGTCAGAAGTCCTCAGATTACTTTGTGTGGTTTATTGTTACTCTGCAATAATGTAACCAGAGAACAGCTACTCCCTGTGGTTAAAAGTGTTCTCATTGTAATCCCAGCGCTTTGGGAGGCCAAGGTGGAAGGATCACTGAGTCCAGAAGTTCAAGGCTGCAGTGAGCTACGATTGCACCACTGTACTCCAGCCTAGCCGACAGAGGGAGACCCTGTCTCAGAAAAAAAAAAAAAAAAAAAAAGGCAGGGCATGGTGGCTCATACCTGTAATCCCAACACTTTGGAAGGCCGAGGTGGGTGGATCACCTGAGATTGAGAATTCAAGACGAACCTGACCAAAATGGAGAAACCCTGTCTCTACTAAAAAAAAAAAAAAAAAAACAAGGAAAAAACAAACAAACATTGGCTGGGTGTGGTGGTGCATGCCTGTAATCCCAGCTACTCAGGAAGCTAAGGCAGGAGAATTGCTTGAACCCGGGAGGCAGAGGGTGCAATGAGCCAAGATTGCGCCATTGCACTCCAGCCTGGGCAACAAGAGCAAGACCCCATCTCAAAAAAAAAAAAAAAAAAAGCATTCCCAAAGTCCTCCTCCTTTTTGAGTCCCCCTCACTCTTTCACATAAATGATATAAAGATACTAATTTTGTTTATCTGCCTTTCCTAGCTCCCTCTCCAGAACGAGCAGAAAGAAATCTGGACTGGGCCAAGTGCAAAAGAAATAGTGAAATAGCCGCTAGCCAAGGGGAGATCCAGTTTCACTAGCATTGTTTGTAAATATTTTAATCTGTATGAAAAGGTATTTTAACTTTGGCTTTAGTCTAGCCCTTTCAATTTTATTCTATCTCTTCCTGCTTTCATTACTCATCAAAAGAAACTTTCTGTTACTGACCCAGTTAAAGCGACTCTGAAGAGTTCTGCAGGCCTTCTTTGTGAGCTTGGAGAACTGAGTTTGACAGGACCTTGGTCTGACAGATTTTATAGAAGTTTGGATCCTACCTCCTAGTGGGCCTTGCACACTGTGGGGAGAGCTCCCTCTCTGTCCTTTGCACAAACAGATCAACATGATGAGCCCAAGCTGAAGGCTGCTTGGTTCATCTTTGGCAGAAGGCAAGAGGCAAGAGTAGTAAAAACAGTGCCGTTTAGGTATACCCAGATGGGGCTGTTTATAACCAAATGTGTCTGCTCATATTCTTTGCAGCATTTAGCATGCCCATTCTTTCTTTGTTTTTTATGCCTTTTTCCTTACATAGGTGGAAAAACACTGTGTTCCAACCCCAGCAACAGTTTAATGAATTATGTTTTATTATTCTTGCTTTTCAAATAAGGAAACAGGCTCAGAAAGGGGCAGTTGTTTGAACCTGCAAGTTCTTTGACTCCAGAGCCCTTGCTTTCCTCGTGTCTGTCACGCAGAGATAGGCTAAGTGCCTTGTGTCAGTTGGATCTGGCTGGTGTTTTTCATGTTAAATGTATTTGTAAGCTTTATGAGTCTGTATCTGTGTTTCTCCTTTTTTTTTTTTTTTTTCCTGAAGTGTCTTGCTTCACAGCACAGCATAAAAAAACCCACGGGCTTTTTTAGAGCATTCTTCCAAATCAGCAGCATTAGAGGCACCCACAATTTGACAAGAGTCATGGGTCTGAGGAGTGATGTAGTGAGGGCAAGAGATGGAACCTACTGATCCGGCTGATGGTGCTTTGCCTATGGAAAGTGGGCAGGAGGCTGTTCTGGCAACATTATTTGTTTACAAAGGCTAAGAAGTCAGTTCTGCACACTCATGGGAAGGGAAACCATTGGCCACAGGGTAGGAACAGATTTGTAGGAGTCCATGGCTCAGAGGGCTGTCTGGCACTGGAGCATCCTGCCTACATATTCCTTTCTGTATACCCAACTGGCTGAGTCACAGAGTAAATCATCCAAATGCAGTGTTCTGCCCATGGAGTTTGAGGCATTCATCCACTCTCCAAACACCAAGTGCCTACTCTCCAGAAGAGATCATGTCCATTGGGGAAGGACAGAAGTAAATGGGGTATCACAAAGCAGTGATAAATGCTGTAATATGAATACATAACTCAAGCGCTAGATGCTGTGGAAGTACAGAGGGCAGTTGTCTAAGTCTTTAAGATAGTCTTGTGGTCTGGGTGGAAAAATGTTGGTTGCTAGAACCATCAGGTGACTGCAGTATGTCAAATGAGTATCATAATCATACCGGTTAGCATTTGAGTGTTTCACATATATTTTATGTACACTACCTTGCTTCACAACTCTCCTGGAAGATAATGGTCATCCCCACTTAGAGATGAGGAAACACAAGGCCCAGAGAGGGATTACAAGCCAAGCCTCTTACTTCCATGCCCTGGGTCTTTCCAGAATTATACCCGCACTCCACCGCAGCTGCCTGCACCCAGAGCGTCGAGTATGAATTGGGTACAACTGGTGAGATCCAACAGTGCCTCATCATTCGACTTGGGTGCACACGAGGAGAAGTTGCCATTCAAATCCCCAGGGAACTCAAACTTTGAAGGCAGGTAGATGAAGATTCAAGAGGATTCCCTGTGAAGTGAGTGAAACTTAAGAGGGAGCGTGGCGCCCAGATCTGTCACATAGGTGGCGTGGGGGACCCCACCTACCACTGGTCCTCAGCACCTGTAGGCCCGAGCCTTTGGCAATCTGGAAGGCATGAAGGTGGGTTTCGGTGTACAGGGCCACGCCTCCGCCCCCAGCAGCTCAGCTGGAGCGTCTGACCAGTCTCGGCGAGAGGAGAGGGAGGCGGCCCAAGACAGTCTGTTTAGAGGATCTCTCTCCTGCAGAGCTAGGCCCAGGCAGAGGTCGGACGCCTCCAATAAGGCCCCAGGGCAGCGATTAACCCGGGGCAGGAAATGCAGACCTGACCTAGTGATGTCTGCAGCTACTCGGAGTTGGGGGCGAAAAGTCAAGGCTGAGGTCCACGTGCTCCGCCTTCGCCCCGCCCCTACCCTCATTGGTCGAAGCTGGATTGAGAGGAAGTGCCAGGCAAAAAAAAAAAAAAAAATTCCTCCCTCCAACCTCATTGGGTAGCTCAGTTCAGAGGTAGCTCTCTCTTGCCCCGCCTACGAGCTCGCACCACACTCCAATTGGGTGGTTGTGCTCCCAGACGGAAACTCCGCCCCACCTGTACTTAGAGCCGCGCAGTCCTAGGGGCGGTTCCAGCGCGCGTTGCTAATTGATCTATGCTTCCATTGGTCTGCTTTGATATGAAGGGCGGGTCCCAGCGGAGTCGCCAACCCCTCCTTGCATTCCTATTGGCTGCTCCTGCACTACTGTTCCGATTTCGTCCCAGCCCCGCCCCCGCCTCCCACCGCCCATTGGCTGCGAGAGGCCGGTGCGGTCCGCACTCGCGGGGCTCGTTTCGGTTCAGGCGCCGGAGCCGGCAGATTGGCGTTGGCCGTCGATATGACGCCCGAAGACCCTGAGGAGACCCAGCCGCTTCTGGAGCCTCCTGGCGGCAGGTGAGCTGCGGGGAACCCGGTCCCGGACGCGGCCTTGCCCTCCCGCTCCTCCGCGCCCGCTCGGCTCACCCTCCACCCTGTCGCCGCAGCGCGCCCCGCGGCCGCCGCGTCTTCCTTGCCGCCTTCGCCGCTGCCCTGGGCCCACTCAGCTTCGGCTTCGCGCTCGGCTACAGCTCCCCGGCCATCCCAAGCCTGCAGCGCGCCGCGCCCCCGACCCCACGCCTGGACGACGAAGCCGCCTCCTGGTTCGGGGTGAGGCCCCGAACTCACTCCTCCAGCCCCGGGACCCCGTATCCTCCCCTCAGGACGGGCATCAGGCCCCTCTGCCCTCCACCCCTCCCCTCAGGACGAGCGTCGAGCCCCTCTGCCCCCAACTCCTCCCCACGAGATGGGCATCCGACCCCTCCCCACGGGACGGGCGCTGGGCCCCGTCTCCCCTGCCTGGGGTCACCCACTTCCCTCTGAGCCCGCGGCGGTGGGCGGAGGGCGAGGACGGGCCGCAGCTTCGGCGCCTCCTCCTCACCCGCCGCCCGCCCCCAGGCCATCGTGACCCTGGGCGCCGCGGCAGGGGGTGTGCTGGGCGGCTGGCTGGTGGACCGTGCCGGGCGCAAGCTGAGCCTCCTGCTGTGCTCCGTGCCCTTCGTGACCGGCTTTGCTGTCATCACCGCGGCCCAGGACGTGTGGATGCTGCTGGGGGGCCGCCTCCTCACCGGCCTGGCCTGCGGTGTTGCCTCCCTAGTGGCCCCGGTGAGTGTCCCGTCTCGCGAGTGTCCTGTCTCAGAGCCTGAGACCAAGGAGGAGTGGGACAAGCCGCTCCCCAAATCTGGATGCGTGGCTCCCCTGCCGGGACCTTCTGGGTGCCAGGCCTGAAGTCCCTTTGTTATCTCGTAGTCCTTCCCTTCGACCCTGGGAGGGAGCCTGCTATTATGTCCATTTTACACTGAAGTCATGACATGGAGTCTTGGAAAGATGAAGTCCTTTGCCCAGGCAGTGTCCACAGCTAGACAGAGGAGAAGCAGTTGCTGGAACCCAGGGTTGTCCCACTTAGCTGTGCCCCTCTTTTGCTCTGCAAACCTGCAGATGATCCACAGGAGCCCACTCCTCACATTATGCTTTTCATCCCTGGCTTCCAGTCACTGACTGCAATTAGCAGGAAGTTCCTGTCCTGATTTGTCCTGGGGTTGCTGCTGACCTCTGCATTCCCCTTCCCTTCTCACAGACCAGCCCCTCTGGCTTCCCCATCTTCCCCTTCTCCCTCTCATGACCCAGGCTGCCCACATCTGGGTCAAATCCCAGCTCTGCCACTGGCCTGAGCAGTGCCTCCCTGGGCCTCAGTTTCCCTCTCTGGAAAACAGGGATTGTGACATTAGCCTCTGAGGTAGTGGTCAGGATTTACTACAAAGTAGATAGTATCTACTTTGCATGGACAGTCCCTGGCATGGCTTGTGGAGGACTGGACCCTGACAACTGGGTGACCCGTGAACTGCCCCTGGTCATGAGCTTAGACAATACCTCACCCGAGTGAGGTTGAAAGCAGCCACTCAGTGCTCATTTCACCAACATTTGCTAAGTAGCAGCAGCAGCTGGACTGAGACGGAATCTTGCACTGTCACCCATGCGGGAATGCAGTGGCATAACTGCAGCCTCTACGTCCTGAGTTCATACAATTCTCTTGCCTCAGCCTCCCGAGTAGCTGGGATTACATGCACACACTACCATGCCCAGCTAATGTTTTATATTTTTAGTAGAGAGGGTTTCACTATGTTGGCCAGACTAGTCTCGAACTCTTGACCTCGTGATCCACCTGCCTCGGCCTCCCAAAGTGCTGGGATTACAGGCATGAGCCACCGAGGCCTGGCGTCTTTGGTTTTTTTAACTGGGCAGAAACACACCTGTGTTAGGGCCTAAACTATGGAATAACCTTAGATGATGGGTGAGGACCTGGTGGTCTGTGGGCCCAAGAGGGAGCAGGGGCAGCCACTGGTAGTGACTAAGGTGGAGAGTTCCTACTTCTGATCCAAGGCCACCACTCAAAGCGTGGGTCTCAGGCTAGGATTCTGGGTGGGCATCACCTGGAGCTGGTTAGCAAGATGGAATCTTTCCCCTGCCCAGACCTACTTGCATCAGAATCTGCATTTTATCCAGGGTGTCTGTGCACATTAAACGAAGGCTTGAGACGCTCTGTGCCCATGGCCTCTCGCCATCACACGCAGCCCTCTCCATTACCCTTAATCCTCTTTAAACACCTGCCACAGATGATTCAGTGGTGGGGACCTAAGGATGGCTCTGCTCACCTGGGCAGGTTCCACTAAGGGCCCTCAGGGCCTGCTGTAACCCCAGTGAGGACTTTCCTCAGCTCTGAATGGCTGAGATTTTTTAGTTTTAAGAACTCTTGGAGGGCCGGGTGCAGTGGCTCACGCCTATGATCCCAGCGCTTTTGGAGGCCGAGGCAGGTGGATCATGAGGTCAAGAGATCAAGACCATCCTGGTCAACAAGGTGAAACCCCGTCTCTACTAAAAATACAAAAAATTAGCTGGGCATGGTGGTGCATGCCTGTAATCCCAGCTACTCAGGAGGCTGAGGCAGGAGAATTGCCTGAACCCAGGAGGTGGAGGTTGCGGTGAGCCGAGATCACGCCATTGCACTCCGGCTTGGGTAAGAAGAGCGAAACTCTGTCTTGAAAAAAAAAAAAAAAGAACTCTTGGAGCCCAAGTAAAGCCTCATCTTATTGCTGGCAGGTCTACATCTCCGAAATCGCCTACCCAGCAGTCCGGGGGCTGCTCGGCTCCTGTGTGCAGCTGATGGTCGTCATCGGCATCCTCCTGGCCTACCTGGCAGGTATAGTTGTCATTATCTCTTGCTTCCTGTTCGTGGTCATGTGGCCATTTTACAGATGTGTAAACAGAGATTCAGGGAGGTCAAGGGACTTTTCTGAGGTCACACAGCCAGTGCCCAATGTGCCAGGCTCCAGATCACCTTCCTGGGACCTTGGGATAAGTGGGTCTGAGTTCCAGGGAGAGCTGGAGAAGGTGATATCCTCATCTTCCCTGAAGCCCCCTCTAGGGGTGTAGGAAGGGCTGACTGGTTAGGGTAGTACCTTACTGTGCAGTGACAAACCAGAGGGCTCCAGAAGTGGGTGGGTCCCTGTAAAAATCTTCAGCCCAGGCGCCTGAAGGGCTGAGCAAGTACCCTTGAGAATGTCAGTGCTGTATTCACCATGTTAGTGAGTTGCAATGTGAAGAAGGCCAGTTCCTGGGAACCCCAAGGGGCAAACCTGGGCCAGCATGAAGAAGCTTTAGGAGAAGCAGCGTCAGCATGAAGAAGCTTTAAAAACAGGGTGGCCAAGGGTGGTGGCTCACGCCTGTAATCCCAGCACTTTGGGAGACCAAGGCGGGCAGATCACAAGGTCAGGTGTTCGAGATCAGCCTGGCCAATATGGTAAACCCTGTCTCTATTCATAATGCAAAAATTAGCCAGGTATGGTGACACCTGCCTGTAATCCTAGCTACTCAGGAGACTGAGGCAGAAGAACTGCTTGAACTCAGGAGCTGAGATTGTGCCACTGCACTCCAGCCTGGGTGACGACAGATCAAGACTTTGTCTCAAAAAACAAAACAAAACAAAAAACAAGGGCAGACTTCAAATCTGACTGTCCTGGGTTTGGTGATAGCCTCTCCTACTTGCTATGTGACCTTGGCCAAGTCACACCACCTCTGGAAGCCTCGGTTTCCCTGACTTGAAATGGACATAACCTCTAGTCCAGTACCTGTCCATTAAATTAAGTGACACATGAAAAGTGCCTAACAGTGGGTTCCAAATGAGAATTGTCAAGGGATGACCTGAGAACCACGGGAGACCTTCAGGGTAGGAGGCCTCAGGGGCCTGACAGGCTGTGGACTAGCCCAGTGCACAAGCCCTCTGCATCTTCAGGGTGGATGATATACAGGTCTTCAGTCTTTCATTTTTACCCATTTAACCACCCTACCTAATTCAGAATCCTGTCTGGCTACTTTGGGAGACGAGTAAACCAAAGCCCCCATGTGTGCAGGTGTTGACATTCATAGTTTGGGGGACAGGTACTGGGTGTCCCTCCACCCATGGCATTATCTTCCAAGCATCTTAACATGTACTTATTGCTTCTCCTGCCTTTCACCAATCAATTTCTGTCAGTTTTGATCCACTGGGGTGGGTGAACTCTGTTAACCTCACAAAGTGACATGGTGACACGTTTGCTTCACATTGGGGCAATAATGTTCCCACAACTAGACTTCATGGAACAACTGTCTGCACCCCAGCACAGAAAAACAATAGGATATCGTGTCGATCTTAGAGATATTTTTTCACTGGGAACTGGGGATGGGTAAGCCTTAGGCCTGGGAAAAATTAATAATTAGAGCAGGCCAGGTGCAGTGGCTCACAACTGTGATCCCAACACTTTGGGAGGCCAAGGTGGGCAGATCACAAGTACAGGAGTTGAAGACCAGCCTGAGCAATGTGGTGAAACCCCCGAATGTCCATGTCCCATCTCTACTAAAAGTAAAAAATTAGCGGGGCATGGTGATGGGTACCTGTAGTCCCAGCTACTCAGGAGGCTGAGGCAGGAGAATCGCTTGAACCCATGAGGCGGAGGTTGCAATGAGTCAAGATCATGCTATTGCACTCCAGCCTAGGTGACAGAGCAAGACCCCATCTCAAAAAAATATTAATTAGAGCAGCAATGCCCTAGATTCATTTATTCCAGGCCCCTTTGTAAGACAACCTTTTGACTTTATACAAGGCTAGATAATTCTGCACTTATGCTGTCCTTCATATATCAAGACAGCAAAATCCTCTCACCGCTCTACTTTCATGTATACTTTGAATAGATAGTGCATTCAAATGATTCAGCACTCAAGTGCCAGAGTGGGGAGATGTCCAGTGAAAGGTGTCCTCCACCTCTCTCCCTTTCTTGTCTTGGGGAGCCCGCATTGCCTGTTGCTTGGTAGCCTTCAGAGAGTCTATGCATATGAGGGATATGCATATTTATCTTCCCTCCCCTACCTCTTGTACAAATGGTACCACATCATACCACGTGGACACGCAGCAAGCATTTCATCCTTTGTTTCATGGCTACATAAATGTTTCGCTGAACAGACGTAGCCTAGTAATGTCCATGTTGCCATGCCCACCATCACTTCTACTGCTGGTGTGGTTGGCCGGAGCCAGGTGCCTCATGAACAATTGTGATAATGTCAGTAGCAAACATGAGGCAGATGTGCAGAGGCAGCAGGGCCCCATCTCTAAAGCTGAGTCTCTGAGGCTGGCAAGGCCCAGGCTGGCTTGCCCTGGCTCTGACGCCAGCCTCCCCTGCCCCACTGCAGGCTGGGTGCTGGAGTGGCGCTGGCTGGCTGTGCTGGGCTGCGTGCCTCCCTCCCTGATGCTGCTGCTCATGTGCTTCATGCCTGAGACCCCACGCTTCCTGCTGACTCAGCACAGGCGCCAGGAGGCCATGGCCGCCCTGCAGTTCCTGTGTGGCTCCGAGCAGGGCTGGGAAGAACCCCCAACTGGGGCCGAGCAGGTGAGAGGCTGGAAGTCAGAGCAGACAAGAGTGGGACAGCAGTTAGGGGAGGGTAGCACTGCCTGTTCCTAAGGCCACACACCCAGGAGGGCAGGGGACGGGGAGGTGCCTGTCCACCCTCCACCCTCAGCGAGGACAGGCCCAGAGTTGTCCTGTCTTTGAGCAGGCGGAGACAGCTGGAGCCCCACGGAGCTGGGCCCTAGCCTCCAAGGTCACCAGCAAAGCTCGAGCCTTGATCCTTACTGTCCCAGGAAGAGAATAGCCAGGCCTGGTGGGGGAAACAGAGGCAGAGCTGAGGACTTGGATTTAACAAGGGAGTTGTAGGGCAGGGGAGAGGGTTAAAGTCTGGTTTTAGAGTCACCCAGGTATGGGTTTGAAGCCCCCACGCTGCCCCTTACCTGCTGTGTGCCCTTCTGGTCTTTAAGCCTTAGCTCTTCATCTGTAACTTGGGAGTCAGAGTACATGCTTCACGGTGGTGGGCAGGGCTCAGTGGGGAAGGTGGGGCTTGGGAGGGCGGGGCTTATTGAGGAGGGTGGGGTCAGTGAGGAGGACACAGGTCCGTGAGGAGGGTGGGTTCAGTGGGAGGGGAGGGTCAGTGGAGACGGCCAGGTCCAGACCTGAAGCAGGTACTGGATGTGTTGGTGGTGGCAGGGATGAGGGCAGCAGCTTGCTCTTTGCCCAGGTCACCTCTATGTGGCTCCCCCCACCTATCAGAAAGTGCCCTGGGTAGGTGAGGGTCTTCTCACCTGACACATGGGGAGGCTGGGACTTGTCTGCACACCTGAGGAAAGAGGGGCCACTGGGATGAGCCGAGACTCACTCTCCAAGCCCTTAGGACAATGGGCCCACAGAGGGGAGCTCCTTGCAGGAGGGAAGAGAGAGATCCTGATGGCCAATCTCCGTCAGAGCAGGGCTTCCACCTGGCCCTGCTGTGGCAGCCTGGCATCTACAAGCCCTTCGTCATCGGCGTCTCCCTGATGGCCTTCCAGCAGCTGTCGGGGGTCAACGCCATTATGTTCTATGCACAGACCATCTTTGAAGAGGCCAAGTTCAAGGTAAAGGGGCCTCTGCCTGGCAAAGCCTGGTCCAGCCTCCACAGAGATGGAGCTTCCTCCCCCAGCCTAGGGCCCAGCCACCCAGCACGGGCCTGGAGAGGGAGGGACCAAGCTCTCAGCTGACCCTCCTGACACCTTGGCTCCATCTCCCCTAGGACAGCAGCCTGGCCTCAATCATTGTGGGTGTCATCCAGGTGCTGTTCACAGCTGTGGCAGCCCTCATCATGGACAGAGCAGGGCGGAGGCTGCTCCTGGCCTTGTCAGGTGAGGGCTTGACCCGGTGCAGGATGGGTTCCCTGGGCCAGTCTCCCCGCCATGGGCTAGAGGGCCTTTGCCAAGGCCACCACATTGCAGGAGGAGGACAGGGGGCATTTGTGATGACAAACATCGTGGACTAATGTGGCCATGATTTGACGGCAGCTCACCACCAGGCACTCGCAGCAGGCCTCTCCGCACTAGCGGTGCTCCCACACCATGCCTTTAACCTCTGTGGTGAACCCACCAGAAGGCACCAGCACGGGCCTAGCTTATGATGGGGAAACTGAGGGCCAGGAAGGTGAAGTGACTCAGTGTAGGGCACCCACATGTTGGGAGCCAGATGTAGGGCTGTGGAGGCCCCACAGGGTTGTGGGGTGTCCATTATGCTGTGTCGGTGCAGGATACAAGAAGTAAAGAGACAGGACATTGAAGAACTAGTGAAGAGCATCTGGACTTGGGGCCACACCACCTGTGAGCGGAGATCATCGGTGGCGGCCCCCAAATGCCCAAGAGCAACTGTATTTATTAGGTACAAGCAGGGCACAGGGTTGTGAGTGAGGTCATCATCTATAGGCTTAGTAATAGGGCATACATAATCACGTGAGTTACAAGTGAGGGGACCACCCCATTATGTCACCTGAAGGGGGGGGCGCGCGCAGCAGGGGGCTGTGAAGTGTGCAGTAGTAGGGGGCCGTGTACAGAAAAGGGCTCCCACCCCCATTAGGTCACAGAGGCTAGGAGGTGGGCTGTGCGCAACAGGTGTTGTGCGCAACACTTCTTATTTGGGGGCTGGAGACTTCAAAGGATTTCTAATAGAAGGATATCATAAGCTTAATGCAGTGGGAGCTGACAGACTTGTGTTCTTAAGATATTTATTGGAGGATTCTTTGAGCTAGCACAGAAGCGAGAAAAAACTGACAAGATGTACAGCCGCCGTGACTGGTCACAGCAGAGGGGTTCTTCTCCCTCGGTTACTTCCAGGATCTCAGGCCTGAGGCCTACTTTCCACAGGAACTGGATGCAAGGTACTACAACTCCTTTATCAGGAGGAGAGGCTCTTGCTCCAAGCCTGCCATACAGCGTATGCCCTTTCAGGCAGGGACGCCGCCGCTTGGGTCTTTGGTTCTCATCCTGGTCTGGTTGTTTTCCCATGTACTGCTTCTGTTCTGTGACTGCTCTAGGCATTCCTCCTACTATAAACTACTCTGTGGTTATATTGAAGGATTCTATAAATCAGCACTAAATGTGTCAGTACAGCTCCGACTATAATACCTAAATGATTATACAGAAAGATTATATAGAACTAAGTATGCTATATATATGTAAGCAGTAAGTTACACTTCAAGCACTAATTCTGTAAACTAATATATGATTATATATGAAGGATTATATAAAGGAAACAGCTGAGCAATAACACTATAAACTAAGATATTCTTCAGGCACTAGTTGTGCCTTGGGTCAGGACAGTTCTCCTTCCTCGGTGCCCATGGGGGATGTTACCCACAACTCAGGAGCTTGTGGTCCTTTTGGGCAAGTGACTTGACCTCTCTGAGCCTCAGTCTCCCCCTCTGGGAAATGGGGGTAATAGCAGCGCCTCCCTCCGCGCTGTTGTGAGGAGTGGCAGGTGATCCACGTGAGGCCTTCAGCAAGAGCTGGGTACAGACATTTGGTCCTCAGTGGCTGCTACAAAGGCGACCGTTGGGGCTGGGGGTTGCCCGCCGCTGCTGCTGCTGCCACTGCTGCACCCCTGCTGCCTCAGGCCAGAGGGTCTACTCTAGGAACGTCCTGTAGTTCACTGAGGTGAACTTCCACGGAGGGGTGGCTGCCACCCAGTCAGGGCTCCTGTGGCCAAGGTGCCAGAATACCAAGCTGGCCTCTCTCTGGGAGCCAGACCACCCCCCACCAGTGTCCAGGCCACACTGCTGTGCCCTGGGCCGTTCTCCCAGCGCCCCATCCACTGCTGCCCTCCTACCTGCAGGTGTGGTCATGGTGTTCAGCATGAGTGCCTTCGGTGCCTACTTCAAGCTGACCCAGGGTAGCCCTGGCAACTCCTCGCATGTGGCCCTCTCAGCGCCCGTCTCCACAGAGCCTGTTGATGCCAACGTGGGGCTGGCCTGGCTGACTGTGGGCAGCATGTGTCTCTTCATTGCCGGTAAGGGGCCCATGGGAGACTGGGCGAGGAGTGGGAGGTGATCCCCCAGCCCTGCTCTGGCGGTCCTGGGCAGCTGGGGTCTTCCCCAGCTCACCTCTCGCATCGTAGATCTCAGGCTCTGCGCTGATAGCTCTGACCACACACAGATCTGAACTAGGCCGCTCTGCATTCCTTTCACTGAATCCCCTGAGCAGCTCTCTGAGCAGCCCACACTGGGATCCAGCACCCCTCAGCCCTACAGGCTGGGAAGCTGGGTCTCTTGGCTCTGCGGCAAGCCAAGGAGCCCAGCCTGTGGGCCCTGACGCCTGTCTCACTCCCGCAGGCTTTGCCATGGGTTGGGGGCCCATCCCCTGGCTCCTCATGTCAGAGATCTTCCCTCTGCACGTCAAGGGCGTAGCAACAGGCGTCTGCGTCCTCACTAACTGGCTCATGGCCTTTCTCGTGACCAAGGAATTCAGCAGCCTCATGGTGAGCGCAGCCCTCGGCCGACTGCATGTCAGAAAGAAGCACTTTCTAAAACCATTTGTATGGCAGAAGACCCATGGGTGGGGCCATACACACAGGCTGAGCGCCACCATGCCTGGGCCACTGGCCATCTTGGGCAAGGCAAAGTGGAGGCAGATGGGCTGGGCCAGATGGGGAACCCAGGCTATGACCCCTCAGGAGTCCTTGCCCATCTTGGCAGTCAGATGGCACAGCTGGCCTCTCCCCTTAGAGACTGTCAGGAATGTGGGCCTTGAACCTAAGGTCTACATGGGAAGAGCTGACAGGACTGGGCTCCAGCCCCACCCTGGCTGTGTGACCTTGGGTATGATGCTTACCTTCTCTGAGCCTGCTTCCTTGGCTGAAACTAGAGGAGAGTAACAGCAGCTTGCTCTCAAGGCTGATGGGAGCATCCATTCAGCTCATCATTTTGTTGCCTTCTCACGGATGAACTAGCACAGGCATGGTCCCTGCCCCAGGGCTTCCCAGCTGACAGAGACAGCTCTGGAGTAGATGATCTGGTGGTTTATACAGTCATTTGTGCCCTCAGGTCTCCTGACATGTGCCATGTCCAGCCCTATGCAAGGCACCAGGGACAGCAATGAACAAGATAGGCAGAGTCCCCTTTATGAAAAGGGCTGGAAAGGCCATGGCAGTGGTGGGAGAATGAACCCCAGTGGGGCTGGGTTAGGTCAGTGAGGGGCCAGCCTGGAGTCTGTGCAGAGCCTGGCACCCACTTAGGCAGGGCTGCCCCGGGCTGATGCCTGGGGTGCAGATGACTTGCTGGGGGCTGGGAGGGGATGGGCAGCAAAAGAGGGAGGAAAAGAAGCCAAGAAGGAAGTGACAAAGGACCTAACAGTGACCTGGGGAGCCAATGTCCAAGAGGCCAGGAGAAGGCCTTCAAGGAGGGAGAGATCACCAGGTCCCAGAGGACGAGGAGCTGAGAAGCACCTTTTTAGTAGTGGGGGAGCACCTTTTTAGTGTGCTCTCCCAGAGCATGTGGGAGAACACAATGGTGGGGGATGGGGGACAGGCTCTAACCAAAGGGGACGGCTTACTCCTGCCTTCATGCCACTAGCCCCAAGAGTACCCGTGTGTTCCTAGAGCTATGCTTGCTCTGCCCTGTCTCGCCCATTCCCACCACAGTCTGAAAGAACCCCCCAGGGGCCTCAGGGTGGGGCCAAAGCTGAGGGTGGAAGGTGGGTCTGTGGGCCCTGGAGTCAGACCTGGAGCAGGCGCCCAGCTGTCACTGGATAGCAGGTCTCTGGCCTTGAGGCAGTCACTTCATTGCTGTGAGCCTCAGTTTCCCAAGCCATACGACCTCGATGCCCAGGCCACCAGACTGGATGCCAGATTATCCTCCCATTTCCCAGAGCTGGGTGGAGGCAGAATGGGTGTGGCCTTGGGCAGGACAGGCTGGGGTCAGAGGACTGGACCCCTGGTGGCAGAGCTGCCTCAGTGATTGCATGGGGCCTCCTGGTTTCCCCCCACGTCCACCCATGGCCTTTCCTCTCTCTGCAGGAGGTCCTCAGGCCCTACGGAGCCTTCTGGCTCGCCTCCGCCTTCTGCATCTTCAGTGTCCTTTTCACCTTGTTCTGTGTTCCTGAAACCAAAGGAAAGACTCTGGAACAAATCACAGCCCATTTTGAGGGGCGATGACAGCCACTCACTAGGGGATGGCGGGAGCCTGTGACTCTGAGCTCCACCCAAGCCCAGAGCCCCTGCCTGCCCCAGGGGAGCCAGAATCCAGGAGCACAGCCCCTTGGAGCCTTGGTTTGCAGGGTCTCTCCTTCGTGTCTAGCTGCCTCCTGTTCCAGTTCCTGCTGCTGCTCTGTGGACTCGGGATTACCTTGGAGCTTTGCAGACCTGCAGTCAGCCCTCCACACATGACACTAAAGCAGCAGAAGGAGAGGTGGGCCTCTGGGATCTTTGTCTTCTGGCTGGAGGTGCTTTTGGAGGTTGGGTGCTGGGCACCTGGTCGCTCCTCTCATGTGGCTGCCTTATTGGGGAGGAACTTTGTTTGCCAAATAAAGATTGACAGAAAACCAGGTCAGTGTCTCTGGGCACTTTGTGTGAGCTCGGTTTGAAAAGGGTTTATTCTTTATTCCCATGACTTCTGGGACTAGACACTACCCAGGACACCCTGTGAATTTACTTTCTTGTGGTCAGCCAAGCTTGCCCTTGGCACCGAGAAGTAATTTCTAGCTCCTTCCTTGGGCTCAGTTCCCTGAGTCTTCAGCCATCAAATCTTGTTGAGTTTAAAAAATAAACAACAAGGGAATCCCATGGTAAAACCCTCGGCTCTACCAAAAATTACAAAATTAGCTGGGTGATCTTCAGACTGAGGCTTAATATGAGCCGAAGCAAGCATGTAGGAGATATGGGGCGGTGGGGAGAGATGGTGGAAGGATGAGGAGGAGGCGAGGAGTAGATAATGGGGAGATGATGAAATGGGATAAGATGATGGGAGGTGGGGGGAGATGATAGGTGGGGGAGATGATGGGGAGGTGGGGGGAGATGATGGGGAGGTGGGAGGAGATGATGGGGAGGTGGGAGGAGATGTTGAGGACGTGGGGGGAGATGATAGGTGGGGGGACATGCTGGGGAGGTGGAGGGAGATGAGGCGGGGGGAGATGATGGGGAGGGGGAGAGATTATTGGGAGGTGAGGGAGATAATGGGGAGGTGATGGGGAGGTGGAGGGAGATGATGGGGATGTAGGGGAGATGATGGGAAGGTGGGGGGACATGATGGAAAGGTAGAGGGAAATGATGGGGAAAGTACATATCAAAATGTGAGCAGTGCTGCCCCACCACTTTACTTTTTGAAAGCTGCCTTGAGAATAAGCTTTCTGGGTCCAAATGATCCTTTGCTCCAGCAAAGCGACTGATAACGTGGCTTTAAGTTAGTAATATATAAAACCCAGACCTTCTTTATGAGTGTGGGGAGGAAGTGTTTACAACATTATGGTTACATAAACATCATTACTGTAAACCCAATGGAACGGACTCAAGGACATAATCCTATGTCAGCCTGTATTACTCAAAAAGGAATATTCTAAGTATCAAGATAAAATGGATTTTTTTCTTATTCTATGTCAGTTATTTAAAATAATGCCAGATTTGGATTTGTACCATTTAAGACATGAGAAAATTAGATTTCTTTTTTCCTGGAGTTTTTGTCTTTTTTTTTTTTTCCTTCTTAAGAAACACGTCATTTTCTTCACCACTTGACTAAGGTCTTTTCCTTCTGTAATATGCCAGCCGTTTTATGGGATTCATTTGTTTCTCCTTGCTGACCTATTATTCTGGGGGACCTGCTGCAAAGCTGTTATAGTAGGTTTCCTTTTCATTGAATTTTTGGGTTAATTTCCCTGTTTCTTGGGTTCCACACCGTGCTCCTTGGATTCCATTTCAATTTGCAGGGATACACCTTCACAGGGCTACCATGTCTGATACCAGTAATTTTTACAGGACAGGTACAGAAGGAGCGAGTTTCTGCATGCCTAAAAAGCCTTTATTTTATTGTCACTTTTTTTTTTCTTTTTTGTAGAGACAAGGTCTCACTATATTACCAAGGTTGGTCTCGAACTCCTGGCCTCAAGTGATTCTCCTACGTCAGCTTCCTAAATTGCTGGGATTACAGGTGTGAGCCACTGTGCCCAGCTTACTGTCATTTCTGGATGGAAGTTTTGTTGTCTTCTCAAACACCCACTGTGGCTAATGAAAAGTATGTTGCCACTTAATTCTTTTGCAGGTTAACTATTTTTCTCCGCCAGTAGCTTTCATAATTTACTACTTGGCAATGTAACATTTCATAGGCATGAATCTAACTGTAGGTTTTCATTTATCCCATTGTAACAGGAAAGGGGTCCCAATCCAGACCCCCAAAAGAGGGTTCTTGGAGCTCATGCAAGAAAAAATTCAGGGTGAGTCCACAGAGTACAGCAAAAGCAAGTTTATTAGGAAAGTAAGGGAATAAAGAATGGCTGCTCCATGGACAGAGCAGCCCCGAGGGCTGCTGCTTGCCCATTTTTATGATTATTTCTTGATGATATGCTAAACAAGGGGTGGATTATTCATGCCACCCTTTTTTAGACCATACAAAGAAACTTCCTGAGGTTGCCATGACATCTGTAAACTGTCATGGTGCTAGTAGGAGTGTAGCAGTGAGGACGATCAGAGGTCACTGTCATCACCATGTTGGTTTGGTTGGGTTTGGGCCAGCTTTTTTTTTTTTTTTTTTTTTGAGATGGAGTCTAGCTATGTTGCCCAGGCTGGAGTGCAGTGGTGCGATCTCGGCTCACTGCAACCTCCACCTCCCAGGTTCAAGCGATTCTCCTGCCTCAGACTCCCAAGCAGCTGGGATTACAGGTGCCTGCCACCACACCCAGCTAATTTTAATACTTTTAGCAGAAACAGGGTTTCACTGTGTTGACCAGGCTGGTCTTGAACTCCTGACTTTGTGATCCGCTTGCCTCGGCCTCCCAAAGTGCTGGGATTACAACTGTGAGCCACCAAATCTGGCCTTGGGCTGGCTTCTTTATTACAACCTGTTTGATCATCAAGGTTTGTATGACCTATATATTGTGCTGACCTCCTGTCTCATCCATGACTTACAATGCTTTAACCGTCTGGGAATGCAGTCCAGTAGGTCTCAGCCTCATTTTACCCAGCCCCTACTCAAGAAGTTGCTCTGGTTCAAACACCTCTGATACCCTGAGATTTTGAATCTCAATACTTTCTTCTGGGAACTTGCTCTTCTTTCACTTCTTTATTCTCACATCCCAGCCCCTGATTTTCTCTGTTCTCTCTCTCTGAAACTTCTAGTAGATACTGTACTTCCTGGCACAGTATCCTCCCTCAATTTTTCACTTATATACTTCTTTTTTTTTTTGAGATGGAGTCTCACCTTGTCATGTAGGCTGGAGTGCAGTGGTATGATCTCAGCTCACTGCAATCTCCGCCTCCTGGGTTCAAGCAGTTCTCTGCCTCAGCCTCTCAAGTACCTGGGATTTCAGATGCACACCACCACACCTGGCTAATTTTTTTTATTTTTTATTTTTAGTAGAGATGGGTTTCACCATCTTGGCCAGGCTGGTCTTGAACTTCTGCCCTCGTGATCCACCCACCTCATTTTCCCAAAGTGCTGGAATTACAGGTGTGTGCCACCACACCTGGCTGACTTATATACTCTTTTAGTGTCTCTGTATTCTAGGAACTTTTTTAAACTTTATCTTATAGCTCTTCTATAAAATGATCTATTTTATTAATCATGTTTTAACATAATTTTGATCCTTTTAAATGTATTTCGACCTATCTTGGTGAATGTTCCATGTGCAACTGAAAAGAATATGTACTGTGCTGTTGCTGGGTGGAGTGTTCTATAAATGTCACTTAGGTCAAGCTGTAATAGTCTGCTTCAGGTCTTCTGTATTAATCAGAGTTCTCCAGAGATTAAACTAATAGTGTGTTTAGGGAGGTGTATGTATATGTAGAGAGAGAGAGATAAAGATATATATATAGAGAGAAATAAAAAAAAGTCAGCACACATCATGGCCAGACACGGTAACTCATGCCTGTGCTGGGAGGCCAAGGCAGGCAGATCACTTGAGGTCAGGAGTTCGAGACCAGCATGGCCAACAAGTTTCTATTAAAAATACAAAAAAAATTAGCTGGGTGTGGTGGCACACGCCTGTAATCCCAGCTACTTGGGAGGCTGAGGCAGGAGAATCTCTTGAACCCGGGAGGTGGAGGCTGCAGTGAGCCAAGATTGCACCACTGCACTCCAACCTGAGCAACAGTGTGAGACCCCATCTCAAAAGAAAAAAAAGAAGAAAGAAAGAAAAGAAATTAGCTCACATGATTATGAAGGCTGAGGTCACAAGATCTGCAGGGTGAGTCAGCAGCTGGAGACCCAGGAGAGCTGATGGTGCAGTTCCAGGCTGGAGATCCAGGAAGAACCAATATCACATTTCAAGTCTGAAGGCAGGAAAAGACTCTCATCCCCACTCGAGATAGCCAGGAAGCATTTTTCCCTTACTTTTGTTCTACTCAGGCCTTCAAGGGATTGAATGAGGCTCACCTCCACTGAGGGGGCAATCTGCTTCACTCAGTCTACTGATTCACATGTTCATTTCATCCAAAACACCTTCACAGAAACACCCAGAATAATACTGGACCAGTCAGGTTGACACATAAAATTAACATCACATCTTCTCCACATTTTCTGTCCACTTGTTATATTTTATTTTATTTTATTTGAGATGGAGTTTTGCTCACGTTGCCCAGACTGGAGTGCAATTGCACGATCTCAGTTCACAGCAACCTCCACCTCCAGGATTCAAGCAATGCTCCTGCCTCAGCCTCCTGAGTAGCTAGGATTACAGGCATGCGCCACTACACCTGGCTAATTTTTTTATTTTTAGTAGAGATGGGGTTTCTCCACGTTGGTCAGGCTGGTCTCGAACTCCTGAACTCAGGTGATCCACCTGCCTCGGCTTCCCAAAGTGCTGGGATTACAGGCGAGAGCCAGCGTGCCTGGCCAACTTGTTCAATCACTTACTAAGAGAGGGTCGTTGGAATTTCTACCTCTGCACATGTATTGTCCAGTTCCGCAGTTCTGTTGGCCTTTGTCAGGCACTTTGGAGCTCTGTTCTTAGGCACCTGTGCATGTAGAACTGTAACATTCTCCTGATTGTTCCATCCTTTATCTTTAGAAACTGGCCCTCTTTGTCCCTGGTACTGCTCCTTGTTCTGAGGTCTGACTCTGTCTGATATGAAAATCACCACTGTTTTGGCAGTAGTTTCTAATTCGGTCTTATTCCCTGTGCCTTTTTATTTATTTACTTATTTTTTTAATTTTCCTGGTTTCCTTGGTATCTTCTAAACCTGTGCCTTTTTTGTAGCATCCTGTGCTCTTTTATTTTTATTTTATTTTATTTTTTTGAGACAGAGTTTCGCTCTTGTTACCCAGGCTGGAGTGCAATGGTGTGATCTCAGCTCACCGCAACCTCCGCCTCCTGGGTTCAGGCAATTCTCCTGCCTCAGCCTCCTGAGTAGCTGGGATTACAGGCACGCGCCACCATGTCCAGCTAATTTTTTGTATTTTTAGTAGAGACGGGGTTTCACCACATTGACCAGGATGTTCTCGATCTCTTGACCTCGTGATCCACCCGCCTCGGCCTCCCAAAGTGCTGGGATTACAGGCGTGAGCCACCGCACCCAGCCTCATATTTTCATTTTTTAAAAATCAGCTTTAGGCTGGGCATAGTGGCTCATGCCTGTAATCTCAGCATTTTGGAAGGCCAAGGTAGGCGGATCACTTGAGGTCAGGAGTTCAAGATCAGCCTGGCCAATATGGCAAAACCTTGTCTCTACTAAAAATACAAAAATTAGCCAGGCATGGGCGTGTGCCTGTAATCCCAGCTACTTGGAAGACTGGGGCAGGAGAATTGCTTGAACCCAGGAGGTGGAGGTTGCAGTGAACTGAGATTGAGCCATTGCATTCCAGCCTGGGCAACAAGAGTGAAATGCTGTCTCAAAAAAAAAAAAAAGTCTGCAGACTTGTAATCCTAGCTACTTGGAAGGCTGAGGCAGGAGGACTGCTTAAGCCGAGAAATTCGAGGTTGCAGTTAGATATATGAGTGGTGCGCCACTGCACTCCAGCCTGGGTGACAGAGCAAGACAGTGTCTAAATTTAAAAAAAAAAAAAAAAAGTAAACCAATCTATGACAATTTATTCAGAAGTGGAGAATGCTAAAAGGAAATAAAAAGTCATTCGAGGCCAGGCGCAGTGGCTCAAGCCTGTAATCCCAGCACTTTGGGAGGCCGAGGCGGGTGGATCACAAGGTCAAGAGATCGAGAACATCCTGGTCAACATGGTGAAACCCCGTCTCTACTAAAAATACAAAAAATTAGCTGGGCATGGTGGCGTGTGCCTGTAATCCCAGCTACTCAGGAGGCTGAGGCAGGAGAATTGCCTGAACCCAGGAGGCGGAGGTTGCGGTGAGCCGAGATCACGCTATTGCACTCCAGCCTGGGTAACAAGAGCGAAACTCCGTCTCAAAAAAAAAAAAAAAAAAAAAAAAAGTCATTCGAGTAGCAAGGGCTGTTATTAAAGGGTACTAAATGAGGCCCCTTCTGAGACCTAGGCTCAGTCATCATGCATGGGAAGCAGCCAGCCTTGTGAGTGCTGCTGGTCACCGCCCTGCATGTGCAAAGGTCTTGGGGGCAGGACGGAGGCTGGTGTGACCTCTTGAAGCCATTAACAGCCAGTGTGACTCTTGAGAGGAAGGGGGCCCAACATGTGCTTATAGAAGGAAGTAGCTGTCCTGTGGCCTTTCCCATGGCTGATTTCTTTTCTTTCTTTCTTTTTTTTTTTTTGAGACAGTCTTTCCTAGTGGCATGCTCTCAACTCACTGCAACTTCTGCCTCCTGGGTTCAAGTGATTCTCCTGCCTCAGCCTCCTGAGTAGCTGGGATTACAGGTGCATGCCACCATACCCAGCTAATTTTTTTACTTTTAGTAGAGACAGAGTTTCACCCTGTTGGCCAGGCTGGTCTCCAACTCCTGAACTCAGGTGATCCACCTGCCTCAGCCTCCCAAAGGGCTGGAATTACAGGTATGAGGCACTGCTCCCAGCCTTGGCTCATTTATTTTCTCCACAAAGCCATTTCTTCCGAGTCAGTGATTCTCAAACTTTATAGCCTATCAACTAGAAGGATTGTCTAAACAAAGGCTGCTAAGCCCTTCCCCCAGAATTTGTTTTGTAGGTGTGGAGTGGGACCCCAGAATTTGCTTTACTAAAAACTTTTAAGGGGGGTGCTGCTGCTGCTGGCCTGGGGATCCCACGTTGAGAACCACCACATTATCAAGGGGACAGGACACCGATTGCTCATGCCAGCTGAGAGACAACACAAAGGAGAATCTTTTTAAGCAGTGTGTCTGTGCTTCAGGTCACACAAGGACTGAGTCAGGGCAGCCAGGGCCATGACCCTTTTGGCTGCTGTTGGGAGGGGAGGGGTGGTACTTGCTCCTGGGTGCTCCCTCATCTCCACTGTGCTATCAGCCAGGTGGGGTGGAGACAGCCTGAGGCTGGCCAGATCTTTGGGGGCCCTTCTCCTATCTTCCTTCTGCCGGCTCAGGGCTCCTCAACACAGGAGGCCAGACAGAGGGGCAAGTTTGCCTCATTCTGGCCTCTCGGTCCAGGGTATGGAACACTTCCTCTTCCCTAAGCGTCCCATCCATCCCTGTCTAGTTATGCTTCCTCTCCTCAAGGTAACAAAGTTTCTCAGACAAGAAACCTCTCTAGTCACTTGAGCCCAATTCCTCTCTTCAGGATCCAGGACTCTCAAGCATAGGATTGGGATTACATCAGCAACACTGATGTAATCCTGATCACGGATTCAATCCTGAAACGACCAAAGCAGTGAGTCTAGAGTGAGGCCAGGTATTTCCCTGTGATCCAAAAAGCACTCTGCATGCACTTTCCTGAGAGTTGACAGGTCTGGGACACCTCTGCCAGCCTCACAGCCAGCTGGATCCTAGATTCCTGGTATCCATTCACTTCCATCTGGTTTTCTCATCCCTGCTGTGGTCAGCAGAATACCACCCTCCCATATCCATGTCCTAATCCCTGGAACCTATGAATATATTAGGTTACATGACAAAAGGGAACGGAATTGCCAATGGAATTAAGGTTGCTAATCAGCTGGCCTTAAAGATTCTCCTCAACTATATGGGTGAGCCTGGTGTAACCATGAGGGTCCTTAAAAGTGGAAGAGGGCTGCGGAGAGAGAACCACAGAGAGGGCAGCAGTGGAAGGACTCTGGCTGAGGCTGCTACTTGAAGATGGCAGAATGGGCTGCGAGTCAAGGGATGCAGGTAGCCTATGGAGGTTAGAAAAGACAAGAAAAGATTCTCCCCTGGAGCCTCCAGGAGGAATGCAGCGCTGTCGACACCTTGATTTTAGCCCAGTGAGACCCACTTCAGTCTTCTTACAAAACCGTAAGCCCCCAACTGCAGATGCCTAAGGTAGTGAAGAACTCAGAGGCATTTGCGGGTGCGCCTTGTCCTATTGAGCGAATCCCATTAAGGTTCATAGGAAGATCCCACAATTAAGAAGCTTTCATTAGCAAAAATGCCACCAGCTGTGATTGAAAGGGACAGAGACAATACAAAATGAAGAGGCCTTCGCATCCCCACACTCATTTCTTTCATGGGTAACCTAGTCCTCTCCCCTTAACGACAAAATGCCTCTAAAACGGAGTCGATAGTTGGAAAATTGCTTGTGGAGTAATTTCCAACGGGCTCGAGGGAAAGCCCATTGAAATAGCCCCAGCCTACAGCAAGGAAGCCCTTAAAGGAGACAGCATTCAGGAATCTCCTCCCGTAAAAATGCGGATCAAACACTGACCCTGAAATGACACAGCAGTTCCCGCCGGCCGATAGGTTTTTTATATTTTGAGGGTTCCAGGCCACCCACCCACGGCTGCCCTGTTCAGACTGAGGGACTTCTCATTTCCTTAGTCTTCCCAAACTTTAAATACGGCTCAAGACGACTGTGAAAGCGACCAGGGGTTACCCTGAGTCGAAAGCCAAGGCGCAAGAAACCGCGGAGGGGAAACTAGGTGCCCAGCGACCACGAAGGTCGACGCCTGCGTACACCCAACGTTCCCAGGACCCTTCGCGGCCAAGTCACTTCCTGTCCCCGGGGCTCCTTATTGTTGGATTCCGGTGGACTTTAAAGAAGTGTGCAACAAAAAAAAAAAACACGATAGATAATAGATTCTGGGAGCAAGAACAGGCGGAAGCCTTTCTGGGAAGTAAAGTCCATGAGAGCGTGTGTATCACAAACCTGGGGTCAGGAATGAAAGACTGACCAGAAACAGAGCCCTGCGGCGACTTATGGGAAATGGAGTCCCGTGAGGCCGCGGGGGGGTGGGGTGGGGCGTGTGCGCATGACCGGAAGTGGCGAGAATCAGGCGCCTCCTTCTGGCGCCGGAGCGGGACCTGGTCTTGGGCAGTATTTGATCCGCGGTTCCTGAGCTCGCGTGGTTGCCAGTTGCCAGTCGTTTTCCGGAAAGCCGGCAGCCGGCTTTTTCACCGTGTTCTGCTTGAGGCCGAGTCAAAGAGTGGCTGTGACTCGGGAGACGGGGTGGGACACCGGCTGGGCAGGCCTGGTCCGAGTACCCGCGACCCAGCACCGCAGGATGAACCCGTGCTTCTGAGGCGAGAGGCTGGAGGGGAAGAAGTGTCCAGGCTGAGAGCCGTCAGAGCAGCCCTGGAAGACGGGTCAGGGGCTGCTGTAGATAGACCCTGACACAGAGAACTGCTGGGAGGCTGTGGCGCGAGGTGGGACTCAAATGCTGGAGGAAGGAGGTGAGGAGTGGTAGAGGGAGCGATCGTCAGGAGATCGGCCCCTGCTTCGTTTCCCCACGACTGCCGCTGTGAGAGCCGGATCAGAACTCTCTTCATCTCTTCTACAGGTGGTTGGAGACAATCCTCTTTTCTTTCTTTGCCCGTGACACAGCCCCAGGGTATCCTGAGAACATGTACCCGGACAGTTCCTTTTTTTGAGTAAAAAATTCGGGGGTCTAAAAAGTTTGAGGACCTCAGGGCTGCGCGATTTCTGAGTATTGTACCACGTACCCCAGACTGCTTGAGGGACCAGTGACAGTGGGGAGTAGGGAGAAGTGGGTTCCTGAGGACTCTATCGATTTTCTCCTTTTGGCCCTTCTAGGATCAGCCAGGGATGCCTGCAAGCCCAGGAAAGTTTGAGGGCAGGTCAGCCCAGTAGGACTGTGAAGTTGTGGAGGACAGGGGAATTTAGTTAGAAGGCACAGGTTCTTTTGAAAGCTGTGAGGTATCGAGGTATCGGCCATGTCTCTTAACCTATATTTCTCCATGGAAGAAAGGACAAAATAACGTTACTTTGTTTACCTCAGAGAATTGTAATCATCAAATGAAATAACACTTTTGAAAGCACCCTGAATGTGGTACAGAACAAATGTGTAAGCAGGCAACCTCTGTAAGCCTTACCCACCAATGCCTGTGGTGTCCACCCCTAGATCGACTAAATTTGGTCTGTTACTCTCCAAGTGCAGTTTCACATCCAGCATTTGGTGCTGTCCACAAGATCAAGAGGTCCTTATATTTATTTTTTTGTTTTTGAGACAGAGTCTTGCTCTGTCACTCAGTCTAGAGTGCAGTGGTGCGATCTCGGCTCACTGCAGCCTCTGTCTCCGAGGTTCAAGCGATTCTCCTGCCTCACCCTCCTGAGTAGTTGGGACTACAGGTGCCTGACATTACAGATGCCTGATATCTGTCTAATTTTTGTATTTTTAGTAGAGATAGGGTTCCACTATGTTGGCGAGGCTGGTCTTAAACTCCTGACCTCAAGTGATCCACCCACTTCAGCCTCCCAAAGTACTGGGATTACAGGTGTGAGCCACTGCACCTGGCCAAGAGGTCCTTATATTTGGCCTTGCACTTGAAGAGTGGAAAGTGCAATTTCACATCCAGCATGTTGTATTATCTTCCCCAGAGACCTGGGAAAACAGGTGGTCATTCATCCTCTCCATACTACAAAAGAGTGAAAATACATGCTGTCAGGTTAGATGACTCAGTAGCAGAGGGTCTGTTCTAAGATCAGTATCTAGATCTACTTATTGATTTTATTCAGACGTCCTTCACATATCATAATACCCTTTTAAACTGAACCATTCAGTGCTTTTTAGTATTTGCACAACCACCACTATTTAATTCCAGCACATTTTCATTAACTGAAGAAGAAACCCCATAGCCTCTAGCATTCACTCACCAGTCCCCTATTTCTTTGCTAATCCCTGGCAACCACTCGTCTACTTTCTGCAACTGTGGACTTGCCTAGGACGTTTCAAATAAATGGACTTACAATGTGTGACTTTTTTTTTTTTTTTTTTGAGATGGAGGTTTGCTCTTGTTGCCCAGGCTGGAGTGCAATGGTGCAATCTCGGCTCACCGCAACCTCCGCCTCCCAGGTTCAAGTGATTCTCCTTCCTCAGCCTCCCTAGTAGCTGGGACTACAGGTGCCCACCACTATGCCCTGCTGATTTTTGTATGTTTAGTAGAGATGGGGTTTCACTGTGTTGCCCAGGCTGGTCTCGAACTCTTGGTCTCCCTAAGTTCTGTGATTACAGATGTGAGTCACTGCACCCAGCCTCTTCACTTTCTTGACAGGGTCTTTTGGAGCACAAAGTTTTTAATTTTGAAGAAATCCAACTTACCTATTTTTTCTTTTGCTGCTTGTGCATTTGGTGTCATATCTAAGAAATCATTGCTGAATCCAGGCTCACAAAAATGTATGGTTTTCTTCTAAGAGTTATACTCTTAAAAATTTCTTTGGGATAGTGTCTGTCAACCAGGCTGGAGTGCAGTGATAGGATCACAACTTGCTGCAGCCTCGACCTCCCTGGCTCAAGCGATCCTTCCACTTCAGCCCCCCAAGTAGCTAGGACTTTGGCACACACTACCAGGCCTGGCTAAATTTTGTTTTGTTTTGTTTTTTTTCAAAGATGGGGTTTCACCGTGTTGGTCAGGCTGGTCTTGAACTCCCAACCTCAGGTGATCCACCTGCCTTGGCCACCAAAGTGCTTGGATTACAGGTGTGAGCCACCACGCCCGGCCTAAATTTTGTATTTTTAATAGAGAACGGGGTCTTGCCATGTTGCCCAGGCTAGTTTCAAACTCCTGGTCTCAAGCAGTCTGCCCGCATCAGCCTTGAAAGTGCTGGGATTACAGGCGTGAGCCACCACACCTAGCCAAGAGTTTTACGTCTTAACTTTAGGTCTTTGATCTATTTTGAGTTAATTTTTAAATATAGTGTAAAATGAGCCTCTGTGCCCAGCCTCTTCATTTAAGCAAATGCCTTAAATTTGCAGAGCCACTTTCTCCAAAGAACTAAGTAATAGATAATCTTTTAAAACTATATACTTAGGCACTGGGCATTTGCAGACTGCTTTATCTGTATGTTCCTTTAATCTTCACGGCAACCTTACAAGGGATTATCATCCCCATTTTGTAGATAAGAAAAATGAGACTTAGAGAGGTTACATGATTTGCCCACTGCTGCTGAGTGGTAGATCATGGATACATGAGAGTCTGTTAACACTCTAATGCCTCCCTTACATCTGAGTGAGTTGTTGGCATTTCTGAGGCAGGAGGGAATGGGGAAATTTACATCACACAGGTCTGCAGATTCAGCCCAGGTGCCCTGGTAGCTGCTTTGTCCTCTCTTCATAATGACAATTGGTGACTTCATAAACTGCTTTTATACCTTATTAGTTTTGTTCTCTTTCTCTAGTACTACCTTCCCCAGACTCTGTCCTTCCCCAAGAGGAAAACACAGGAGAGGAAGGAATGGCTGCTGGTCTCCTCACAGCTGGGCCCCGGGTAAGTTGCAAATTAACTTTTTTCCTTCCCCCACTCCCCACCCAGGGTTGGCTTGCTTTTTGATGTTGTTTGTTTTATTTATTTATTTGTTTGTTTGTTTATTGAGGCTGAATCTCATTCTTTTGCCCAGGCTGGAGTGCAGTGGCATGATCTCGGCTCACTGCAACCTCTACGTCCTGGGTTCAAGCGATTCTCCTGCCTCAGCCTCCCGGGTAGCTGGGATTATAGGCACTACCACACCCAGCTAATTTTTTTGTGTTTTTAGTAGAGATGGAGTTTTACCATGTTGGGCAGGCTGTTCTCAAACTCCTAATCACTCAAGTGATCTGCCCGCCTCTGTAAGGGCTGGGATTGCAGGCATGAGCCACCATGCCCAGCCTGTTTTTTTTTTTCCTGAGACAGGGCCTCAATCTATCACCTAGGGTGCAGTGCAGTGGTACAATCACGACTCACTGCAGCCTTGACCTCCCGAGCTCAAGCAATCTCCCCACCTCAGCCTTTTATGTAACTGGGACCACAGGCTCGTGCCACCATTCCCAGCTAATTTTTTAAGTTTTGTAGGGTCAGGGTTTTGTTGTGTTGCCCAGTGTGGTCTTGAACTCCTGGGCTCAAGCCATCCTCCAGCCTTGGCCTCCCAACGTGCTAGTGTTAGAGGTATGAGCCATCCCACCCAATCATTGTAGGTTTTGTTTTGTTTTTACAATTTTTCTACAATGAACAAAGTAATCATTTTCACTGGAACATAGAGAAAACACAAAGAAAAAGTTAAAAATCACTCTTAATCCCACACAAAAATAGCACCTAACATTTTGATTTGTGTCTCTCTCTCTCTCTTTTTTTTTTTTTTGTTGGAGTCTTGCTCTGTCGCCCAGCCTGAAGTGCAGTGGTACAATTTCAGCTCACTGCAACCTCTGCCTCCTGGGTTCAAGTGATTCTCCTGCCTCAGCCTCCTGAGTAGCTGGGATTACAGGTGCGCCCTACCACAGTGCATCCTACCACACCTGGCTAATTTTTGCATTTTTGGTAGAGACGGGATTTCCTCATGTTGGTCAGGCTGGTCTTGAACTCCTGATCTCAAGCGATCCACCCTCATCAGCCTCCCAAAGTGTTGGAATTACAGGGGTGAGCCACCGCATCCAGCTCATATTCTTTCTTTTCTATATTTTTCCCAAAGTGGATTTATTCTGCTCTGTAATGTTTCTATTTCCACTTAGCAGAATTCAATGAACATTCTCCCATTTCACTGCATATTCTACCAAATCATTTCTAACACATTCTTGTTTTTTTTTTTTCTTAAATAATTTCAGCTTACTATTTTAGATTTGGGGTAGGTGTGCCGGCTTGTTACATGGGTATATTGTGTGATGCCAGGGTTTGGGGTACAGATGATACCATCACTCAGGTAGGGAGCATAGCACCTCGTAGGTAGTTTTTCAGCTGATGCTGCCTTTTCTCCCTCCTGCCTCTAGTAGTCCCCAGTGGTTTTTGTTCCCATCTTTGTGTCCATATATACTGGACACATACCCTACTCATAAATGAGAACATTCGGTATTTGGTTTTCTACTCCTGCATTAATTCACTTAAGATAATGGACTCCAGATGTATCCATGTCACTGCAAAGGACATGCCTTCATTTTTTATGGCTGCATCGTATCCACATGTATATCATATTCTACATGTATATTTTCTTTACCTAGACCACCATTGACAGGCACCTGGGTTGATTCCATGTCTTTGCTGCTGTGAATTGCACTATGAGGAACATGCACATGAATGTGTCTTTTTGGTAGAATGATTTATTTTCCTTTCAGTATTTACACTCAAATATTTATTTTCCTTTGAGTATTTATACCTGGGATTGCTGGGTCAAATGATAGCTCTGTTTTTAAGTTCTTTGGGAAATCTCCAGACTGCTTTTCCACAGTGACTGAACTAATTTAATTAACATTCCCATCCGCAGGTATAAGCTTTCCCTTTTCTCTGCAGCCTCACTGGCATCTGTTAGCTTTTACTTTTTAATGTTAGCCATTCTGCCTGATGTGAGAATATCTCATCATGGTTTTAATTTGCATTTCTCTGGTGATTAGTGATGAGTATTTTTTCATCTATTGGCCACTTATATGTCTTAAGTGTGTCTGCTCATGTCTTTTGCCTGCTTTTTAATGTGATTATTTGTTTTTTGCTTTGTGCTTTAAGTTCCTTATAGATTCTGAATATTAGACCTTTGTCAGATGCACATTTTTGAATATCTTTTCCCATCCTGTCGGTTGTATGATTAGTCTGTTGATAGTTTCTCTTTTTTGTTGTTTTTTTTCTTTGAGAGTCTTACTCTGTCACTCAGTCTGGAGTGCAGTGGCACAATCTCAGCTCACTGCAACCTCCACCTCCCGGGCTCAAGTGAGTCTCATGCCTCAGCCTCCAGAGTAGCTAGGATTATAGGCATGGGTCACCACACCCAGCTAATTTTTGTATTTTTAGTAGAGAGGGGGGTTTTACCTTGTTGGCCAGGCTGTTCTGGAACTCCTAACCTCAGGTGACCCTCCCACCTGGGCCTTCCAAAGGATTACGAACGTGAGCCACCACGCCTGGCCCTAATAGTTTCTTTTGTTGTACAGAAGCTCTTTAATCAGGTCTCACTTGTCAGTTGTTTGGGTTGCAATTGCTTCTGAGGACTTAAGCCAAGAATTCTTTGCCCGAGCCAAGGTCAAGAAGGGTTTTTCCTTGGTTTTCTCCTATGGTTTTTAATAATTTAAAGTTTTACATTTAAATCTTTAATCCATGTTAATTTTTGTATATGGTGAAAGGTGGGGGCCCAGTTTCACTCATCTGTATATGACTAGACAGTTATCCCAGTACCATTTATTGAGTAGGGAGTCTTTTCCCCATTGATTTCCTTGAAGATCAGGTGGTTATAGGTTTCTGGGTTCTCTTTTCTGGGTCTATGTGCCTGTTTTTGCACCAGTACCATGCTATCTAACACATTGTTCCTTTCATATAGTCCTATGAGAGTAGGAACTGTCCTTTTTTCTTGACTAGGTAATTAGCTATTTCTTTTCTCCCCGCCCCCCCACCCCAAAAAAAAACCCCAAAAGATGGAGTTTTGCTCTTCTTATGGAGACTGGAGTATAATATTGCGATCTAGGCTCACTACAACCTCTGCCTCCCAGGTTCAAGCGATTTTCCTGCATCAGCCTCCTGAGTAGCTGGGATTACAGGCATGTGCCAAGACACCCGGCTAATTTTTTGTATTTTTGGTAGAGATGGGGTTTCTCCATGTTGGTCAGGGTGGTCTTGAACCCCTGACTCAGGTGATCCACCTGCCTCGGCCTCCCAAAGTGCTTGGATTACAGGTGTGAGCCACCACGCCCAGCCTATTTTCATGTTTAAAGTTTGCTGTTGGATTTCCTTGTCAGGAAAGAGCATTACTCTTTATTAATATATTTTTCTTTATTAATCTCTTGTTTCTGCTTTCCTCAGGTTTATTTTAAAATTCATTTTTTAACTTCTTGAGTTGAATCCTTAACTCACTTTCTTCCTTGCTGGTTTACATTGAAGGTTTTTGGCTATGTATTTTATTTTGTTTACATATTCCAAACTTAGGATTTGGATTTCTTCATCTGCCCATTTGGCTGATCTTCATGAGGACTTCATGTCTCTTGTCAGCACAAAATGCCAGCACAGTCTGATTGCAGGGTGTAGGGTTTGCTAGCTCTGTCAGCTCAACCTTATTAAGTTAGTCTGTCTTGCATGTCTTTATTCTTTTTTGTGGTTTATTCCCTTTGGGCTGTCAATGACTGAGTTATTTTAACATCTCTCAAAACCCTAACATTCTAAATTTCTCGTTGCATTTCCTGCAGCTGTTTCTATTTTTATTATTCATTTTTATTTTTTTATTTTTATTGAGGCCAATACCCATGGAGTGACATTCCACCCCTGTTGGCCTGGCCTACCAAGCTGTTTCTTTATGAATTATATTTTTCTTTGCTCATGATGTTTATATCTTTATAATGGATATTACTTTCTTGATTATTTTGAAGTTACATGAAGATTTTAAATATTTTTTAGTTTTTTATATTTTTAGTAGAGATGGGATTTCACCATGTTGGCCAGGCTGGTCTGGAACTCCTAATCTCAGGTGATCCTCCCACCTCGGCCTCCCAAAGTGCCAGGATTACAGGCATGAGCCACCATGCCCGGGATAAATATTTCTTAGTTTTAAAAGGTGACCCTCAGGCCGGGCGCAGTGGCTCACACCTGTAATCCTAGCACTTTGGGAGGCCGAGGTGGTTGGATCACCTGAGGTCAGGGTTTCAAAACCAGCCTGACCATCATGGTGAAACCCCATCTTAAAAAAAAAAAAAAAAAAAGGTGACCCTCTTTGTTCCACTGAATGTACCTCTTGGTGTGGTAAATGGATTGGAAGAGCAGGTAAAATCAGAGGCCCAGAGACTGCTTCCAATATGGAAATTGTTGCTGGTTTGCAAGGCAGTGGTAGAGGAGTGGAAATAAATGGGTGAATTCTCATGATATTAGGAGGAAGAGTCAATGGGGGAGCCGCAGGAAAGGAGAGTATAATACCCAGGTTCTGTCTTGGCCAACTAGGTGAACGGAGGCCTCTCCCCGAGCTGGGAACAGACAAAGAGCAGCAGGTGAAGATGGGTTTCTCTGTTACATTTTGTCGAGTTTGAGTTCCTGTGGGACTTAGCCAGGAGATGATTTCTGCCTTAGGTTAATACTGTGTGTTAGCTCCTGATTCTTTTCTTCTCTTTCCTTCTGGCTACCCCTGCCTCCGAGTACCTAGCAGAGGATGAATTACATAGAGCAGGTGCCTCTGTGTTACATGAACGGCTTCAGCTGAACTGTGTGCCTTGCAGCTCCTGCCCAGAGTCTCCTAACTCCAGACCCGTGTTTTCACCTGTGATAGAATATTTGCACCTGGATTTCCTATGGCCACCTGAAACTCTGTGGGCCCCAAAACAGACTCGTTACCTTACTAACAGACCCCTTCCCATGTTTCTTCTCTTTATGATGACACTGTCATCTGTCTGGTCTTCCAAGCAGGAAACACCTTTGATTTATTCTCAGATCTTCTCTCAAAAAGCTCATTTCTGGCCTTGCCTCTAGTCCCTCTCCTCAAGCAGGATCCTCTCTCAGCTTGACATTGACACTGTTGGAGTTCTTTTTTTTTTTTTTTTTTTTGAGACAGAGTTTCGCTCTTTGTTGCCCAGGTTGGAGCATAGTGGTGTGATCTCAGCTCACTCCAACTTCTGCCTCCTGCGTTCAACCAGTTCTCCTGCCTCACCCTCCCAAGTAGCTGGGATTACAGGTGCCCGCCACCACACCTGGCTAATTTTTGTAGAGACAGGGTTTCACCATGTTGGCCAGACTGATCTCGAACTCCTGACCTCGGCCGGGCGTGGTGGCTCAAGCCTGTAATCCCAGCACTTTGGGGGGCCGAGGCGGGCAGATCACGAGGTCAAGAGATTGAGACCATCCTGGTCAACATGGTAAAAACCCATCTCTACTAAAAATACAAAAAAAAAATTAGTTGGGCATAGTGGCGCATGCCTGTAATCCCAGCTACTCAGGAGGCTGAGGCAGGAGAATTGCCTGAACCCAGGAGGCGGAGGTTGTGGTGAGCCGCGATTGCACCATTGGACTCCAGCCTGGGTGACAAGAGCGAAACTCCGTCTCAAAAAAAAAAAACTCCTGACCTCAGGTGATCCGCCTGCCTTAGCCTCCCAAACTGCTGGGATTACTGGTGTGAGCCACTGCACCTGGCCTGTTGGAGTTCTTCACCTCTCCCCACCGTCATCTCAAGACACAGTGGCCTTCCAGCAGCTCCTGTTGCCTGAGGGATAAAAGCACCATATTTATCAAGTGATTCAAGGCTTTTTACATTCTGACTTCAGCAGCCTTTCTGCCACTCTCCATTCCCTCACCCCAACTGCCTGCCATTTCCTAAACACACCAGGACTCTCGCCTCTATGCCTCTGCTCATGGTGCCTCTCCTGCCTTGGATAGCCTTCTCTTGCTCCATCCAGGAACCTTCTCCTTCAAGGCCAGCTCAGTAATTGCCTTCTCTCTCTGGTCCTCCGAGCTTGTCCTTCCTCCCTGCCTTTCTGTTTTCCTGGCAACTAGTCTGTCTTTTTTTTTTTTGTCACGTGCTACATTTGATTGTATACATACCTGGCTCTCCTGCTGTACTGGGTGGTACGTGAGTTCCCAAAAATATTTGTTAAATGTTCTGAAAACTCAGCTTTCACATTTCTTTGATAATTTGCACCTGATTCTTCACTGTATCAACTCTAATTTTGCTCTTTATTATCTCTTCAAGTCCCAAGCACCCATTAATTTTTGCCCAGTTACTACACAGACACACATATACTCTCACACACCCACACACTCACACACTGTTTCTCTCTCTCTCTATTTATACATAAAGTCTACCAGGATTATAAATGTGTGAAGACAAGAGACAGTGGTGTGTGTGTGTGTGTGTGTGTGTGTGTGTGTGTGTCAGAATCATCATAGTATTAGGCACTTCAATGCTAATGATCAATAAATGCTTTTCTGGTTTTTTTTGAGACAGAGCCTCGTGTCACACAGGCTGGAGTGCAGTAGCATGATCTCAGCTCACTGCAATCTCTGCCTCCTGGGTTCAAGCAATTCTCCTGCCTCAGCCTCTCGAGTAGCTGGGATTACAGGTGTGCACTACCACACCTGGCTGATTTTTGTATTTTTAGTAGAGACAGGGTTTCACCATGTTGGCCAGGCTGGTTTCAAACTCCTGGCCTCAAGTGATCTGCCTGCCTCGCCTCCTGGCCTTCCAAGGTGCTGGGATTACAGGCATGAGCCACTGCACCCAGCCATTTTCCACAACTACCCAGAGACCTGAATCTTTTCAAAGACTCTTTTCCAGCTCCCCCAAAACTGTCAATGTCAAGCACCCCGTCACCTCTACCCTAGATCCTGAGGCCACTGGCAAGATGAAATGTGCTTGTTTTTTCAGGGATCCACATCCTTTAGCAGTGTGACAGTAGCTTTTGCACAGGAAGGGTGGAGGTACCTCGTGTCTACTTCAAGGGACAGGTTCAAGGACAGGATACCAGAAAAGTCCAGGAACCTGGTCCTATTAGGTAAGGAAACTGTTTTATTTTTTTTTAAGATTTAGAACCACTTAATTCTGAAAATCTGTGGCACTTGCTTTTCAGAATGTCGGGGTCTCTGATGGCTGTGATGGACCAGAGGGATAGTGTTCATTCCTCTTACTCTCTTGTGGAAGGTCTCTGCATGCCCACTTGGCAAATAGGCAGTTTCCCTTTGCTTCCTCCAAGGCTGTACTTCCCCATTGTCTCATTCCCAGGAGGGGTGGGGTAACCCCTCAGGTCATTTCCTCTATGTTCAGTTAAGTTTCCATCTTCCTAAATTGGGAACTTTCTGAGTTTAGCTTAGCTCCCTGGCTTGAGCCCTCCTTCAGGCTGTTTCCTAGCTCCTTCCAGAAACGTTGTACGTAACCTTGGCATGGCCTGGTGAGGTGGCTCACACCTGTAATCTGAGCATTTTGGGAGGCCAAGGTAGAACAGTCAGCTGAGACCAGCCTGAGGAACATAGTGAGACCCTGTCTCTAAAATTAAAAAGATGTTTAAAAAGACCTTGACACTGTGTCTCTTACTTTTGTTGTAGTCCCTGGTGCATGCACCAAGTAAGTGCTCAATAAGTATTTGTTTGCTGAATGAAATGAGAACAATCCGACTGGCCTGCTTGCTCTCGCCTGAGTTCTGGGTGGCTGTTCATACTTATTCACAAATTCTAAAGCCTGTTTTTTTCTGTCGAATAGGACTTCCAGTTTCCCAGCCTGGCATGAACTCCCAGCTGGAACTAAGGGAAGGCGCATGGATGCTGGAGAGCGAAGACCTGCGAAATCCCTCTCCAAGTAAGTGAGCAAGCATTTGCCAGCGGGAGTCTTGGGAGCAAAAGTGCCTTGATATCACAAGAGTGCCTTCGATTATCATAACAACTGTGAGGTAGGCGCTATTACCTCCATTCTATAGGCGAGGAAATGGAGCTGAGAGAGGCTGACTCACTGGTTTAAAGCTGAGATTTGAAGCAAACTCTATCTGCCTCTAAAACACACTCTTCCTCACCTCATCCTTACAGAGATCCCCAGGGCCAAGAGGTGTTTGAGAGCACTGTGATGTTACTGGCCTCTGAAAGAGTATCCTTCCTTATTGGTGGGGAACAAGGGTCATCTTTGTTGGCCTGGCACATTCCCTGCTTGGGGTCTACCTCACCAAGGATCCTTTACTCATGCCACTGGCTGTCGCGGCTCCTGCTACCGCCGCATCTGCCCCTTAATTCATTCTGCTCCTTCTTTCTCACTGCATGGCAGTGCCAGAATTTTCCAAAGGGCTGATACTAAGAAACTCAGGGAAAACAGAAGGAAGGGAGACCGTAGTTTCCACTGCATCTCTCTTACTGCCCATCTACAACTGCTAACCTCTCTCAGCCTCTGTCCCAGTGTGACCTCTGAGGGCCTCAGCAGCTTTTCCCTGGGGACCCAGTCACTTTTGATGTTTGAGACGTAAGTCATCAAAGGTACAAATGAATTAAGCCACTTTGAGGTGACAACATTTGACCTGTTTCTAAAGATGCAGCCTATGTGTTGCTTTATTTCTTTAGTTATAAGTTATTTTTGCTGATAGGGCAATGGGCACAAAGCCCCTGGAGCAGCCTTTGCATGGTTCCCTGGAGCTGCCTCTCCTCCTTCCCATCTTACCATCCTCTAAGCAGCCTGTCGCTCGTGGCTGCCCGGCACCACTCATGCTTGTGGAAACTGCCTATGGCAGGCAGCCTCCCTGGCCCTGCTGCTTCCTCCTCCCAAGGCCCTTGCTGCCTTGGTGTTTCTATGCTCTATACAGTCTTTCCATCCTCTGTGGAGCTTTAGAAATTGAGAGCAGTGTTTAGTGGCGAGGGGAACAACTGCATTTTTCTGGGAAGAGTGTTCATCATAGTCTCAGAGGGATTCAAGAGCCTGAAAAGGTCGCTGTATGAGTTTTCTTGGGCTCTCACAAGAAATAACCACAAACTGGGTGAACTAAAAACAACAGCAGTTGGTGCACTCCTGGTTCCGGAGGCCAGAGGCCTGAAACCTGAAACCATGGTGTCAGCAGGGCCGGCTCCCTCCACAGGCTCTGGGCAGTGTCCTCCCTTGCCACTTTCTAGTTTCTGGTGGTTGCCAGCAATCTTCAGTGCTCCTTGGCTTATAGCTGTATCACACCAATCTCTGCCCCTATCATCACGTGACATTCTGTGTCCAGATTTCCTTCTCTTGAGGGTATTAAAATACCCGAGTTCAGTTTGGCCTCATTTTAGCTTGTGATTACATCCACAAAGACCTTATTTCCAAGCAAGCAATTATTCTGTACTTTGAGGTGGACATGATGCGGGGGCACCGTTCACCCTAGTACAGTGGCCCCAAAGGTTAAAATCACCACATCATAGAAACGGGAGTTGGAAAGGGTCATTTCCAGGAAGGGGGTGCTTGGAGGCATCAGTGTAGGGCAGTAGAAGCAGCTCTGGGTGTGGGTGCACCTGAGTGGAGAACCAGAGCCTCTGCTCTTCCACAGCAGTTGTCAGCACAGGAGACTTCTGTGAGAGGGCTAAGTTTTTCCCCACACACCAAGCAAGCAATTAATTTTGTGGCCGACACCATCTACCTGGGGATAGCATCAGATCCCACAGATTGAGGGCTCAGTCCCACAAGGTGCCCCTGGCTCTTTCCTACCAGTTGCAAGTCCAGGCCTCCAGAACTTTTGACCCACTGGCTTCAGATTGGGGTTCCCATGACTCCTCTTTGAATTACATCAATTTGTTAGAGAAATTACACAGAACTTAGTGAAGCACTTATTTTAGGAAGGATGAAGATGAAAAGCTGCATGGGACAAGGTGTGGGGAAGGTGCAGCGAGCTTTCATGGCTTCCCTGGACAGCCACCCTGCAGGAGCCTCCATGTGTTCAGCTCTCTGGAAGCTCTCCAAAGCCTGTCTGCTTGGGCCTCTTATTCATCAGAGAGGCATGACTGAAGCAGGGGCAGCATGTTGAAATGAGATTGGACAGAAAGGGCCTGACTGAACACAAGCAGACTGAATGGGGACACCCAGCAGGGCCTGACTGTGCAGATTCTTCTTGGCCTCTGCACAGCATTCCTTCCTCCAGAGTGTGGGGCAGGATCTTCTCTAGAACAAGGGTCGTATGGGCCACACTCAGATTAGAGTCCTACCTTGGGCAGGTGAAAGAAGGGCAGGGGGAGGTCAGGGAGAGATTCTGTTTTCTGAGGCCTAAAGTGCTCTAACGTTTTAACAAAATACTGTAGCAGTGACTGTGTGCAGTGACTCATGCCTGTAATCTCAACATTTTGGGAGGCTGAGTCAGGCAGATCACCTGAGGTCAGGAGTTCAAGACCAGTCTGGCCAATATGGGGAAAACCCATCTCTCCTAAAAATACAAAAATTCGCTGGGCATGGTGGCACACGCCTGTAGTCCCAGATACTCGGGAGGCTGAGGCATGAGAATTGCTTGAACTCAGGAGGCAGAGGCTGCTGTGAGCCAAGACTGTGCCACTGCACTCCAGCCTGGGTGACTAAGTGTCAAAAAAAAAAAGACTGTAGCAATGACTATGGGAGTTGTGAGCAAGGAACTGTGGGTGAAATACACATACACACATGCACACACATGTATACACGTATATCTCATGTCCTGGTGAGTATGAAAGATGCATGCTCACAATCCCTGCTTGCCATGCATTAACTACATGGATTCCAGGGACACCACGGAACTATAGTCATGTTTCCATATATGAAAAATATAGATGATAAAATCTTATTTCGCCAATTAACATATGTATGAAAAAAGTTGTCAACTATAGGGTTACATAAGCTATACAATGGTGAACAGAAGTGGTTGGGGGCAAGTTTCCACTCTGGCTATTCGAGGAGCTCAACATGGCCTGTTGGCCTCTGCCCTGACTCACAGTGTGTCTTGGCATCACTGTGCCTCTGAGGGCTTGGTTTGGGCCCCGTTATTCTACCCTACCCCTCCCAAGTGACAGACCCAGGAGTTTAAAGTGCCATTCTCCCTGCTGCTCGCTTTAGGGACTTCTGTGGTGGGAGTTAATGTTTTCCCAGACCCTGCTGGCCAGTACTACTCATTCTGATTCATTGAATTATTCATCAATCAGCAAGTGTGCATTAAGCATTTGGTGCGTGCCTGGCATCATTTTAGCTGCCATTGGTAAAATATATCCCCTTTGTTGAGTGGGGATGAGGACAGACACAGTCTCTGCTTATGTCTTAGTGAAGAACATGAACTGAGCAAACAATAACGAATCCACTTTTTATGGTGATGAGTTGCATGAAGAAAATAAAGCATTGCAAGGCATTAGTGACTGGGGCACAAGGCTGAGTTGGGAATAGAAGGGGAGGGGCTGTTTGAGAGCAGATGAAGAGGAAAGACTCTTTGGAGGTGACATTGGAGCTGAGAGTTGAAGGAAGAGGATGAGCAGCTGTGTGGAGACCTGGGAGAGGAACATTCTGGACAATCATATGTTGAGGCCTTGATGTGGGAATGAGCTTGCTTGTTTAAGGATTGGAAGACCTGTGTGGCCAGAGCTTAGTAAATATGAGGATGAGTGGTATGCGGGGGCACTGGAGCTGTGCTAAGGCATTTGGGTTTTAGTCACCTAGGAAAATAAGCCATTAGAGGTTTGGACGCAGGGAAGTGATGAGATTTATGTTTTTAAAGAATTCAACATTTGGCAAGTAACACTGGTGAAAAAAATTAAAAAGAATTCAGCACATGGGCCGAGCACAGTGGCTCATGCCTATAATCCCAGCTCTTTGGGAGGTCCAGACGGGTGGATCACAAGGTCAGGAGTTCGAGACCATCCTGGCCAATGTGGTGAAACCCCATCTCTACTAAAGATACAAAAAATTAGCCAGGTGTGGTGGTGCACACCTGTATCCTAGCTACTCAGGAGGCTGAGGCAGGAGAATTGCTTGAACCTGGGAGGCAGAGGTTGCAGTGAGCCGAGATCGTGTCATTGCACTCCAGCCTGGGCAACAGCAAGACTTCGACTCAAAATAATAATAATCATTTAGCATATGTGTGAAGAATGGACATTCAGGGTCAGGCATGGGAGTGGGGAGGTCATTAGGAGGAGGCTCTTGCAGTCATAGGAATGTGAGGTGATAGTGGCCTGTAAGAGCAGGGGATAGGACATACTTTGCTGTTAAAGCCAACAGGACTTGCTGGTGGATTGGATGAGAGAGGTAGGGGCAGGTTTTGGCCTGAACAGTTGGATAAGTAGGAAGATTAACAAAGGCACTGGGTTGAAAGGGAGATCAGTAGCTCTATTTGGGGTATGTTGGGCCTGAGATGTCATGTCTTCTAGTGGAGCCAGCACTTGAGAGAGGTGAGCTGAGGGACTGGCCATTTGTGAGCATCACATGGTCCTCTGAATTCCCCCTTTTCCCTGTGGCTTCTTTTCTTTTCACTCTTCCTCTTCTTTTGATTGTTTTTACTCAAATAGATGGTCTGTGATGGTGAAACCCCATCTCTACCAAAAATACAAAAATTAGCCAGGCATGGTGGTGCACATCTATAATCCCAGCTATCAGGAGGCTGAGGCAGGAGAATTGCTTGAACCCGGGAGGTGTAGGTTGCAGTGAGCCGAGATCACACCACTGCACTCCAGCCTGGGTGACAGAGTGAGACTCCATCTCAAAAGAAAAGAAAAAAGCTGTCAAACCCATAGGTGATGGGATTCCAAGTTACACAGAGACGCTCTCAGCCTGCAGTGGGGGCCACTGTGCTCTTGCTTGACTGGAGGCATTGGTGTGCACTCGCAGTTGTAAGGGAAGCCTACTTAATGTTTTAGCATGGTTTATAAGGAGAAGGTCCAGAATAATAAGAACCACCAGCTAACACTTACTGCACCTCAGCTACACTTCTGGGTCCTTTATGTGTCTTAACTCATTTAATCCTCACAGTAATTCTGTGAGGGCGCTGCTTTCACAGATGATAAATCCAAGACTTCAAAAGATTACATTAATTTGCCCAAAGTCACAGAGCAAGTAAGAGGCGGAGCCCAGATTTGAATCCAGGCAGTCTGGGTGAAGACTGTGTATAGAGATTCAACAAAAGTGTCGGGCGTGGTGGCTCACACCTGTAATCCCAGCACTTTGGGAAGCCCAGGTGGGTTGATCACCTGAGGTCAGTTCGAGACCAGCCTGAACAACATAGTGAAATCCTCTCTCCACTAAAAATACAGAATTAGCTGGGCATGATGGCATATGCTTATAATCCCAGCTACTTAGGAAGCTGAGGCAGGAGAGTCACTTGAACCCTGGAGGTGGATGTTGCAGTGAGCTGAGATTGCACCATTGCACTCCAGCCTGGGCAAGAAGAGTAAAGCTCCATCTCAAGCCAGGACAGTGGCTCATGCCTGTAATCCCAGCACTTTGGGAGGCCAAGGTGGGTGGATCATGTGCGGTCAGGAGTTCTAGACCAGCCTGGCCAACATGCTGAATCCTGTCTCTACCAAAAGTACAAAAATTAGCCAGGCGTCGTGGTGGGCACCTGTAATCTCAGCTACTCAGGAGGCTGAAGCAGGAGAATTGCTTGAACCCCGGAGGCAGAGGTTGCAGTGAGCTGAGATTGTGCTGCTGCACTCTAGCCTGGGCAACAAGAGTAAGACTCTGTCTCAAAAAAAAAAAAAAAAAAGCAAAGCTCCATCTCAAAAAAAAAAAAAATTCAAGGAAAGAATACCTAGAAGTAGTCCTGCTCTCTCTCCTCTGAGAAAGAAGGTAGAAAAGGGGAATAGTCTTTTCAGAAAAGTGGACTTTTATGGAAAGAAGCATAGCTCTCCCTAAAACTCTCCTCTGTCACTGCAGGCTCCTGTGTGGGAGACAGGGAAGTCTGGGACCTATGATTTACCTAATTTTAACACATTCCAAGTATTATACAGTCACAGGCTGCTTAATGACAGGGATATGTTCTGAGAAATGCATCACTGGGCGATTTCATTGTCATGCTAATATCAGAGTACTTATATAAACCTAATAGTGTAGCCTCCTGCACACCTAGGCCATATGGAATAGCCTGTTGCTCCCAGGCTACAGTCCTCTACAGCATGGTACTGTACTGAATAGTACAGGCTGTTGTAAGGGTATTTGTATACATAGAAAAGGTGCAGTAAAGATAAGCATAAAAGATGGTACACCTGTATAGGGCACTTAGCATGTGTGGAGCTTACAGGACTCCGGGTGAGTACGTAGTGAGTGGATGTGAAGGCCTAGGCCATCACTGGACATAAAGTAGAATTTAGAAACATCGTGCACTTAGGCTACACTAAGTTTACTTTACGTATTTTTCTTTGGGAGGCTGAGGTGGATGGATTGCTTGAGCCCAGGAGTTTAAGACTAGCCCAGGCAACTTGACAAAACCCTATTATAAAAAAAAAATACAAAAATTAGCTGGATGTGGTAGCACGGGCCTGTAGTCCCAGCTGCTCCAGACGCTGAGTTGGGAGGATCACTTGAGCCCCAGGGGTTGAGGCTGCAGTGAGCCATGATCGTGCGAGATCCTGTCTCAAAATGTGTGTGTGGTATATGTGTGTAGTACTATTTTTTACTTTTTAACTCTTGTTAAAAACTAAGAAACAGGTTGGGTGTGGTGGCTCACGCCTGTAATCCCAGCACTTTGGGAGGCTGAGGCAGGCGGATCATGAGGTCAAGAGTTTGAGACCAGACTAGCCAACATGGTGAAACCCTGTTGCTATTAAAAATACAAAAATGAGCTGGGCATGGTGGCGAGTGCCTGTAGTCCCAGCTACTCAGGAGGTGAGGCAGGAGGTGCTTGAACCTGGGAGGCAGAGATTGTGGTGAGCCGAGATTGCGCCACTGCACTCCAGCCTGGGGGACAGAGCGAGACTCCGTCTAAAAGAAATTAAGAAACACACACATTAGCCTAGACCTGACAGGATTGTGAGTATCACTGTCTTCTACCTCCACATCTTGTCCCACTGGCAGATCTTCAGGGGTAATAACAAGCATGGAGCTGTCATCTCTAAGATAACAATGTCTTCTGGAAAACCTCCTGAAGGACCTGCCTGTGGCTATTTTACAGATAACTTTTTTTTAGGAGTACAGTGTAAAATAACTATTAAAAGCACAGTATAGGCTGGGTGTGGTGGCTTATACTTGTAATCCCCAGTATGTTGGGAGGCTGAGGTGGGAGGGTCGCTTGAGTTCAGGAGTTCAAGACCAGCCTGGCTAATGTGGGGAGACCTGTCTCTCCAAAATAGCAGAATTACCCAGGTATGGTGGTGTGCTCCTGTAGTCCCAGATATTCAGGAGGGTGAGGAGAGGATTGCTTGAGCCCAGGAGGTTGAGGCTGCAGTGAGCTGTAACTGCACCCCACCTTCTAGTCTGAATGTGACCCTCTCTCAACTGAAAGAAAAAAATTAAGTATAGTAAATGCATAAGCTGGTAACATAGTTTATTAAGTATTAGTACAGTGCATAATCTTACGTGCTGTACTTTCATATGACTGGCAGCGCAGATTTGTTTACACCTGCGTCACCACAAACATTAGTAACACGTTGCATTACATTACAATGACTTTGAAGTCACTAGGTAATAGGCTCCATTACACTCTTATGAAAGGAGGTGAATCATTAAACGTGTGTGTAAGAGCTTGGCCAGACTCCTTCAGCCTTTGGTATTCCTTCCACCAAGGGAATACAATGGCTTTTTCATTTTTTTCAGACTGGAAGATTGTATCTGAATCGCCACCAGAACAAGCCCTTTCTGAAGAATCATTCCAACATCCGGGTGTAGAGATGTCCCCTGAGGATTCAGACCACAGGACCAGTGAACATGAGAAGAGCTTCAACCTGAGACCAGTCCTCTCTCCACAGCAGAGAGTGCCTGTGGAGGCGAGACCTCACAAATGTGAGGCGCATACCAAGAGTTTCAAGAACTCGGAAATACTGAAACCTCTCACAGCAAAACCGTATGCATGTAATGAGTGTGGCAAAGCTTTCAGTTACTGTTCTTCCCTTTCTCAGCACCAGAAGAGCCACACCGGAGAGAAGCCCTATGAGTGCAGTGAGTGCGGGAAGGCCTTCAGCCAGAGCTCATCTCTCATTCAGCACCAGAGGATTCACACTGGAGAGAAACCTTACAAGTGCAGTGAATGTGGAAGAGCCTTCAGCCAGAACGCCAACCTCACCAAGCACCAGCGAACCCACACCGGAGAAAAGCCCTACAGATGCAGCGAGTGTGAAAAAGCCTTCAGTGACTGCTCAGCTCTTGTTCAGCATCAGCGGATTCATACTGGAGAGAAGCCCTATGAATGCAGTGACTGCGGGAAGGCCTTCCGTCACAGTGCGAACCTCACGAACCACCAGAGGACTCACACCGGGGAGAAGCCCTACAGATGCAGCGAGTGTGGGAAGGCCTTCAGTTACTGTGCAGCCTTTATTCAGCACCAGCGAATTCACACTGGGGAGAAGCCCTATAGATGTGCCGCGTGTGGGAAGGCCTTCAGCCAGAGTGCAAACCTCACCAACCACCAGAGGACTCATACTGGGGAGAAGCCGTACAAGTGCAGCGAGTGCGGGAAAGCCTTCAGCCAGAGCACGAATCTTATAATCCACCAAAAGACCCACACTGGCGAGAAGCCGTATAAATGTAATGAATGTGGGAAATTCTTCAGTGAGAGCTCAGCCCTTATTCGACATCACATAATCCACACCGGAGAAAAACCTTATGAGTGTAACGAATGTGGTAAAGCGTTTAACCAGAGCTCATCCCTCAGTCAGCATCAGAGAATCCACACAGGCGTGAAACCCTACGAATGCAGCGAGTGTGGGAAGGCCTTCAGATGCAGCTCTGCCTTCATTAGACATCAGAGACTCCACACTGGAGAATAACCAGGAACACGGTGGAAGTGGAGAGAGCCCCGGGAATGCCCACTCAGGACTAAGGACGATGGGTGAGGACCCTGAGAAACACTAACGACTTGAAAACATCTAAGGACATCTAGAGTCTGTAGCCCAGAGCCACATGCAGAAACACCTTCAATAAATAGCCACTATTTCATATGTTGCATGTGGATGCTCAGGAGCTCTCCTTCCTTCTCTAAGCATCAAAGAATCCAGGGCTCCCTCCATTCCAGTGTATGTTTGCCTTTATTCAGACAGTGGGCCAAGCCCTTTATTTGTAAGCACTCTAGAAACTTTAGTTTATTCGGAATAAGTGACCAAATCCATGAGTAAAGAACTTGGCTCCTACATCAAAGCCAAGTCTTTGGGCAGTGCTGGCAGTTTCTCCTGGAGGTAAAGAGAAATGTTATAAAAGAACTTAAGAGCATTGGCCAGAAATGATTGTACAACTGTCAAATTTGGGGCAAGGGGAGGTGTAAATACAAGTGAGAAAAGGGATTCTAGAGCCAACTATTAAATACCAGAATCTCCTTAAAGTGGGGAACATTCCTTAATATTCCAGAACTCAGAAAAGCACAGCTAGGCCTAGCCTTTGTACAGCTTGTTGCTGTTAGAAAGATCTCACCCAGAGGCTACTGGGGTTGAGGGTAGAGCATGCTGCTAATGAACTGAGGCACATCCCTTTCCATGGAGTAGGAAGCACTCAGAATGGGGGGAGATGTGACAGCCATGCTGGACTCAGGCAGGTGAAGCATACACTGCCCCAGGTTCTTCCTCCTCCCTCCCTCATGGAGAACAGTACAACATTCCCTTTGTACTGAAACCCCAGATTTTTGGCTTTGGCCTGCTTACTGTGTTATTAATGAGTTGGTACAGTTCCTTCTAGGACACTGGAATGGAAAGCTTTTGTGCCAGTCCCTCACTCTCATCACTTAGGCTGGAGTGCACTGGTACAATTATACAGGTCTGAAGCCTCCACTCCCGAGAAAAGGTCTGGCTATGTGGCCCAGGCTGGTCTTAATTCCTGACCTCAAGGAATGCTCCTGCCACAGCCTCCCAAAGTGCTGAGTATAGGAACAAACCACTGCACCCAAAACAGAATCCTCCATCTCAGGGGCTCAGGTGGTTCTTTACACTTAAGGCAGTTCTCCAACTTGGGTGACATAAAAGCACTGACTTAAAAGAGACCACTGGCAAAAATTAATATGCAAAGAAAATGAGTCATAGAGGAAACTCAGTTCTTGGGGCAACCATTTCCAACTGCCTTTACTCCAGTATCCAGAATCCTCTCCCAGGCAGTGCTTCACACTACTCAGGAGTTGCAGCTTTCATCCCAAAGCAAAAGGGAGTGACGAGCACAGGCTCTAGAAGTAGATCAGAACAGAACAGCAGGAAGGTGAGAGAGCAGAAAATACTTTAAACCAAGTGAATTCAGAGAAAAGGCTGGAAGAACAGTTTAGTCACTGCAACAGATGACTGGTACCTCGCTTTCACAGGACCAAAGGATGAGTGCAGGACTCACAGTGGTCAGGTTTCTTTGTTGCATCATTGGTTCTGAGCCCTGGCTATGCACTGGAATGGCCATAGCAAAATGGGTCCTAGGCCCGCAACCCATTCAGTTTCAAGTGGCCGGGGATGGGAGCTGCATTCCCCATGTGTTTGTGTTGAACTGCAGGTTTTGTTAGAGCATTTCTTAGGAAAGCCTTCATGAACAGTCAAGTGCTTCCTTTGTGAGCTCAGCCCAGCCCATACAGGGCAGTTTTGTTACCCACCACAAGGTGCTTCTTACTTCTCCACAGGTTCTGCCACCCTGACCCCACTGACTGCCCCGCAAAGGAGCTAGCTCCCTCAAGGAAGACGCCACACCAAAAAGTCCACCAGTTGTTAAATGACCTTTATTGAAATATTTTCCTTTGTGCTTCTTAACTCTGTGGGAAAAGGAAAAAAAAAAGGGGAAAGTTTAAAAAGATTATCTCCTAACTCCACCAGTAACCACTTCCAAAACTTCCTAGTTAATCTCCATGAATACACTGGATAGCCACCCTTTTGCCCCTATTGCAACAAGTGAAGCAAAAGTCACTTACAGCTGGGCATTCCACAGCACCACTATTGATGTCATCTATGATGTCATGAGGGTGGCGGCCATCAACATTACAGCCCACAGATTGGGCAGTCCCCAGGATCTCTTTAATGGTTCCTTTAGGAAAGAAATGGTGGTGTTGGAGGTGCTGGCTCAGTCCCTTACAATCCTCAGATACTGGGGAATACTTAAGGGTTTCATAGCAGGCAATGGAAACAATGATGTTACTGCTCCCCTGATAAGAGTGCAGAGCTCCATCTAGTCACAGCCCTGAATGCAAAGCTTCCATGGGTCCTTGATGCCCAGATTAAACATATCCAATTTAAGATCCATCCATTCTTTCAATCCCAGAACACTCTGCACCCCATCTTGGGTCTCACTGAGTACCCTTCAAGTGGGAAGAATGTTAACCACTTGGTGGAAATACAACTTGGTGGAAATACAACTATGGGTTACAGCAGTTACATGTCATCCTGCTCTTACCAGAGAGTTCTCTGGCTAAAGATCGGTGCCGCATCTGTCGAGCAATGTTGACAATCTCATCGAAAGTGATATTCCCACTGTGTTTAACTGCAGAAAAGAGATAACAGCAAAAGCTTTGTTACAGTCTGTAGCCAAAGCAGATCGAGTGTCCATCTCATTTCTAGGCTGTTCCCATGCTTTCGGCACAGAGTCATCCACATGCAGAACAACCCTGTTTCCTAAGCTGGGGTTTACTATCAGCTCACCACTGGACTGCACCAGCCAACAGAGACCTGGTCAGGTGCAGTGGCGGGTGGCTAAGGGCAAAACCAAGCCTTCACAAATCTGACATTGCAAAAACTTTGAGATGAGAAATGACAAGCTTAAATTACTGGGGACAGTTAAACCACCAGATACCTGCCAGCTCTATATGGTCTCCTGATTATAAGTCACCGTTGCTGACATCTTCCTCCCACATACACTGGTTGGGGCCTGCCCCACACAGGGACTACATGGCACTTTTGAGACGGGAGTCTCCCTCTGTTGCCCAGACTGGAGTGCAGTGGCACACTCCTGGCTCACTGCTGCAACCTCTGCCTCCCAGGTTCAAGTGATTCTCCTGCCTCAGCCGCCCAAGTAGCTAGAACTACAGTCATGCACCACCATGCCACGCTAATTTTTGTATTTTTTTTTTGGTGGAAATGGGGTTTCACCATGTCGGCCAGGCTGGTCTTGAACTCCTGACCTCAAGTGATGCATCGTGCCAGGCCTACATGGCATTTTGATACTGCCTGGCTCTAGCAGCCTTAACCAATCAACACCAAACATCCATGTCAACCTCAGATTTCCTTCAAGGGAAAACATGGCCACGTATATCAAACATCTCACAAATCATTTCCAAAACCAAACTAGGAAAAAGACAACTCACTGTTTTTCTGTTTCTTTCTGTCTCTTGGTGGTTCCTTAAGGGCTTTGATGATCAGGGCAGAGGCAGAAGGCACCACCTCAATCTGCAGAAGAGATTTTTGAGTAAATCAACTACTTCACTTCCAATGAATACTGTCATGCACAGTGGCTCTCAAAAAGTATGGGCCTCACCATCCAAATCATTGCCCTAGGTCTGTGCTCTTGACAAAGCCTCCCCAACAAGGTGAAATTACTCTCAGCTCACCACTGGTGGCAGAAATACTCTATTCAGGAATCCCAGAGGATGGCTACCTCTGTCCCCCCACCCCCAAAACAAGTGCACAAGTAAATACCTGGGCCTGTCTGTTCTGAATGGTCAGTTTCACTGTAATCCTCAGGCCCTTCCAGTCACCCGTTGCCTTGGCAATGTCATCACCAACCTTTTTTGGAGACTGTAAAAATAAAAGCATGTAATCAACATCACATCCACAGATGAACCACAGCCTTGAAGCCTGTCCACTTCTCACTTGGCAACAAAGGAAGCTATTTCAAGTACCTAAGGACACCCTCCCAACAGGAGCACAGCTATCACCACAGCATAAATTGCGGGGTGGGGTGGGGTTATGTTGTCCAGGACTGTAAGCTGCAGACTCGGCCACAATGGAGCCTAGACCCCCTCATAAGTGCCTATGTGCTTTAAGGAGGAGGATTTTCAGCCCTGATGACGTTAGAATCACCTAGGGAGCTTTCAAGATACTAGGCTCCCATGTCAGATCACCCACATCCACCTGCCTGGATGGGAGTCTGGACATTTGCTCCCTGGAAATTCTTCTCTATTGGCAATAGGCTAAGTGTCCCTTAAGTGCCAGCTTAGCTAAGGGTCAAGGAAGAATAGTTAAGATGCAGGTTAAGAAAGACCAATGGGAAAGAGCATTTGGGACAGGGGACCACTGTGCAGGGATTAGATAAAGTCCTAATGAAATCCAGGGAAATCCAAGTACAGAATGACAGGGAAGCTGGCAGTTGCTCAGTAGGCATGAGGCACAGCCTGTCACGTCAACGGCTAGATTGATATCTACAACACAGTTGGAAATGCTCATTGGATTTTCACTCCTACCCCATTTAATCTCCCTAACAATGCCATGCTCACTTCCCTAACGAAATACAGATATTGGCTGCCCAATGTCACAAAGCCACTCCTGACTTCCAAACTCCCTTGGGCCCACCCCTCACGAACACCAAAGCAGCAGTGGAGACACGTGGAGATAGTTACAATTTAAAGATACCGGGTTCGATTTTCCACTCACGACCTTCCTAAGATACCTGACACTAGTTCAGTGGCTCAGGCCTAGTGAGGGTGGCAGTCCAAGCCATGACGGCACCTCTGGCATAGTCGTGACTCCATGAGCCAGCGCTTAACACTGCTCTAAATAAAGAAATGCCCCTTGGCGGGGATTACCTACCAGACCCAGGGGGCCGATCTTGGGGGCAAGCGCAGAAGTGGCACCGACTTCACCCCCAGTGCACCTCAGGTATACTGGGGGGGGGAAAAAAGGGTTAGTGTCTCTGAAGAGGAAGCCCCCGAGCCACAACCCTCTCAGCGTCTTTCCGGGGCTGGACACCCGCTCCTCCCTCGGGGTGGGCAACTCCGAACCTCACACCGGGGAGGCGTGGACAGCGCCCGGTCGCCTGCGAACCCAGGCCAGTGGGGCTAAACGCCCGGAGATAAGCCTTACCCTGAGGAGTGCGGGTTCCCAAGCCACAGGTGGTCCGGTCCTCCCTTCCCACTTACACGTGGAGAAGCTAAGGCCCAGAAAGGCTGAGGCTTGGCCGGGACGGCGCAGCACCGGGAAGGCCTCTAGGAGGCAGCGGCTTTAGAGCCCCATATGGGAAAGCTTTCCACGCGCTGCGGGGCCGAGGGATACTGTATCCCGCAGCCCCGGCCACAACTAGAGCACGCACCGACTTTGATCTCGTTGGGGTCGAACTTCGGCGGCATGGTGGAGGTGGCTGGTGTCGGATGAACCCAGATTCGGGACGACCGAAGAAAGTTGCACCTTGGCCTCCTCCGAGCCGAAAGCTGAAAGATCGGAAATCGCGCCGACAACGCCGGATATAGGTAGAAAAACTCGGCAATCGCGAGAACTGTCGTCACTGCCCAGCCTTCCAGAGACGCCCTTGTCGCCATGTTTGTTGTGGGCATGCGCCTGAGGCTGACGGCTGGCGAGCCCGGGCACCGCGGTGCGCTGAAGCTCAAGATTCCGAAAGGGGGTTCGGGTAGTTTGCTTCGCAGAAGTCTGAGAAGAGAGATTGCTCCCGAGATCCCAGGCCTAGCTGTTTCCCATGTTCTTTATCGTGAGTGTCACCCCGGTCCCTGTCACCCAATCCCAGAGCCCCGCCCCTCCCCTGAAGGGTCCGTAGTCCCATTCCGGAACCCCAGTACCGCAGCGACCCCTGCCCCCTTGAGCACTTGGTGTGTGCACTTTAGTTATCAAAACAGTCTGTTTATGTGGAAATCCAGTCCCGCTCTTCATTCTGAGAGTCCGCGGTTCCAAGAGCCTCAGACTTCGTCATCCCGGTCTGAGTGACTTTCTGAGATTCTGAGTTTCTGTCCCCAGCACCTGCGTTTGAAGGAGACCAGACTCCGGCTCCGCCCAGCCCGTGCCGGGTGGTCTGCGGCCGCGAGTCCGTGACCAAGCCCTCCAAGTGATCGACCTGCCCGCGCGTCCCAACGTGGGGGACCCTTCCATCCACAAAGCCAGGTCAGCCACTGCCCACCCTAGCCCAGGAAGTATGGGTGTGGCCTCCCCCTGCTTCTGGGCTGGACGTCGGAGAGGGAGGGACAGGCAAGTGAGGCAGTCTGAAAAGAGCTGATCTTCTGGGAGGGGTGGGAGAGCGACGGTGGTTGGGAGGAAGTGAGGAGAGGGAGGTGGGTGCAGGAGGGTTAGTGACTAGGGAGCAGAAGGGTCTGCTGGTCATCAGGGAGGGATGGGGGAGGACTGTTTTCAAACCATTTCTCATCCTTGCAGTCAGGTGGGATGGCAAGAGGTGCCTGAGCTGGCTCTGCAGGCCTGGCTGCCTCCCCAGACAGCCCTGCCCGCTGTGGGTGCAGAGCTGCCATCTCTGCCCATCTGTCTGAGGACTGGGTGTATGTCTTTTTCAGCTGTATCTCTTCCCATGCCTGTCTTCTCCCTAGCTCCTCTAGCAGGCGAGTCTGCTAGACTGTTGGTTGCATGTGGGGTGCTTTGTGGCTAACATTTATTGAGTGCTCATTGTGCGCCAGGTACTGTACTATGGGCTTGACATACGTGAAGTCATTAGATCCTCATAGAAGCCAGTGTTGGTAGCATGGTTACTCACACTTTACAGATGAGGAAACTGAGGCTATAAGACGTAAACCAAGATGATCTCTGCAGTTGTGGGTGGCAGATCTCAGATTCAAACCAGTTCTGTTTCATCCCAAAGCCTGTGCTGCTCACCATGCACTTCCCTGGGTGATTGCTTCCTGGCCCATTGCCATCACTTACCCAGCTCTGATATTTACAGACACTGTGCAGGCCCTGGGCAGGCAGTGAGCACCTGGCTCTGAGTTCAGGACAGTGTACTTGGTGTTGCCAAGTTAAGTGAGCACCAAGGAGTCAGGCAAATCCCATAGGTCAGGACTTGAGAGACTAGGGTTCCAGGCTGGCTTTTCTGTAATCCAGGCTGGATGGCCAGGCCACTGAACTTCATAAGCATTGGTTTCTTCACTTTATGTATGTATGGTATGTGTGTATTATTATTTTCTGAGACAGAGTCTCCCTCTGTCACTCAGGCTGGAGTGCAGTGGCACAATCTCAGCTCTCTGCAACCTCCACCTCTTAGGTTCAAGTGATTTTCGTGCCTCAGCCTCCCAAGAAGCTGGAACTACAAGTGCATGTACCATGCCCGGCTACTTTTTGTATTTTTAGTGGAGACGGAATTTTGCCATGTTTCCCAGGTTGGTCTCGAACTCCTGGGCTCAAGTGACCCACCCATCTTGGCCTCCCAAATTGCTGGGATTACAGGCATGAGCCACCACACCCAGCCTGTTTCTTCACTTTAAAAAGGGATGTGGATGTGTGTACCTATGCAACTGTATTGCATGCTCTGCACATGGACCCCAAAACCTAAAATGCAATTAAAAAATAATAATAATAAAATAAAATAAAAAAATAAAAAAGGATGTGGTGAGAATAAAAGAGAATAACAACTGAGGTTGATAAGCTGAGGATGGCTTTTTAATTTGTATTCTCCACAGAGGTCTTTGGTCGTGATGTAGTTGAGCTCCCTGAGGTTCTGACTGGTTTTGGTTTGGTCCTGCTGATCCTGCTCTGACAGTGTTTGGGGGCTAGAAGTGATTCATTGACAGAGTCTGTTAAAGTCCTCAAAGAACAGCCTTGGAAAGTGCCTGAGGAAACTTCTCTAAGTTGCCCCAGAATGGCAAAAGGATAATGCCAGGACCTCACTGTGGGTTGGTGGCAAATGTGGGCCCTAACCCAGGTCATCTGGCTTGTCCCCATGTAACTCGCTAGAAAGACGCATTCCTGCCTCCATGGAACTCACTAGAAAGATGCAACCCCTGATCCCATGGAACTCACTACAGAGACGCACCCCCAGCCCCCAATGGAACTCACAAGGAAGACACAGCCCCTGCCTCCATGGAACTCACTAGAAGGACGTGGCCCCTGCCTCCATGGAACTCACTACAAAGACGCAGCCCCTGCCTCCATGGAACTCATGGTCCAGCAGACCAGCTGCATGCTCTGTGTTACTGTCCTACCTGTCCCGGCTGTTGGGGGCTGTGACAAATTCCCCAGGCCCTAACTTCTCTTCTGTACCCCAGGGTCTGAAAGATTGCTCTGGGAAAAGGGAAGGATGCCACTATTCTTCCGGAAGCGGAAACCCAGTGAGGAGGCTCGGAAACGCTTGGAGTACCAGATGTGCCTGGTGAGGGAAAGTGGGTTTCCTCTCACTATCCCAGCTCTTCCTCGGTCCCTGTGGAGTAGGGCTCCACACTGCCCCGACAAGCGTGCTCCCTCCCGTCTGCCTCCCCTACCCACAAAAGAAATTTGAAAAAGATAAAAGATAACAGATGAGGCCCCCCATTAAGGGTGCGTCTCCACTGTAGACTGAGCACACTGTCATTGCTTTTCAGTCCCTCATCCCTCTGGGCCTCAAGCTCCAGGAAAGCAGGGGTCACTGGTTCACCTGCCAAATGGACCAGTGGAACCACATAGTGTCTGTGGTCCTTTGCAGCTGCTTAAGTTTATGTTCTTTGCCTGGTTTGTCTACTCTGCAAGGATGTTTTCTTTTAATACTTTTTAACAATTATTTTTATCCTTAGGCAAAAGAAGCTGGGGCAGATGACATTCTCGACATCTCTAAATGCGAGCTCTCAGAGGTAAACTGAGCATCGTGTTGGGCTGTGAATTGGATCTGTCCCATTTTCTTGGTTCATGTGTCCCTAGGAAAGACAGAGGTGAACTGGGGCTTTAGAAAGGCCAGAAGCATTAGTCACGAGATGTTTCCTTAGATTTTGTCCTTGTCCAAAAGAATTGAGATGATCCTTTGGCCTCAACATAATATAGTTCCCAAGAGTCAAGGAGTCTAAGTGGAGAATGTACCTACAGACTCCTAGGGTGCTGGAAGGGCCTGGCATTCTCCAGACCTTGAAGGGGGTTCACGATGGGGACAGGGTGGGTGGGGCAGGGCAGTCTCCTGAGGGAGACTGAGGGAAGGGGTGGCCACATCCCCAGCACCAGAGCCCGCCAGCCTTGCCCCTGGGCTCAGCACTGCCGCCTGCTGCAGGGTTTGCCCTTGTTCATCTCCTGCCCGTCTCTTCCTCACATGAATGCCACTCAGAGAACAAGTAAAAAATCGACAGATGGGAGAAACTTACTCTTCTTTATCTATCTTAGATTCCCTTTGGAGCTTTTGCAACATGCAAAGTTCTGCAGAAGAAGGTGAGAAGGAGCTTCATCTTCGGAAACTTGCTTATTGCTTGTTTGTTTGAACCCACAAGGGATTTTGAGGAGCTGTCTTTCTGGCATAGACACCTCCTTTCTCCCTGTTTCTTATGCTTTTGGCCTACAGCAGGTGTTTTCACAGACAGGAGTGTAGGCTGTGGGGTTGGACCCCCCACCCCGTGTCACATTCTGACTCTGGCTTCACTGGCTTCATGACTTGGGCAACTTCCTTAAACTCTTCTCTGTTTCTTCATCTGTGAAATGAAGACACTCATAGTTCTCCTCTCTCAGAGGCACTATGAGAATTAAATGGGTGGTAGAAAGCTAGATAGAAATATGCTGAGTATAATGCCTGCCACGTAGTAAAGGCTGATGAACCCTGGTGTTAATAATAGAAACTCTCTCCTTTTATTCTGGTCACCCAGGAGATATTCCGAGGGGAGCGATAGATTTTTCAGCAGAGTATTGAAGCTTTGAATGCAGATGGGTAGAAACTCTAAGTATCTAAAAGAAAATGTGTAAAAAAAAAGTGTTCCATGCCAACAGACTAGTGAGCTCCTTGGTGCTGTAAGTGTGTGGGTTTTTTTGTTGTGTTATTTATTTATTTATTTGAGGAGGACACTTTGTTCTGTCACCCAGGCTGGAGTGCAATGGCGCAATCTTGGCTCACTGAAACCTCCACCTCCTGGGTTCAAACGATTCTCCTGCCTCAGCCTCCTGAGTAGCTGAGATTACAGGTGCCCACTACCACACCCAATTAATTTTTGTATTTTTAGTAGAGATGGAGTTTTGCCATGTTGGCCAGCCTGGTCTTGAACTCCTGACCTCAAGCGATCCACCCGCCTTGGCCTGTCAAAGTGCTGGGATTACAGGCGTGAGCCACCATGACCAGTCTGTGCTGGAAGTGTTAGGAGCAGTTGATGCCTAAGAAAAACAGCCATAGATGACCTGGATTGAGCCCTGGCCCCTGTGCCAGCCCTGGACGTTTTGTGCATGAGCTTGTTTAACATCATGGCAGCCCTGGGAGGCAGGCACTTTATTATTCTCTGTTTTCCACGTGAAGATGCTGGCGCTGGGAAGGTTATGATCAGGAATGGCTGCAGCGGGATCCTTTCTCAGGATGGAAGGAAGATTTAGACCTCTAAGGTCTCTTTCACCCTTGAAGATCCAGATTTTAAGGAAGGGCATCAGATTCCCCATGAGATTGGGAGAGTTCATGATTCTGACTTGCATCCCCCCCACCCCTGTCATAGTGTCTGGGAGAGCAAGATGGCTGGGCATGGCAGGGCACTAGGCTGGCTCCCGCGCCCTTAGGCTGTGCTGTCTTCTGCTCTTCCTCAGCCCAACATGGCCCCACATCTCTCCACACAGGTGCTGATCGTCCACACGAATCACCTCACTTCCCTGCTTCCCAAATCCTGCAGCCTCCTGAGTCTGGCAACCATCAAGGTACTGGGCCCTCCTCCCAGGCATCTGGGCTCTGCATGGGATTCTAGGTGGCAGCCAATGGCCTGCTCCCTTTGGGCCTCCTCTTGTATGTCAGAGGGGCCTGATCTACCAGTCAATCTGGGATTTGATCAGCATGCTTCATCAGGCACTTCTGTGGGCTGTGTGTGAGATAGGTTGACAAAAATGACCAGCCACAGGCCCTGCCCCCGGGGAGTTTACATGCTAGGAGGAAAGTCAAATGATAAACTCATGATGAGTCAGCTAGCAGAGGGCTGACAGTCCGAAGGAAGAGGAGGGACACTCAGGTGATCTGGAAGGATTCCCTGCTGACTGTCAGCTCCTCCCCTGATGGGCTGGGAGGCATTCACACATCTGGGAGGTATGAGCCCAGGGTTGTTCTGTGCAGACCTGGGCTTGGGAGAGTGGTATGTACCTTCAGAGCAGCCCGGCAGCACAGGCCTCAGAGTAACTGTGGGTGCTGGGGTTGAGGACGGTTTTTACTGCTTTTTTAATTCTGGTCCCACATGTATTATTTTGTATTCAGAAAAAACATTTAAGAAATATTTTTATATTTATGTGTATATATATATATATTATATTATATATATATATTATATATATATAATATACAGTTGTCCTTTTATATTCATGGGAGACTGGTTCCAGGAATCCCCAAGGATACCAAAATCTACAGATGCTTGAGTCCCTGCTATAAAGTGGCATCATATTTGCATATAACCTATGCACATCTTCTGTACACTTTAAATCATCTCTACATTACTTATAATACCTAATACAAATGTAAATGCTACATAATTGTTACTCTGTATTGGTTATTTTTTTCTTTTTTGAGACAAGGTCTCACTTTATCAGGCAGGCTGCAGTGCAGTGTTACAAACATGGGCTCAAGTGATCTCCCCACCTCAGCCTCCCGAGTAGCTAATTTTTGTAGAGTACCATGCCCAGCTAATTTTTGTAGAGTCGGGGTCTAACTATTTTGCCTAGGCTGGTCTCAAATTCCTGGGTTCAAGCGATCCACCTGCCTCAGCCTCCCAAAGTGCTAGGATTATAAGCATGAGCCACCATGCCCAGTCTGCTATACTATATGGTTTAGGGAATTATAAAAAGAGAAAAGTCTATATATATTCACTACAGATGCTTTTTTTTTTTTCAATATTTTAACCTGAGTTTGGTTGAATCGCATAGATATGGAACCCATGGATATGGAGGGTACCTGTGTGTGCATATGTATAAATATTTCTCCGAGGCCTTTTTTGTGCATTTTCATTTTTGAAAGCTTAGCACCCAGGTGCAGTGGCTCACACCTGTAATCTCAGCACTTTGGGAGGCCAAGGCCAAGGTTTGAGATCAGGAGTTCAAGACCAGCCTGGCCAACATAGCAAAACCCCAACTCTACTAAAAATACAAAAAAAAACCCAGCAGGGCACTATGGCTCACACCTGTAATACCAGCTACTTGGGAGGTTGAGGCACGAGAATCACTTGAACTGGGAGGTGGAGGTTGCAGTGAGCTGAGATCATGCCACTGCTCTCCAGCCTGGGCGACAGAGTGAGACTTTGTCTGAAAATAAAATTCAATAATTAGCAAGTACAGTTAAGCAAAGAAAAGGGGGAAACATCTCTAATTTTACACTGGAGTACCACTATTAACATTTTATCGCATATTTGAAAGTCTTTTTTCTATGCAAATATATATACTGGGGGGAGTTTCTTTGTAACATATAAAGTATCTAGGCATACTGTTTAATAGCATAGTTTTTCAATTAACAGTACAAATACACATTTGATACATAAAATAAGAAAATGGTGTAATGGTTTGAGAAGGAGAACCAGACAGGAATGATCCCCACTGAGCTGGAGATGAGGGGCGGGCACTGTTTCAGCACCGGGTGTGTGGCGGCCCCAGCCCCTCCTCGCCTCTCTGGAGCCGGGAGTCCAAGGGACTTTCTCTCTTGGCAACTCATAGGGGTCTTCCTTCTGCAGGTTCTAGATCTCCATGATAATCAGCTGACAGCCCTTCCGGATGATCTAGGGCAGCTGACCGCACTCCAGGTAAGGCTGCAGAAACAGAAACCCACCTTGGATGGCTCTAGTGAGACCAGGCAGTCACTTGAGCCTGGAGTGTTCTGGCCGGGCTCCAGCCGGTGGAAGCTGCACTAGCTACACCTTCCACTTGGCTCTTCGTTTTTGTTTTTGTTTTTTTGTTGTTGTTGTTGTTGTTTTTGAGACAGTGTCTCACTGCATTGCCCAGGCTGGAGTGCAGTGGCGCCATCTCAGCTCATTTCAACCTCTGCCTCCCGAGTTCAAGCGATTCTCCTGTCTCAGCCTCCCTAGTAGCTGAAATTACAGGCGTGCACCACCACTCACAGCTAGTTGTTATATTTTTAGTAGAGATGGTGTGTTGCCGTCTTGGCCAGGCTGATCTCAAACTCCTGACCTTAAGTGATCCGCCTGCTTTGGCCTCCCAAAGTGCTGGGATTTCAGGCATGGGCCACCACACCCAGCCCTCCCCTTGGCTCTTAAGACACCCAGTGGATGCCCCAGCCATTGCAGTCTGCGCTGTGCGTGCCTCTCAACCATAATTCTGGCATGTCCTTTTTGGAATTTCATCATGAGCTTCCACAGCTTTACAGGAAAAAATCACCCAGTGAGTCTGCCTTTTAAAAATGGTGAATTCCATGCCCTGACTCACATCTCACTGCTAACCCTTCAGCAATAGCTCAGCGCAGGTCCAACCTGGCATTATCTGTGGATTCCTCACAGCTGCCACCTCATACCAAGGTATTTGTTGTGGCTCAAAGTGATGGCAATAGGCTGGGGGCGGTAGCTCATGCCTGTAATCCCAGCACTTTGGGAGGCCAAGGCGGGTGGATTATTTGAGCTCAGGAGTTCAAGATAAGCCTGGCCAACATGGTGAAACCTGTCTCTACTAAAAATACAAAAATTAGCTTGGTGTGGTGGTGCATGCCTGTAATCCCTGCTACTCGAGAGGCTGAGGCAGCAGAATCTCTTGAACCCAGGAGGTGGAGGTTGCAGCGAGACAAGATCATGCCACTGCATTGCAGCCTGAATGACAAAGCAAGACTCTGTCTCAACAACAAAAAAAGTCACCGAGGAAGAAATTACCTCCACCACACTGAGATTGAAATCCACTCTCTTAGTGAGGAACTGGAAGACCCCATATGGTGGGCTCTGCCTATCTGTCTATCCTCCTGTCCTGCCCTCGCTCCTTGGCTTTCTATAGTCTGCTCCTAAAACCCACTGTACTTCCATGCCCCACCCCAGCAGGGCCTGTCCCTGAGGGCTCTGCCTTCTGCCTGAGCAACTCTTCCTGGAGCTGTCTGTGAGGCTCATCCTTTATCTCTGAGCTCAGTGGATGCCCCTTATTTGCTGTCTCCACCTGGCTTACTTCCCGAGAGCAGGACTGCAGTCTGTTCTCCTAATTACGTGGCTGCTGGCTCCCTGCCCTTCTCCCCAGCTAACGTCGGCAAGGGCAGAGCCTTTACAGAGCACTGCCTGGCGTGGAGAAGACCAAGGAGTGATTTGAATGAATACCCCACCCCATGTAGGTGACATCTTCTGTTGCATTTTATGGAAAACTGAGGTCTAGAGAGATGGCTGTCACTTGCCTAAGGTCACATAGAAACCATGTGGCAGAGCAGTAGTAATTGCCACCACTTTTTTTTTTTTAAGATGAAGTCTCACTCTGTCACCCAGGCTGAAGTGCAGTGGCGCGATCTTGGCTCACGGCAACCTCCGCCTCCCAGGCTCAAGCAATTCTCTGCCTCAGCCTCCTGTGCAGCTAGGACTACAGGTGTGTGCCACCACATCCGGCTAATTTTTGTATTTTTAGTAGAGATAGGGTTTCACCATCTTGGCCAGGCTGGTCTTGAACTCCTGACCTCATGATCCACCCTCCTCGGCATCCCAAAGTGCTGGGATTAGAGGCATGAACCACTGTGCCCAGCCACCACCACTTGTTTTTGAGACCAAGTCTCACTCTGTTGCCCAGACTGGAGTGCAGTGGCACAATCTCAACTCACTGCAACCTCTGCCTCCTCGGTTCAAGCAATTCTCCTGTCTTAGCTACCCAGTAACTGTGATTACAGGTGTGCACCACTAACTTTTGTATTTTTAGTAGAGATGGGGTTTCACCAGGTTGGCCTGGCTGGTCTTGAATTCCTGACCTCAAGTGATCCACCCACCTTGGCTTCCCAAAGTGCTGGGATTATAGGTGTGAGCCACCGCACCCAACCAATTGCTACCACTTTGAGCCACGTAAATACCTTGGTGTAGGACTTTTCGTATGTGTATTTTTTTTCTCACTCTGTCGCCCAGGCTGGAGTGCAATGGTGCCATCTCAGCTCACTGCAACCTCTGCCTCCTGGGTTCAAGCCATTCTCCTGCCCCAGCCTCCCGAGTAGCTGGGATTACAGGTGTGCACCACCAAGCCTGCTAATTTTTTGTATTTTAGTAAGAGATGAGGTTTCACCATGTTGGCCAGGATGGTCTTGATCGCCTGACCTCATGATCTGCCTGCCTCACCCTCTCAAAGTGATGGGATTACACCGCGCCCGGCCCCCATTGCATCTGTTTTTATTGGTTACTTAGTGTGTCATCTTGTTGACCTTGCTCACTTCGAGGTGCCACATTCTAGAGGGAGCACAGCTTCAGAATCCAGTAAGCCCTGGTTCAGTCCTAGCACCACTGCTGGCCTGAGGCCTTGGGCAGATCACACAGCCTGGGGCAGCTGGGTTTCCTTTTCCTTCATGCCGGTGGGAACTAGAGCCTCCTGTGCTGCCTCCCCAGATCCCAGAATCTGTACTCTCCTTCTAGCTCCCTCCCTGATGGTGGGGCAGTTACTGAGCGTTTTGTGGTTGGTATAAGCGGTAGAACCTCTGCCAGAAGCGGGTTCAAGGCCTGGCTGTGCTCTCCTGAGCACATGACTTTACCACCCCGAGCTTCGGTTTTTTTCCTATCTCCAGTGGAAATCTAAGAATTTCTATCTTCCTCAAAGGCCAGCAGGAGGAAATGAGGGCTTGTGTGTATAGTATCTGGGTGCCCTGGCCTGGCAGGGCGAGGCGTGCAGGGGTCGTCACTGTGGTCTGTGTGTGGGTTCTCATGTCATCTCTTTCTCTTTCTTAGGTTTTAAACGTGGAAAGGAATCAACTGACGCAGCTCCCGCATTCCATTGGGAACCTGACCCAGCTCCAGACTCTCAACGTTAAAGGTAGGAGCCAGGAAGTCGTGTCCGTGTGACCCTCCATCAGCTCTGGGCCATCCTGGCAGGGATCAATAGGCTGCCCCACCTGAGAGCCACTGAGCAGGAGGGCAGCCAGTCTCCAGGGGTTGCTGTAAATGGACTGACCCCTGCTGGGTGGGCCATCTCCATGGTAACCAGAGACAGCCTGTCTGGAGGGTTCCTGTGACTCCTCAGGCCTGAGCCAGGGCCTTACAGGGAAGCAGGCAGCTGGGCCCCGAGCCTCGGTCACTCGGATTTATAATGGCAAGTGTAGTGGACTGATGGGCGAGAGCTCCCAAGGAGCTGCATTAAGGTTCTGAGTGGCGCTTCCACCTCCAGTGACGCACTGAGCCTCCCGAGAAGTCCACGGGGCAGGCTGAGGGCAGTGGTGCCATCCCCAGTTTATACATAAGGAAAACAAGGCCTGGGAAAGCGAGTGTGACTCGCTCAAGACCACCTAGTGAGATGGTGACAGAGCCAAGACCACTGCACAGGCGCCCTACCACAGGAGCGCTCTCCTCGCGAGACCCAGCTCTTTTCCGTCTCCTCGCTGTTCTTAAGTAATTCCTGCACAGAGGACCTCAGTTCATCAACTGGAACATATGAGTAATGGTAACAGTGGCGCTCCATTGCTCAGTCATTACAGTGGGAGGCACCCTGTGCAGAGGACCTCACACATCATCTCCCTGAACCTCCAATCTCCCCATGTTCTTATGAGGCTGGGTCACTATGACTATAGTGTCATCCCTATTTTCCAGATGAGAAAACCGGCCCAGGGAGGCCAAGTCAGTTATCCAAAGTCTCTTGGCTGGTAATTGGTGGAGTGAGGATTTGAACTGGAATGCCACCTTCTTGACCCTACGAAACCTCAGGGTCTGGGACCCAGTGTGTGCCCCAGAGGTCACAGTGGTTTCCAGGAGACATCAGGCAGGAAGCTAGTGACGGGTATTTGGGGTGTTGAGCTGTGCTATTGGGGTCTCTGCAGACAATAAGCTGAAGGAGCTTCCAGACACCCTGGGGGAGCTTCGAAGCCTGCGTACCCTCAACATCAGTGGAAACGAGATCCAGAGGTTGCCGCAGATGCTGGCTCACGTTCGAACCCTGGAGGTACATGAGAAGCTGCTTTTGCCTGGGGTGCTCTCTGGCCTGCCGACCTCCCCTCTCTCACATTCCTGAGTGTCTGCGCTGATCCCAGGGTGCCAGGGTCACACAGATCCTAAGGCATGGTCCTTGGAAGCTCGTAGAGAGGCCGATGTGTGAATATTCGTAATTATGTGACTTTTGCTGCCATAATAGAGGCAGAAAAACATACTTTAAGAGTGAAGAAGAATGAATGCTGAATCCAGACGAGGTTGACACTTTAAGAGAGTTGTCAATGGGGAACAACACATTGAGGCCTGTCAGAGCGGGGCTGAGGGGAGGGAGAGCATCAGGAAGAATAACTAATGGATGCTGGGCTGATTACCTAGGTAATAGGATGATCTGTGCAGCAAAGCACCATGGTACACATTTGCCTTTGTAACAAACCTGCACATCCTGCACATGTACCCCTCAACTTAAAATACAAGTTGAAGGAGAAAAAAAATAGTAAAAAATAAAAAGTTGTGGTATTCAAACCAGACCTTGAAGGAGGAATAAGATTTCTGGGCCAGGTGCAGTGGCTCATGCTTATAATCCCAGCACTATAGGAGGCCAAGCCAGGTGGATCACTTGAGTTTAGGAGTTCAAGACCAGCCTGGCCAACATGGAAACCCTGCCTCTACTAAAAATAGAAAAAATTATCCAAGTGTGGTGGTGCACACCTGTAATCCCAGGTAATTGGGAGAGGCTGAGACAGGAGAGTCACTTGAACCCAGGAGGCAGAGGTTGCAGTGAGCCAAGATCACGCCATTGCACTCCAGCCTGGGAGACAGAGTGAGACCCCGTCTCAAAAAAAAAAAATAAAGGTTCTGAGTAGACCTGGATAACAGAGGCAGCCCAGGTGGGGAAGCACAGACCGGAAGCTGCTGAGCCTGCATGATATGGGGCCCAGAAAGCTGGGAGGGAGAGAAAGAGGCAGGGAGGGAGCTGCTGGGATGTAGGCTCAGAAGTACCCAGGTCAGGGCAGTTCTACAGGCCAAAAGTCCAAGATCAAGATGTTGACAGGGCTGGTTGCTTTCGAGGCGTCTCTCCTTGGCTCATAGGCACTGTCTTCCCTGTGTCTTCACCTTGTCTTCCCTGCGTACTTGTCCATGTCCAAATTTCCTCCTTTTAGAAGGACACCAGTCATATTGGATTAGGGCCCAGCCTAATGACCTTTTAACTTCATTACCTCCTTAAAGACCCTGTCTCCACATGCAGTCACATTGTGAGGGATGGGGGTTGTGGGGGTGGATGGGGGTTGCGGGGGAGTGGCTGGGGGTACGGAGGTGTTTAGGATTTCCACATATGAACTGGGGAGGGGGACACAGGTCAGCCCATGACAGACACTGACAGGGACAGCTGCTCAGGAAAGGTGGCTCTGACGCTCATGCTGATGAGGTGGCTCATATTTATCTGTTGCTTTCTAAGGCTGGGCATGACCTGGAATCGCTCCCTGAATCCTCACAGAAGTTTTGTGAGGCAAATACTGTTGTGCCACCTTGTAAATGAAGAAACTGAGGCACAGGCAGTTTAAGAAATTTGCCCAAGGGCCACGCAGTCAGTGACAGCAGAGATGGTTGTAACCAGACCATCTGAAGCTGATGCCTGTGCTCCCCACCCCTGGGCCACTCGGCATCTGGAACAGGGACTTCTCCATTCATGGTGACATGCAGTCTGGCAGCATTCCAGAGTGGCCTGGGGTAGACCCCTCTCTCAGCCAGCCCAGCCTGCCAAGCAGAGGCATCTGTGTCGGAGCAGGCAGGTGAGCACAGACAGCGGAGGAAGGGCTGACCTCAGCAGCTGGGGCCCTCCTACTTGAGGAAGGGCTGGCTGAGGAGACAGGTCAACACGACTTGTCCTCTCTGCTACCCCTGGAACTCTGCAGTGATGGAAATGTTCAGGGACTGTGCTATCCAGAGCAACAGCTAGCCATGTGTGCCTGCGGAGCACCTGGAACATGGCTTGTGTGTTCAGCCAGGAACTGAAAGTTTGATTTCATCGAATTTTAATTAATTTATATTTAAATAGCCATGGGTCCTTAGTGGCTACCATTTTAGACAACACAGCACAGAGCACATGTTCGCAATCCTGAAACCATCCTTAGACATCTGTTGCAAGCTCTGGACACTTCAATCTTTTTTTTTTTCTTTGAGACTGGGTCTTATGCTGTCACCCAGGCTGGAGTGCAGTGATGCAATCATAGCTCACTGCAGCCTCAAACTCCTGGGCTTAAAAGAGATCCTCCTCCTCAGTCTCCCAAGAAACCGGGACCACAGGTGTGCCCCACCACACTTAGCTAATTTTTTTATTTTTTTGTAGAGATGAGGTTCATTGTGTTGCCCAGGCTGGTCTCAATATCTTGGGCTCAAGCAATTGTCCCACCTTGGCCTCCCAAGTAGGTGGAATTACAGGCGTGAGCCACCACTCCCAACCTGGACACTTCATTTTATTTTGATTCCTTTAAAAAAAAAAATCTTTTGAGTTTCTTGGTGGCTCCTCAGACAAACCTTTTTTTTTTTTTTTTGAGAAGGACTCTCACTCTGTCTGCAGGCTGGAGTACAGTGGCACAATCTCTGCTCACTGCAACCTCCCACTCCCTGGTTCAAGTGATTCTCCTGCCTTAGACTCCTGAGTAGCTGGGATTACAGGCACGTGCCACCACACCCAGCTAACTTTTTTGTATTTTTAGTAGAAATGGGGTTTCACCATGTTGGCTAGGATGGTCTCAATCTCCTGACCTTACGATCCGCCCGCCTCGGCCTCCCAAAGTGCTGGGATTACAGGTGTGAGCCACTGCGCCTGGCTCAAACAAACCTTCTTTTAGGATGAGAGAACCATTCTGAGCTCATGCTGTCCTATGGGCAGGGTCTTGAGGTATCACACACGTCACCCACCCAACAGCATGCCAGGATGGTAACACTGCCTGTTTGGCTATGAGGGGACCACAGCCCCACAACACTAAGGGGCCCACATGCAATGGCTGGATCTGAAGCCAGGGTGGTGTCTTTGGCACAGCAATGTCCAGTCGCTGCTCCTGCTGCCCACAATGAGAATGCTGTATGATCTGTGCAGCCAACACGGCCACCCCCGCCACTTGTAGCTGCTGGGCCCTTGAAATGTGGTGACTGCAACCAACCATGGACCCAAACTTTAAATCTGATTTATTTTCAGTTAATTAAAATGTAACCATAAATGGTCACACATGGCTTGTAGCCAGCGTCCATGCCCTTAAGTCACCACGTCTTACTGATGGTGACTAAGCATCCATGTGGGGTTCATTTGCTCCAGATTGGGTGTCCAGCATGGGGTTTTCTGCTGTCGGGCCCTCAGCATCTGCGTAGTGAGTTCCTCTTCCCTGGGGTGGTCTCCGTCTCTGCTGTGCAGATGTGTTCACTCAGCACCCAACATATGAGGGCTGTGCTGGCCAGGGCTGGAGGCTGGAGCCACCCTTCTCAGCCAGCCACTTGCGCTACAGCAAAATCAGAGCTTCCCAGGCCTTCTCCTTTTCCAGGACTCCCCTGACACCCAGGCATAGAGGATATCCATGCCTGCCTGCACTCAGTGAGATCAGAGGTTGGCAGGGGGAGACTGGGTCCAACATAACTCAACCACAGAGGGGGCAGTTCTGTGGGTGTGAGCTGAGGCCCCTGCTTCCTGGGCTTCATAAACATGGAGGCATCTGCATGTGTGTGCCCACAAACTTTTGTCATTACATAATTAAAAAGTCATATTGTATATTGTAAAAAAAAAAAAAAATGGAAACATTAAGAAACATTTCGGCCAGGCACGGTGGCTCAAGCTTGTAATCCTAGCACTTTGGGAGGATGAGGTGGGTGGATTATGAGGTAGGAGGACGAGGTGAGGTCAGGACTTCGAGACCAGCCTGGCCAACATAATAAAACCCCACCTCTACTAAAAATACAAAAATTAGCTGGGCATGGTGGCATGTGCCTATAGTCCCAGCTACTTGGGAGGCTGAGGCAGAAGATTTGCTTGAACCTGGGAGGCGGAGGTTGCAGTGAGCCGAGAACACACCACCGCATTCCAGCCTGGCCCACAGAGTGAGACTCCATCTCAAAAACAAAAATAAATAAATAACATCTAATGTAGCTAGTAACCCCGAATCTCCTTTTAGTGGAATCTATTTTGACTTTGATACATATTCCTCCAAATTTTTTCTATAAAATATTAATGTAAAAGTATATGAATATATCATCTAATAAAGGAAAAAGGAAGAATCATATTCTTTTTTTTTTAAATAAAAATGGGGGGGGTCTCATTATGTTGCTCAGGTTGGTCTCGAACTCCTGGGCTGAAGTGATCCTCCCACCTTTCCCTCTCAAAAGTGCTGGAATTACAGGCATGAGCCACCACACTCAGCCAGTGGAATCATGTTCTGTATGCTCTCCTATAATTTCCTTTTTTTCACTCACTTATGTATTTATTTAAAGTAAACTGAGAGGCCTGGTTTATGACTCACACCTGTAATTCCAGCACTTTGGGAGGCAGGTGAATTGCTTGAGCCAAGGACTTTGAGACCAGCCTGGGCAATATAGCAGGACCTTATCTCTACAAAAAATTTAAAAATTAGCCAGGCATGGTGGCATGTGCCTAAAGTCCTCAGCTATTCGGGAGGCTGAGGTGGGAGGATCACTTAAACCTGGGGAGGTCAAGGCTGCAGTGGTCGAGCCAGCCTGGGCAACGGGAGTGAGACCCTTGTCTCAGAAAAATTAAAAAAAAAGTGATCTGAGTGTTTGCTGCCTGCCTGCAGCCATCCCGGGTACTGGGAACGCTGCTGCCGTGCCTGCTGGTTAGAGAGGACAGACAACACACAAATTGATAAGGAAATCAGGCAGTCTCTGGTTGTGCTGGTGAAGTGAATGGTATGGTAGAGCGATTTCCCCTTGTGTCTGCAGATGCTGAGCCTCGACGCCTCCACCATGGTCTACCCGCCGCCAGAGGTGTGTAGCGCCGGCACCGCAGCCATCCTGCAGTTCCTCTGCAAAGGTAAAGCCAAACCATTGCCTCCTCCCCACACTGAGGAACCATGACCCCACAGTCACCCTGTCCCAACCCAGGCTGGGGGACGGCAGAGACAGAAATGGCCATAGTGCCTATCTGCTTGCAGTTCGAGGTCTGGCAAAACAGATGATTACACGGGGAAATAGTTAGAGACTGGTTATGAGAGTACAGTGGTGCGGCTGATGCAGGTTGGAGCCATGGGGAAGGCCTGTCTGAGAGTGTGGCTCTGCTGACATGGAGACGTGGTTAGGACTTAGAAAAGGCAGAAGGCTGTTCCAACAGGAGGGAAGGGCCTTGATGGGAAGTTTAACAGGGAGGGCCGGTGTAGCTGGAGTGAGGAAGCAGAGAGAAGAGAGACGGGGGAAGCCAGAGACAGTGCCCAGGCCCAGTGTCCAGTGGGAGAGCATGTGATCAGTCATTAGGCTGCAGAGAGGAGAAGGGGTTGGAGGAGGAGAGAAAGAGTGCAGGACAGGACAGGGGACCAGTTAGGGGCTGTCAGGGCCATGCAGGAGAGAGACCACAGCAGAAGGAGCTAACACCGGAGCCAGCGCTGGCTGGAGGTGAGGAGGAGAGCAGGATGCCCGTCAGGCTGGAAGTTCTTAGTGGTTCAGGGCACCTATGGGACTTTCAGAATGCAGCCAAGACACACATGCCTATGGTGACCTGACTTACCATGGCCATTGCAAAGCCGTAGGGAAGGATGGTCTTTTCAGTAGCTGATCCTGGATCAATTGGATGTCCCTGTGGGAAAAATGAACTTTAACCTCTTCTTTAAACAGGGGACAGGCAGTACTCATCATAAAAAATTGGTACATTAGATTTAATTAAGGCCAGACATGGTATCTTGCACCTGTAATTCCAGCACTTTGGGAGGCTGAGGCAGGAGGATCTCTTGAGCCCAGGAGTTTGAGACCAGCCTAGGAAACATGGTGAAACCCTGTCTCTACAAAAAATATAAAAATTAGCCGTGGTGACATGTACCTGTGTTCTCAGCTATTTGAGAGGCTGAGGTGGAAGGATTGTTTCATCCTGAGCTGTGATCATGCCACTGCCCTCCATCCTGGAGCAAGATTCCAACAAAGCGATACCCTATCTCAAATAAATAAATAAATAAATGGTTTAATTAAAATCAAAATTTCTTAGCTGTGCATGGTGGCTCACCCCTGTAATCCCAGCACTTTGGGAGCCTGAGGTGGGCAGATCACCAGGTCAAGAGATTGAGAACATCCTGGTTGACATGGGTAAACCTCGTCTCTACTAAAAATGTAAAAATTAGCTGGGCATGATGGTATGCGCCTGTAGCCCCAGCTACTCAGGAGGCTGAGGCAGGAGAATCACTTGAACCCAGGAGGTACTGGTTGCAGTGAGCTGAGATTGCGCCACTGCACTCCAGCCTGGCAACAGAATGAGACTCCATCTCAAAAAAAAAAAAAAAAGAAATCGGCTGGGCGAGGTGGCTCACGCCTGTAATCCTATCACTTTGGGAGGCCGAGGTGGGTGGATCACCTGAGATCGGGAGTTCAAGACCAGCTTAGCCATCATGGTGAAACCACATCTTTAAAAATAAATAAATAAATAAAAATAACTTTAAAAAATCAAAATTTCTCTTCCTCAAAAGGTACCATTTAGGGAAAGAAAAGAAAAGCCATAAAGTTCGAGATGATATTTATAATACATATAATATACAACAGAGGACTGGTGTCTGGACTATAAACAGAGATCCTACAGATCCATGAGGAAAGGACATTAGTAAAAGACTTGACTAAGAATTTTACAAAAGAGAATATCCACACAGTGGCTCACGCCTGTAATCCCAGCACTTTGGGAGGCTGAGGTGGGTGGATCACGAGGTCAAGAGATCGAGACCATCCTGGTCAACATGGTGAAACCCCGTCTCTACTAAAAATACAAAAAATTAGCTGGGCATGGTGGCGCGTGCCTGTAATCCCAGCTACTCAGGAGGCTGAGGCAGGAGAATTGCCTGAACCCGGGAGGCAGAGGTTGTGGTGAGCCGAGATCGCGCCATTGCACTCCAGCCTGGGTAACAAGAGCGAAACTCCATCTCAAAGAAAAAAACAAAAAACAAAAAAAACGAACTTCCTGCTGACAAGTCAACCAGAAATAAAAAACAAAAAATAAAATGGCCAAAATTGAACTGTCAATACCAAGAATTAGTAAAGTTGTGGGAGCAACAGGAACTTCCATATACTGTGAGTGGGAGTATAAATTGAAAATTACCTTAAAAATTACTCTCAATATCTACTCAAGCTGAACATTCAGATGTCCTATGGCCCATAAGTTCCATTCCCAACTATATGCCTGTATTAGTCTATCCTCACACTGCTATTAAGAAATTACCAATTTTTTTTGAGACGGAGTCTCGCTCTTTCACCCAGGCTGGAGTGAACCAAGGCTCACTGCAACCTCCGCCTCCTGGGTTCAAGCAATTCTCCTGCCTCAGCCTCCTGAGTAACTGGGATTACAGGTGTCTGCCACTACACCCGGCTAATTTTTGTATTTTCAGTAGAGACAGGTTTCACTGTGTTAGTAAGGCTGATCTCGAATTCCTGACCTCAGGTGATCCACCTGCCTCGGCCTCCCAAAGTGCTGGGATTACAGGTGTGAGCCACCGGTCCTGTAGAATTCCCAATTCTATAAAGAAATTCTTTATAAAGAAAAGAGGTTTAATTGGCTCACAGTTTTACATGGCTGGGAGGCCTCAGGAAACTTACAATCATGGTGGAATGCACCTCTTCATAGGGCAGCAGGAGAGAGAATGAGTGCCAAATGAAGGGGGAAGCCCCTTACAAAACCATCAGATCTCATGTGAACTCACCCACCACCATGAGAATAGCATGGGGGAACCATCCCCATGATCTGATTACCTCCCATGAGGTCCCGCCCCCAAGACATGAGGATTACAATTCCAGATGAGATTTAGGTGTGAACACAGAGCCAGACCGTATCAATGCCCAACAGAAATGCATATGAATAAATGCCAAAAGCCATGTGCAAAAGCGTTCATAGCAGCACTATTTATATCAGTCCAAAGTGGAAACAGTTCTAATGTCCCTCAGGAGTAGAATGGATAACTAAACTGTTTTATACTCATATGTGGATACCACACAGCGTCTGGAAAGAATGAACCATTGCTCCTTGCAACAACCTGGATGAATCTCACAAACAATGTGGAGTGCGAGGAGCCAGACACAAAGTAGTATGTTCTCCTGTTAGTTACCACAGAGCTCTGAACCAGCGCTAGTCATGAGCGTGTGCTCACCTTTAAACATTCATCAAGCTGTGCCTGAAGATTCTGTGCTCTTGGCTAGCCCAAAGGCAGCGAGTTACCTCAGCTGATTACTCACAGTCAGTTACAGATTGAAGTCCTTGTTCTACTCTTTCCCCATGGCTCACTGCTACACTTGACTAATCTTTAAAAAAAGAGAGATTTTATGCTCTTTTCTGTATGTATGTTATATTTTAGTTTAAAAGAAAGCGGTGGGGGGCAGCTACAATCATAGCCACCAGGCCACATCATAGCCACCAGGCCACACATCTGCAAATTAGAGTCTTCGAGCAGCAGGCGATTCCAGGGTACACTCTGATCAATGGCTAAGCTAGACCAAAGCCTTTATTTTCTTTAAAAAAATTTTGGATCTGGACAAGGTGGCTCGCGCCTGTAATCCCAACATTTTGGGAGCCAAGGCGGGTGGATTGCTTGAGCTCAGGAGTTAAACATGGGCAACGTGGCAAAACCTCATCTCAACAAAAAATGCAAAAATTAGCCCAGCATGGTGACACATGCCTGTAGTACCAGCTGCTCAGGGGGCTTAGGTGGAAAGATCACTTGAGCCCAAGAGGTGGAGGTTGCAGTGAGCCAAAATCTCACCACTGCACTCCAGCCTGGGTGACAGACTGAGACCTTGTGTTAAAAAAAAGAAAGATTTTGGCCAGTGCAGTGGCTGTTGCCTGTAATCCCAGCACTTTGGGAGGCCAAGGCAGGTGGACCACCTGAGATCAAGAGTACAAGACCATCCTGGCCAACATACAAAAATTAGCTGGGCGTGGTGGCGGGATCTGTAATTCCAACTACTCCAGACACTGAGGCAGGAGAATTGCTTGAACTCAGGAGGCGGAGGTTGCAGTGAACTGAAATTGCACCACTGCACTCCAGCCTGGACAACAGAGTGAGACTCCATCTAAAAAAAAAAAGAAAGAAAAAAATTAAAAAGAAGAAAAACGTTCTCTTTGTCAGGACCCAGGTTTCATTTCTTATCTCAGCCTTTTTCATTACCTCATTCTCACTTGGATGGTAAAGAGGTGGAAGGCCTATGTGGCACCCATTGACTCACTCCACTGCCATTTACTGAGCACCTGCTACATTCCAGGCCCAGGGCTAGGACTGGTGAAAAACACAGTGCGCCCAGGCTAGGGAAGAGGAGAGCAGTGGCTGAGTCGGGGCAGGGCAGGCTGCCCAGCGGTAGGAGGAAGTGTATCTGGGTACCTCGGCTGTCTCCTCCCTCCTGGGCAGCTTGTGTCCCATCTCTTACAGAGTCGGGGCTAGAATACTACCCTCCTTCTCAGTACCTGCTGCCAGTTCTAGAGCAAGATGGAACCAACTCTCGGGACAGCCCTGATGGGCCCACAGACAGAGTCTCAAGGGAGGAAGTAGAGTGGCAGGTAAGACAAGCCAGCCTGCTGCACACGTGCGTGCGTGCGTGCGTGCGTGTGTGTGTGCGTGCGTGCGTGTGTGTGTTGAGGAAGCTGGGAATGGGAGGGGCTGGTTCAGAGCTGTAGCTCCCAGATTCTTCCATGGAACTAGAACTGGCCTCCCAATGAGCTGAACTACTTTTTCAAGCCTGCTGTGGCAGCCTCACCCCACCAGCTTGCCAACCACAAGCTGTCCCCTGCTGCTGTTTCCTGAACTAACCACCATTGTTCCCTCATCAAGGCCTTTGAACAAGCTGCTCCCTCTGTCTGGAATATCCCCACTCACTTGTCTTATCCTCTTTTTTTTTTCTTTATTTGGGATGGTCTCGCTCTGTTGCCCAGGCTGGAGTGCAATGGCATGATCATAGCTCACTGCAGCCTCAGCTTCCCAGGCTCAAGTGATCCTCCCACCTCAGCCTCCCAAAGTGCTGGGATTATAGGTGTGAGCCACCATACTCGGCCTCCTTCAGTTCTCAGTTTAAACTTATATCCTCTGAGAAGCTCCAACCCAGGTCAGGTCTCCTGTTGTCTGTCCTCAGAGTGCCCTGTACAGTTTCTTGGTAGCACTCATCACAGAGCTAAATTGATGAAGAGCTGTACAGGAAATGATCTAATGTCTGTCTCCCCCTCCTGAACCTTGGTGAAAGAATAGGGATTATGTCTGTAATGTTCATTGTTATCTCTCAGCAAATACTTCTGGACCAAATGCCACTCACTGTCCAGGACACCCCCACCCCACCCCGCCCATGCTCTGGGTCTAACGAAGGAGTCAGAAAGGCACATGTGTTAACACCAGTGATAGGTTGGCCCCATCAGGTCCTGTGAGCTAACACAGGATGACACAGAGGAGGAGGCTCAAAGGGTTTGCCACATTAGCTTGGGTGCACCCTCTGCCCCATCCCCAAGGCTCACGATCCAGGGTCCTTGGCTGGCTGGTAGATGGGGAGGCCATCACCAGGTGGGAGTGCCAGCTGCTGGGCATTTGTCTTCATATCTTCTAGTGACTCTTAATCTCTGGTTCCTAGATGCTACCCTTTCCCATTTTCCACTGCTGCTGGGAATGCATTTGGGATTTTTACTTATTTATTTATTTTTGATAGTTCAGCAAAAATTAGAGGAAGGAGAAGGCTGTATGGGAAATGGTGCCAATTTATGTTCTCAGGAAATATTTGCAATACACACACATGCTAAAGGATTCATAGACTGAGCATAGGAAGAACTCTTTCAAATCAATAAGAAGAAAACCATCCCAGTAGAAAAAACATTGGGAGGCCAAAGCAGGTGGATCGTTTGAGACCAGCCTGGTCAAATAGCATAACCCTGTCTCTACTGAAAATGCAAAAGTTAGCCAGGCATGGTGGCATGCACCTGTAATCCCAGCTACTCAGGGACTGAGGCGCAAGAATCACTTGAACCCAAGAGGCGGAGGTTGCAGTGAGCTAAGATCGCGCCACTGCATTCCAGCCTGGGAGACAGAGCAAGAATCTGGCCAACACAGTGAAACCCCATCTCTACTAAAAAAAAATGCCGTGTGTGATGGTGAGTACCTGTAGTCCAGCTACTCGGGAGGCTAAGGCCAGGTGCAATGGCTCATGCCTGTAATCCCAGCACTTTGGGAGGCTGAGGCGGGTGGATCACGAGGTCAAGAGATCGAGACCATCCTGGTCAACATGGTGAAACCCCGTCTCTACTAAAAATACAAAAAAAATTAGCTGGGCATGGTGGCGTGTGCCTGTAATCCCAGCTACTCAGGAGGCTGAGGCAGGAGAATTGCCTGAACCCAGGAGGTGGAGGCTGCAGTGAGCCGAGATCGCGCCATTGCACTCCAGCCTGGGTAACAAGAAACTCTGTCTCAAAAAAAAAAAGAAGGATCATTCAAAAAGTTCTTGTGTGCCAGGCTCAGTGGCATACGCCTGTAATTCCAGCACTGTGGGAGGCTGAGTCGGGCGGATACTTGAGCTCAGGAGTTCAAGACTATCCTGGGTAACATAGCAAGACCTTGTCTCTAACAAAAATACAAAAAATTAGCCAGGCATGGTGGTGCATACCTGTCGTCTCAACTACTTAGGAGGCTGAGGTGGGAGGATCACTAGAGCCCAGGAGGTCAAGGCTGCAGTGAGCTGAGATCATGCCACTGTACACCAGCGTGGGTGACAGAGTGAGGCTCCATCTAAAAAAAAAATTAAAATAACTTGTATTATTGATGTTTAATTACAGAAGTAATTCCTGCTGCTCGTTATAAATTTTAACAAACACTAAGTGGATGTCAGCCTTCCCACTGTGCACTTCCATTGCCTGGAGATAGTTATCATTGACTGATCAACGACTGTCCTTCCTTTGACTCAATACCTACACACATATGCTCAGAGTTGAGTTTTCTTGATGATGTTTTTGTAAAAGCAGAATCATGCTACCCACAAGGGGTCACACACATTCACCCTGTTGACAGTTGTGTAATGGTCCACTGAATAGATGCACCATGACTGATGGACAGATGTTGATATACGTTATTTCCCGTGTTTTTGCTCTTTTGAATAATTCTGCAGGAAGTTGTACCGACATCTTTGTGCATTGTGAGTATTTTGGTGGACTGGAGCTGGGTGCTGTAGGTGTGTTACACAGACATCCGTGGGCATCACATATCCCATTTCCTGCTCTGCTCTTGAGCTCAGTCCCTGCTCAGTGCTAGATTCCAGAACTGTCCTGAAGAGCTCCCTGCTATGGTGCTACACACACAGTGGCATCCCAGGGGTACTAACCAGCTGTCCCCTGGAACCACCCGGTGCCCTTGATCAATACTGATCCCCTCATCCCTCCACCCCGCCTTTCTGAGGCAGTGGTCTGGGATGGGCCAGAGTCTGTATAATGTCAGGCCACCCGGGGTTCCTGGGGCCCATGCCAGTGAGAACCACTACTGCCACCCGCTCTTGACTACTGTCTTTTTTCCCTCCCAGAACAGGTTCTCAGACTATGAGAAGAGGAAGGTAAGAAAACGCCTTTACTCTTCTGTCACTCTTTTCTCATTAAAGATCTCAACTCATCAAATATTTGAGAAAATGACTTCTTCCCAGCTCAGAATTAGAGGTCACAGTAATGCCTTCCTCCCACAAGCACAGTCTGCTGCATCCTGATGTGCCTCCAGTGGGTGGTAGAGCATCCGTGTGACGGGCGCAGAGACTGAAGCTCAGAGGGGTTGAGCCCAGCACCGAGCTCTAAACCACCAGCCTCTGCCTGTGAACAGCTTGTTTTATTTCATTTGGGCCCCGGAAGGACGGGAGTGGGGGTTGCTCAGCCTGAAGACCTGCAGCCTGCACCGTCAGTGTTGAGGGGTTGATTCCGCCCACTTCTTTTTTTTTTTGAGATCGAGTTTTGCTCTTGTTGCCCGGGCTGGAGTGCTGGAGTGCAGTGGTGCAATTTCAGCTCACTGCAACCTCCACCTTCCAGATTCAAGCGATTCTCCTGCCTCAGCCTCCCAAGTAGCTGGGATTACAGGCATGCACCACCATGCCTGGCTAATTTTGTGTTTTTAATAGAGACAGGGTTTCACCATGTTGGCCAGGATGGTTTCAAACCCCTGACTTCAGGTAATCCATCCACCTCAGCCTTCCAAAGTACTAGGATTACAGGCATGAGTCACCGCACCTGGCCAATTCCCCCTACTTCTATGTCCTAACTCCCCCAGGGCCTGTGCTGACAGTCACTGAGGATCTGTGTCTTGCAGGAACAGAAGATGCTGGAGAAGCTCGAGTTTGAACGGCGCCTGGAACTGGGGCAGCGGGAGCATGCCCAGCTCCTTCAGCAGAGCAGCAGCCAGAAGGATGAGATCCTTCAGACAGTCAAGGAGGTTTGTGAGCTGCCTGCTGGGGCCCAGCCTAATTGCATCCCCCAGCCAGTGGCTTCCTGTCTCTGAACGAGGTCCCTGGGATGTGGAAAGGCAGTGGGATGAAGCTGTCACTTCCTTCCATCTGTTGGCACCTAGGATGGCCTTTACAGATCACCTAGACCAGCCTCCCCATATGCACATGGACACTCTGAGACTTAGTGGGAGGAGCTGGCCGAAGGTCACATAGAAAGGACTGGCAAGGCAGGGTAGGAAAGCCAGCCTCCTAACCCCAGTCAGTACCCCTTGGGGCATCTGAATGGGGTCCCAGGGGCTCAGGACCCCTGCCCCCTGCTGCAGGAGCAGTTCCGACTGGAGCAGGGCCTGAGTGAGCGCCAGCGCCACCTCGACGCAGAGCGGCAGCGGCTGCAGGAGCAGCTGAAGCAGACAGAGCGGAACATCTCCAGCCGGATCCAGAAGCTGCTACAGGAGAATCAGAGGTCGGGCTCTGGTCCTCAGCCCCACCCCAGAGTTTTTCCCCCTGTGCAGTTCCCTGAGGAGCCAGGAGGAGCGAGTTTCTCCCTCACCACCTCTGCTCTTGCCCCAGGCCTACCCCTGTCAGGATCCAGTCTGAGTACTTCAATTGGCACCAGTGTACAGAGAAAAGCATCTGACACAGGCATTACAAAGTCTGGTTTTTTGTCATGAAACTGCTACAGACTGGACCTGTGGCCTCGGGCAAGTGTTTCCCCACTGGGCCCCAAGCTTCCCGTCTGTAAAGTGAGTGGGTTTGACAAGATAGCTGGGATCACATCCTGCTCCAATATTTTGGCTTCTACATAACCCATTGTACTGAGGTCAGCTATTTACCTATAGTGAGATTTGCCTTAACACACCCTGTTCAAGGTAGGAGCTACTAAGAGCAGATCTTGATGGGACTGGGGAGAAGTGGCGCCAGAGAGATCTCAAGAAACCTGAGAAGTCTATCGAGGGGGTCCATTGCAGGAAGATTCCACAAACAGCCTCTAGCCACGTGCCTTGCTACCTCCAGGCCTCCTTTTTCTAACCTTGAATCACTTGTTCTTCCATCACCTGTCAATTTCCAAGTACCTTTGTGAGTTCAGGAAACCAGTCACTTGTTGGGTGCTTATGTGCCAAGCTCATTACGTCTATTTCCTCATTTACTCTTTACAAATACACCAAGAAGCTGGATTGGTTTTGTTTTGTTTTCTTTTGCTTTGCTTTGCTTTGCTTTGCTTGAGACCAAGTCTCTCTCTGTCACCCAGGCTGGAGTGTAGTGGTGTAATCTTGGCTCACTGCAACCTCTGCCTCCCGGGTTCAAGTAATTGTCTTGCCTCAGACTCCCGAGGAGCTGGGACTACAGGCTTGTGCCACCACGCCTGGCTAATTTCTGTAGAGACAGGATTTATCCATGTTGACTGGGCTGATCTCCACCCCCTGGCCTCAAGTGATCCATCCGCTTCAGCCTCCCAAAGTGGCGAGATTACAGGTTTAAGCCACCGTGCCCAGCTGAGTTTTTTTTATTCTTCTAATTTCATAAGTGAGGAAACGTGGGACTTGAGTGGTTTCAGTAACTGGCTAAGAACCCAGAGCTCCTAGGTGGTGGAGCTAAGGTGCCCACAGCCCAGTTCCTAAGCCCCTCTGCACAGCTAGTGCGGCGATGCTGGAAACAGGCCTGCTCGTGACTGCTGGGACCTTTTATGATTTTCTCCACAGACAAAAGAAGAGTTCCGAGATTTTGAAATCGCTGGAAAATGAAAGGTAAATGTTCTTTCAGGGGAGGGCAGCTTTGTGGAGAGTGTCTTGTGATTCCCCAGAGATGAATGCCAGGATGTTTCCCTGAAGCTGTAAGGAGATTCACTTCCTTAGAAGATGTTTAATTACAAAGAATCATTGCCTTCAAGTTTATTAAAACGTATGTACACTCCTGAGAAACATTCAGACACGAATAAGGCTACATATATAACGTCGAACTCTATTCCTAGTATAAAAAGTTCAGGCCAGGCACAGTGGCTCATGCCAGTAATACCAACACTTTGGGAGGCCAAGTTGGGTGGATCACTTGAGGTCAGGAGTTGGAGACCAGCCTGGCCAACATGGCAAAACCCTGTCTCTACTAAAAATCAAAACTTAGCCAGGAGTGGTGGCAGGGGCCTGTGGTTCCAGCTACAAAAAAAAAAAAAAGTCAGAAAACCACATTTCCGGGAAAATTATTTAGTTACATAAATTATGTACAAAGGAATAACTTGCAGCCACTAAATGTCTCATTGAATAATATTCCTCATTAAGGGAAAACAATGTATCTTTCTTTTTTTCTGAGACAGAGTCTCACTCTGTAGCCCAGGCTAGAGTGCAGTGTTGCAATCTCCGCTCACTGCAACCTCCACCTCCCAGGTTCAAGTGATTCTGCTGCCTCAGTATCCTGAGTAGCTGGGACTACAGGCGCACTGATTTTTGTATTTTTAGTACAGAGGGAGTTTCACCATGTCGGCCAGGCTGGTCTCAAACTCCTAACCTCAATGATCCCCCGACCTTGGCCTCCCAAAGTGCTGGGATTACAGGTGTGAGCCTCCACACCTGGCCATGTGATTATTTGTGAAGGAAATATTTGAAGGACATTTTGCTAGGTGCCAGCTTACCTTCCAAAAAACATTCTGCTGGTTTACACTCCTCTCAGCAGTGTAGGGTAGGAAAGTGCCCATTTCTCCACCACCGTCACCGTCACCAGCAGTTACCAGTTTTCTTAATAACCAGCCTAGTAAATGAAAAGATTTTACTTCCTGTAGTAACCAGTAATGTTACGCATCTTTCCAGATGTTTATTGATCGCTTGAATTTCAACATTGGCTATTTACTTCTTTTGCTAATTTTCTAAGGGAGTGTCCATCTTTTTACACAAGATACTCAAACTATAGGCTAAAGGTAAACTGGGTCCCAAGGGTTCTATGTGATGCGGTAGGCATCTAGAGAGCCCATCCAGGTCTAGGTTGGCAAATCAAGAAGGCCTTCCTGGAGGAGGTGGTGCTCATCTGCTGGGATTCCCTGTTGGAAATGTTAAATTTGCTGAATGAATGGACGGATTTTCTTCTAGAATAAGAATGGAACAGTTGATGTCCATAACCCAGGAGGAGACTGAGAACCTACGGCGACGTGAGGTTGCCTGTGAGTTGTGGGATGGGGAGCTTGTGAGCACGCTGCCCTCTGGCTGGGCTGGCAGGGTGGATGGCCCACCCTCTGTTGGCCATACATGGAGGGTGCTGAGTGTTAGCCCTCGAAAGGGGTTATCAAATCCCACCATGGAGCACAGGCTGTGGGGTCAGCCTAGACGTGTATTTCGAGTTCCAGTTCAGACACCCACCATGTGATTTTAGGGACGTTACTGCTCCCCAACTTTTCCAAGCCTCAGTTTTCTTAGCTATAAAATGGAGGAAATGGGCCAGGCTTGAGGGGGCTCATGCCTGTAATCCCAGTGCTTTAGGAGGCTGAGGCTGGAAGATCACATGAAGCCAGGAGTTCAAGGCTGCAGTGAGCTATGATCACGCTATTGCACTCCAGCCTTGGTAACATAGCGAGACCCTTTCTCAAAAACAAACGAACAAACAAAAGTCCAAATGCCCCCAGATAGAGGATACTTAAATAAATGTTGACGATCCATGTGCTGTGGCACTGTGCCGTATTAGCATCCCATTAGCATATTATCATGGGGAGCGTTCGTAAAAAGTGGGAAGTGGGATGTCGTTTTCATTGTTTTCTTTTAAAATATGCATAATGTAAAATTTACCATCACTTTATTTTATTTTATTTATGTTTTGAGACAATGTCTCAATCTGTCGCCCAGGCTAGAGTACAGTGGTGTGATCTTGGCTCACTGCAACCTCTGCCTCCCAGGTTCAAGCTATTCTTGCCTCCTCCTCTGAGTAACTGGGATCACAGACGCACACCACCACTCCCGGCTAATTTTTGTATTTTTAGTAGAGATGGGGTTTTGCCACATTGGCCAGGCTTGTCTTAAACTCCTAACCTTAAGTGATCCTCCTGCCTCAGCCTCCTAAATTGCTGGTATTACAGGCATGAGCCCCCATGTCTGGCCTATTTTCATTTTTTTAAATTCACAAATATGCATAAAGATTGACTAGAAGAATATGTATCAAAATGGAATAATATTTCTGGATGACAAGATCACAGAAGGTTTTTGTGTGTGCTATTCAGTGCTTTACAGTTAGCCTCCCAAGCATAAGTTGCTTTTATAGTTAAAAAGAACAAAGGGTTTTTTGAGGTGACTCTCAGGTGGGTAACCAGGTGAGGCCTCAAGGCCTATTCCTCAGTTCCTGTGGAAATCCCTGCTGCATCCCTGCCCAGGCGCCCCAGGAGCAGCGCCCCCACTGAGGCTGTCCCCACCCCATGTTCCCGCAGCCGCCATGCAGCAGATGCTGACTGAGCGCTGTAAGAACCGGCTCATGCAGATGGCCTACGAATCTCAGAGGCAGAACTTGGCCCAGCAGGCCTGTTCCAGGTAAGGTAAGGAAGAGGAGTCCCAGGTGAGGGAGCTGGGGGAGCCAGCTAGGGGCCCAGGACCATGAGAGCTGGACGCTAAACCTCCCACTCTGGGCCACCCCAGCCTCAGCTGTGCCGTCAGGTGCAAGTGATGGCTGCTGTTCCTGAGTTTCCAGCCAGATGTATGATTCAGCGCCGGGCTGTGAGAAAGTGCTAACAGTCACTCCCATCTCTTGTGCGCTCCCTGTGTGGCAGGCACTAGGCTAAGTGATGAACCGCATTCTTGGATTGATTCTAGGAGGGACTGTGTTGTTATTATCCCCATTTTACAATCGAAACTCAGGTTCTGAGCAACTGTATAACACACCCAAGGAAGCACAGCCAGCAGGTAGCGGAGCCTGGATTCGAGCCTGGCAGAGGGGTGGGTTGTGCTCTTGATTGTGGTGGTGCACTGTCAGTCTGTCTCCAAGGACCCCTGAGGTTAGGGGTGGGATGCCCGGAGCGGTAAGTGAAGGGATTGCTTTCCTGCCTATGCCTACTCTGGATTCGGGCTCTCTGTGCTCACTGTGGTGCTGTGGGTTTGTTCGAGGTTCCACAGGCGCCCAGCAGAGCCAGTGGGGAAAACTCAGTCAGTGCTCAGGAGCCCCAAACAGACAGGACAGAAGCCCCGGATGCCCTGTTTCTTCTCCCGGATGCAGGTGACTGGCACAGCTCCCACCCTCCAGGGTACCTGAACTGTGCCAGCCTCCCCTGGGTCCCTGCAGATGTGGGAATTTCTAGCCCCTTTCCTGCTGTATGATGCTGTGCTTAGGAGTTACAAGCCCAGGGGTCAGGCAGAGCTGGATACAGGCTCCACTTCTGCTTACTAACCGCGAGGTCTCAGGCAGGTCTCTTTCCTTCACTGGGCTTCAAATTTCTTATCAGATGAATCGTAGAACCTACCTGTACAGTTGGTGGAGGATTTGATAAGTGTTAATCAGCATAATATCTAGTGCATAAAGGTCCAATACATACTTGCTATTCTCTTGAAGCAGGAACCTCACTGGAAAAAAATAATTGCTATTATTATGAAATAAAACCAAGATGGTGGCCGGACACAGTGGCTCAAGCCTGTAATCCTAGTACTTTGGGAGGCCGAGGTGGGTGGATCACCTGAGGTTGGGAGTTTGAGACCAGCCTGGCCAATGTAGCGAATCCCCGTCTCTACTAAAAATACAAAAAATTAGTCGGGCATGGCGGTGGGCGCTTGTAATCCCAGCTACTTGGGAGCTGAGGCAGGAGAATTGCTTGAACCCGGGAGGTGGAGGTTGCAGTGAGCCAAGATTGCATGGCTGCACTCCAGCCTGGTGACAGAGTGAGACTCTGTCTCAAAACAAACAAACAAACAAACAAACAAACAGAAACACACCAAGATGGTACCAAAGCATAGCACAGATATACGTGAGGCTGCAGGTTCTTGTGCCCAAATTACCCGCCTTGTCTGGAGGGCTGAGAGCTGCTCCTTGACCAGGGTGAGAATCCCACGAAGAACAGCTTTGTCACACTCCAGTGGCTCATCACCCATGGGAGGCGGGAGCTCTGCACCCAAGGAGGTGGCTGGGCAGAGGCCAGGCATCGACTTCCAGGGGTGCTATGGAGGGTATTCTGGTGGAGTGTTGGGTGAGAGGACCTGGAAGCGTCTCCCAGCTCCCAACTCGATCCCCTTCCCTCAAGGCCATGGTATTCAGACAGACTCAGTGTCTGTGCCCCATCCAGGGCCTGGCTCCCAGCAGGTGCTCCATGAGTAAGGTCCATTGAAGAAATGGATTATCTTGGTCTACTCTGAGGGGCCTGGCACATAGTAGATGCTTAGGAAACATTCCAAGAATGAATGAATTTGCTGTGTTTCTGGCAGCATGGCTGAAATGGATGAACGGTTCCAGCAGATTCTGTCATGGCAGCAAATGGATCAGAACAAAGCCATCAGCCAGATCCTGCAGGAGGTGAGCCCTTGCCCAGGGCCTGAGGGTGGGGGCTCAGGAGGGAGGCCCAGGAGCCAGGGCAGAGCACAGAGATCCACACAGAGCCCTTCCGAGACAGGGTGTGGGACCCTAGAAGTTTGTGACCATGGAAGTGTGTAGTGATTGGCCGGGCGCAGTGGCTCGTGCTTGTAATCCCAGCACTTTGGGAGGCCGATGCAGACAGATCGTGAGGTCAGGAGTTCAAGACCAGCTTCGTCAATATGGTGAAACGCCATCTCTACTAATAATACAAAAATTAGGCAGGTGATGGCGCACACCTGTAGTCCCAGCTACTCAGGAGGCTGAGGCAGGAGAATCACTTGAACCCAGGAGGTAGAGGTTGCAGTGAGCTGAGATGGCACCACTGCACTCTAGCCTGGGTGACAGAGCAAGACTCCATCTCAAAAAGAAAGAACTGTATAGTGATCAGGGTGAGGGGTGGAGAGAGGCTGAGCGGGGACCTGAGGGAAATCCACAGAAGCACCTCCATCTGCTCCCTGGGAGGCTCCCACCCCCAACCTGTGTAGGGGCTCCACTGGAAGGACTTAAGTGGCAGGAGGTGGTGGTCACCACACCATGGAGGTCAGAAGGCCACAGAAGATGCTGTGGGACCGCTGACCTCTTCTCACGTCCAGACCTGCTGCGCTGCTGTCTGCTCTTCTTCCTTCAAGGTGCTCGGGAAGTGCTTGGCAGAGCCCTTGAGTGGATGGAACGAAGGGCCCCAGGGACCTCCCCTTCAGTGTGTGTATTACTCTGTTTAGCTTTTTTTTTTTTTTTTTTGAGACAGTATTTCTCTCTTGTTGCCCAGGCTGGAGTGCAGTGACGAAATCTCAGCTCACTGCAACCACTGCCTCCTGGGTTCAAGTGATTCTCCTGCCTCAGCCTCCCAAGTAGCTGGGATTACAGGTGCCCACCGCTATGCCTGACTAATTCTTCTATTTTTAGTAGAGATGGGGTTTCATCATGTTGGCCAGGCTGATGTCAAACTCCTGACCTCAGGTGATCCACCTGCCTCAGCCTCCCAAAGTGCTGTGATTACAGGTGTGAGCCACTGCGCCCGGCCTGTTTGGCTTTTTCTTTTCTTTTCTTTTCTTTTTTTTTTTTTAAGACAAGGTCCTGCTCTTGTTGCCCAGGATAAGTGAGTGACGTGATAACAGTGCATGACAGCCTCAAATTCCTGGGCTCCAACGATCCACCTTCACCTCCTGAGTAGCTGGGACTACAGGGCCACCACGCCCAGCTAAGTTTTTTGATTTGTTGTAGAGACAGAGTCTCCCTATATTGCCCAAGCTGGTCTCAAACTCCTGGGCTCAAGCATCCTTCTGCCTCAGCCTCCAAAGTGCTGGGATTACGGGCATGAACCACTGGCCTGCTGAGTTCTTTCCCACTCCCTGTGGGACTCTTGCTGCTGCCTTCCTTCTTCCCTCACCTTTCTCCTCTGTCCTCTGCATGTTTGTCATCCCACCTTGCTCCTTCCTCCCTGACTTCAATCTCTGTTCTAAAATGGTTTGACTTAGTATCTGTAGAGCTTGTCTGAGGAAAATTCTCTATTTCTCAGAGGAGGCATCTGCCTTGTTGTTAAGTGGGGCTCGGGAGCTGGATAGGCTGGGTGTGTGTCCCAGCACCGCTGGTTCATGCCTCTGAGTGTCACTTTCCCTATCTGTGAAATGGGGCAGTAAAAGCACCACACAGTCCATGGTGGTGGAAATTCAGGGGGTGATGCTGGAAGGGCATCAAGTAGAGGCCACCGCAGTAAGCCCTTAGTATCATTTTAAGGTTTACACAAGTGAGGTGGAATCTTCTCTCTCTCTCTCAGAAACAAAACCCATACGTTAAGGTGCTTGGTACACAGCTTTTGCTTTTCCCGGGGATGGGCCTGTAGGGAAAGGTGTGGGCCTGGCCCCTGCTGAGGAACGGTGGTCTTTGTTGCAGAGTGCGATGCAGAAGGCTGCATTCGAGGCGCTCCAGGTGAAGAAGGACCTGATGCATCGGCAGATTAGGAGCCAGGTGAGCTCTGGGGCTGTGGCCCCGGACCTGCCCTCTCAGAGACTTGTGGGGCATCCCTCCAGGGCAGCAAGTCGCAGCAGTTGAGGTTTGAACCCCAGCATGTTGGCTTGCTAGCCCAGCAAGAGGTCGAGGCCTCGCCCTTGGCACCTCCCTTTGTTCCCAGCCTTGTGTTGGGGATCCTAGGTGGGTGCCTGGAGGCCTCCTATTCTGGGGTTGGGTGAGGATCGTACCAGCAAGCGTGGCTGTGACTGCTGGGGCCGCCTCCTGTCCATGCTCCAGGCAGGACACTGTGAAAAGCAGCCTGTGCAGGCCCCTGCGCTACTGCAGCTTAGACCAACAGAGACCCATATGTCTCTGGGGCATATGGGATTTCCCCTGGAAGTGGGCAGGTGGGGCCATGAGCCATGGTGGTCCTGACTCCTGCTGAAAAGTGACCTCGGCCCAAGAGGAGGAGGTCCTCTTTATGGGCCCTCCCTCACATGACAAGATCCCCCCCAGGTGGCTGCTGACCTTCGAGGTGTCCTTGGGCGAGCGCACCTGTGTGGCCTGGTGGCCACTGCCTGTGGAGTGGGGCTGGGGCTGAAGTGAGCTTAAGGCTATGGGAACGCTCCTACATCATGTTCGGCACACTGAATTTTACATTTTTTGCATGTTTTTTTTCTTTCTTTCCCTATTTTTCTTTCTTTCGTTCTTTCTTTTTGGACCAATTTACCTTTTCAGTTTCCCTCTTTAATTTCAATCCCACATTGCCAGACATGAAGCTCATTCCTCTGACCGGGGGTTGGTGATATCATAGGGACTTAGAGACGAGGGGCACAGGGTCATAGGAACAGGATAGGGAAGTACTGGCTGTGGGGCCTGACGCCCCCCAGGGCTGAAATCCACCAGACACACCCTGGAGAGTGTTCGAGGCCCCCGACATTCTCACTGCAGATGGTTTTGACCAGGTCAGCTGTTCCTCTCCAAACCCTGAGCTGGGGTATCCCAGAGAATGGGATCTCTCACTTACCTGCTCTGTGTCCTTGGACAAGTGACTTAACCTCTCTGAGCCTCGGTTTTCTTGTCTGTAAAATAGAGGCAGTAATACCTCCTAACAGCCAGAGAATTGATGAAATATTACACATAAAGTACACAGCACATAAAGCCTAGCACGTAGTAGGTGCTCAAGACATACCATCTACTACTACCATTGTTACTCAGTCACTTACTTCCACCACCCTCTGCTCTCCCCTGCAGCAGTGATGAGGGGCACAAGAGACCCTGACCAGCAGGAGGCTGGGTGATAGTTCTGTGTCTGTGCTTTACTCTGGCCTGAATCTCCAAGCAAAGCCTCTTCTCCATTGCACAAGTCTTTATTCTGTGCCCGCTCTGGGACAGATCCTGTGCTGGGCTCTAGGTAAACAATGTTGGCCGTGACAAGCCTGTCCATGACCCCGGGAACTCAGGGCCATGAAGGAATGAATTCTTGTTCAAGCCCCTTGATGAGGTTCCCAGGCTTAGAGGGTCCCTATTCCAGAGCCTCCCTAGCCTCCCCAGAAAGGCTTCATAGACCCCACTTGGTCATCAGAGAGTAGCAGCAGGAAACTGAACCGTGGTTAATGTGAGTAAAAAACTCCTGTCTCGTCTTCTGTTTAGATTAAGTTAATAGAAACTGAGTTATTGCAGCTGACACAGCTGGAGTTAAAGAGGAAGTCCCTGGACACAGAGACACTACAGGTATGTAGGGCTCCCTGCCCCTGCCTCCCTCACATGCTGAGACCCCCACCTCATGCCCCTCCCAGCCCCTGGCAGCTGCTTGTCAGCCCCTGGGAGTCAAGGGCTTCCCCAGCAGACAGAGGGCAGAGTTTTTCTGTGGCTGTGATACCAGAGGACACCCCCCAGCTCCAGAAGACCCAGCGCAGGCTGAAGTTAGAGGCAGTCAGCCTGTTGTGAGGCAGGAGGGTCAGAGGAAGGAGGGTTTCATTGCCAAGGCTCTCCCGCTCCATCTCCATCACTGTTTCCTGTGCTGGGTGTGGGCCCTCGCTGAGCTCTGTCTCTCTCTGTAGGCCATGCTTCAGGCCCCTGGGCAGACATCCTCCAGGGCTGGAGCTTTTGGGTGTCCCCGGGATCTCTGGAGGAGAGGGCCCAGCCATGTCTCTGTTGCTTAGCCTGGCAGTCCTGCTCACACAGACAAGAGGGTGGCAGGGACTGGCAGCTGATGTCCTGGACTGGACACCTGGGAGCCGGGTGTGGCTCGGCACAGCCCTGCTGCACAACCTTGGCAGGTGGGGGAGGAGGGGCAGCCCTTTGCCCTCTCTGGACCTTAGCCCCTCCAGCTGCAGATAGAGGGCTGGATGGGGTGGTGTGTGAGGACATGTGCCCATGCCAGGCATTTGAGCAGAACCTTCTGTCTGTCACTGTCCCTGTGTCCTCATTAGAGAAGTCTCAAGTCATCCCATGGACTCCTCAGTGCAGTGAGAGGTAAGAGGTCTGGATACCTGGTCTCAGGTGTACCACAAGTGCATTGTGTACTCTTAGGCAGGCCTCTGCCCCTCTGGGCCTTCTTCCCCTACTCCGTAAAATGGCAGCTGTCCTCCAGGTCCAGCCTGTGCCATCTGGCCATCGGAGAAGACTAAGTTAGCAAGGGAATGCCCTTTGTGAGCTTTGAAATGATCTCCAGAGATGAGGGGACTGGAGCTGCTCTCAGAGAAGCTGTGGCCATCATGCCTGGCAGGTACCCTAGACCCTGCCCACAAGAGCAGCAGGGCTACACCTGTCAGGGCCCCATGGGGTTTCCAAGAGCAGGCACGGGAGTGGAACAAGGACCCCAGGCTCTGATTTGCACACCCCTCCATTTGTGTGAGGCCCCTTACCCCGTTCCCACCATTTGCTTCTGCCCATGTGCTCTGTTGTCTGGGAGGCCAAAGGCAGGTACCTGTGGCTTGCTGTTTCTTTTGTTTGATGTTTCTTACCATTCCATTGTCATCAATCACCAGGATCCCATGCCTGACTTCACCCCACAAGGACGAGAGATGCAGGCTTAGGGGAAGAGGGGCAGAAGGGCCTCTTAGCTTTGTCCCCCAGCTCAGCCTGGAGGCGTTAGGCAGAGAACCGAGTGAGCGGGAGGCCAAGCCCTTCTCCATCCTGCCACTGCAGGACTCCTGAGGTGCCGCCAGTTCATGGTGGTTTGGGGTGTGGTCTTGTGTTGCAGGAGATGGTCTCGGAGCAGCGCTGGGCCCTCAGCAACCTGCTCCAGCAGCTGCTCAAAGAGAAGCAGCAGCGAGAGGAAGAGCTCCGGGAAATTCTGGTATGTGTTGGCTTCTGTGCTCAGCATCACACATGCGTTTGCTTTTCTCTAACAGACTGGCCATTTTTAGAAACACCTGTTATTCAAGTAAGAGTTGTTCATCAAAGAAAAACTGGAAAGTGCAAAGGAAAATAATTGCAGTTCCAAGAGTTATCTCCTGCTGTTTTTTGTTGGTTTGCTTGTTTGAGACAGGGTCTCACTCTGTTGCCCAGGCTGGAGTGCAATGGCGCAATCTCGGCTCACTGCACTCTTGACTTCCTGGGCTCAAGCGATCCTCCCACCTCAGCATCCCGAGTAATTTTTTTATTTTTCATAGAGATGGGGTTTCGCCATGTTGCCCAGGCTGGTCTCGAACTCCTGGGCTCAAGCGATCTATCTGCCTTGGCCTCCGAAAATGCTGTGGTTACAGGCATGAGCCACCGTGCCCAGCCTGTCCTGCTGTTTTGATGCATGTTTTCCAAACATTGTGATGCATCTTTATAGCTGTTTGTGTATCTGCCTTTTAAATAGGACATGGTGCGTACTCTACAACCAGCCTGTTTCCGTACATTCTTTTCAAGCCGTTAAACCCTTCCTTGACATCCTTTCTCGAGGCTGTGCTTGGCCCCTATTGTTATGTGGATTACTTCTAGGTTTTAAACTTACAGGCGACGCTCTCTGAATTCCTTTGTAGTTGAGTATTTGGGAACAGCCATGAGTATTCACTCCAGGACAGGACTTGCTATGTCCAGGACAGGCTGTTTGATAAGCTTTTGGTAGGAATGGCCCAGCTGTCTCCTGTCCCCTAATAAGTTTGATGCTGGCACACTTTCAGAGTGGCAGCGGCCCCCTTGAGAGTGTCTTCTCTAGACCCAGGGGGCACCCAGCAACAAGACCAGAGGCCAGGCCCACCATCTGGGGTGGAAAAGATCGAGTTATTCCTGAGTCACCGTGAATGAACCAGACGTCCTCTGAGCTGCCTCCTAGACCTGGCCCTGTGCAGGTTTTTTTTTTCTTTTCTCAAGACAAAGGTTTGCTTTTTGTTGTCCAGCCTGGAGTGCAATGGCGTGATCTTGGCTCACTGCAACCTCCGCCCCCTGGGTTCAGGCAATTCTCCTCCCTCAGCCTCCCGAGTAGACAGGATCACAGGCATGCAATACCATGCCCAGCTAATTTTTGCATTTTTTTTAGTAGAGACAGGATTTCACCATGTTGGTCAGGCTGGTCTTGAACTCCTGACCTCAGGTGATTCACCCACCCTGGCCTCCCAAAGTACTGGGATTATAGGCTTGAGCCACCGCACCTGGCCCCTGTATAGGTTTAGAAGAGAAAGACCAGCTTCTTCTGGAGTCCTGAACAAGCCAAGTGGTGCCTGTGCCCATCAGAGAAAGCTGTCTATTCCTCACAGTGCCCTGCTGCCATCTCCTATGCATCAGGTTACTGGGCAGATGGTGCCCTGGTGCTGTGCTGTGGCAACCAGGTGCTGTGGCTGGTGCTCCTGCCCTCGTAGGCCTTGGGGGTCACCACCAAGGGAGGAAGCACCACCCCAGCAAGACACAGCCAGTCCGCTCCTGGGTGCCAGAAGAGAGGGCCTGCAGCCCGGGAGGGCCAGCGATAGAACTGAGCAGTGGGTGTGGCCAAGGCCACAGCGGGGAGCCCCCAAAGGGCAGTCAGGCCCAGCAGGGATGGGGAAACGCCTCCCCATGTCATGCCAGCCCTCACTGCTGTTCTAAGCAACTTTGTTCTAAGCAAGACAAGCCTGGGGCCTGATTCCTGGCCCCACCCTAGGCAGGGTACTCATTACCCCGAATCTCAGTTCCCTCACCTGGGAGGTGGAATCAACTTCACGGAGTTGTGAGAATGAATGAGTGGCATCTGTAGGTGCACAGCGTGGCCTGGTGCTGTGAGCAGGTCAGCTGTGCCTGTTGTCACCATGGTCGTTATCAGCATCATTTGCTCACTGCTTTATTCCCAGCACCTAGAACAATACTCAATGAAGAGTTACTGATTGGTAGAATAAGAGAATCATGTTCAGTAGCACACTGACCATTCTTCAGCTCTGTCAGACAGTGAAGCCCAGTCTAGAAGCGAAGGACACCGTCAGCTTCTAGACTGGGCTTCACTGTCTGACAGTGCCCCCTGCCTGGTACCCAGGAGGCAACCTGGGCTGCATAATGCTTGCTGTCCCACAAGCAGACAGAGGGTGTCCCTCCCAGAGAGTGGTGGAGTATGGTGCCAGGTGGCAGAAGCTTAGGTTCAGGTGCTCCTCCTGACCAGGTGTACAGCGTCGAGCCGGTCAGAGAGTGATGCTTCCTGCCTTTCTCATTTCTATAGTTTAAACGGTGGGACAGTAAGTGGGTGGGAAAGTTCTCTGTAAAATACTAAGTGCCAGCTGGTCACAGTAGCTCATGCCTATAATCCCAGCACTTCGCGAGGCTGAGGTGTGTGGATCACTTGAGGTCAGGAGTTTGAGACCAGCCTGGTCAACATAGTGAAACCCTGTCTCTACTAAAAATACAAAAATGAGCTGGGCGCGGTGGCAGGCACTTGTAATCCCAGCTACTTGGGCACTCCAGCCTGGGCGACAGAGCAAGACTGCATATCAAAAATAAAATGCCAAGTGCATCCACCTGCTCAGAGGAGCATAGTTCATAACCATCATTGTTAGCACAGGTTTTATTACCATTTTGTAACTAACATTGCCTGCTTCATTCCTGGCAGACGGAGTTAGAAGCCAAAAGTGAAACCAGGCAGGAAAATTACTGGCTGATTCAGTACCAACGGCTTTTGAACCAGAAGCCCTTGTCCTTGAAGCTGCAAGTAAGGACTGCTGCTGCCTGCCCTGGCCAGGGAGCCCGGGGTCTCCTCCCAGAGCACCTCTGGCTTCCACTATGCTCTGCCTCTTGTTACCTTTCTGGTGACTCTGGCATGCCAGATCCTGTGCCAAGCACAGGTGGCAACAGAAGTGAGAACGAGGGAGTATTCATTCTGGCGAGGGGGACAACAAGGCGCTGGTCACTGCTGTGTGGGGCAGAGACCACTGAGCCCACAGTAGAGTGAAGCCTGTGCCCGGGGGCCACTGTCTGCCCAGCACGTGCAGGGACAGGGTGGTGAATGAAACAGCCTTCTCTTAGTGGATGTTCAAGTCGCTTACTATTTCGGGGTTTGCAGACAGAGTGGCGGTGAACCCCGGGCCCGTCTATCTCTGTGCCTGCACTTGTGTTTTTGTAGGACTAATCCTGAGTATGTTCTAGGTATTGTGTTGTGTATATTCAAACCCTTCATTTCCTGTTGTAAGCAATGGGTTCTTTTCTTCCTTCCCACTCATGGTACACTTTTCCCTGGTCTGTCTTGCAGGAAGAGGGCATGGAGAGCCAGCTGGTGGCCCTCCTGGAGGAGCTGTCGGCTGAGCACTACCTGCCCATCTTTGCCCACCACCGCCTCTCGCTGGCCCTGCTGAGCCAGATGAACCCCGGGGACCTGGCCAAGGTGGGCAGCAGCTGTCCATGCAGAGGGTGGGGAGGCTGGGGAGGTGTGCGCAAGGCCACTGGCCTGACCAGTGGGGGTTGACCTGCTCCCCGTGGAATTCTCAGTGAGGTCTGTCCTTACCTAATGGCCTAGGCCCACCTTGTTTCCAGATGGTCAGAATGCCTGCCCATCTGCCCCAGCCGCCTGTGTCTGCCCTGGACACCATCTCACTGGGAAATCCTGGGGAGGTGGGTCCTGCCGAGCTGCTCAGACTGGATCCACAAGACAGGCCCCTGGGGATTGTCCGATCCAGCCTCCGCCCTGTCCCTTGGTGTGACAGACTGTTGTGACCGCAGCACTGCCTGAGCCCATATTCTGGGCACAAGCTGGGCTCTCTACAGCACATGAATCCACTTACTCTCCAAAACGGAATAATCATTGCTGTGCCAGCTAATACCTTCTTACCACCTGCACGTGCTGGGCACCATTTTAAGCACTTTTCGTATTTGAACTCACTGAATCCTCTCGATGGCCCAGGGAGGTACAGAGACTTATGATCTATCGTTCAGATGAGACCCAGTAAGGCAATAACTTGGCCTAAGGTCACGAAGCAGAGTGAGGCCTCTACCCCTAGCAGTCCAGCCCCAGAGTTCCTGTTCTTTGCCATGAGACTGTCCTGCCCCTCCCTGGACAGATGCAGACACTGAGGTCCAAAAGGACTGGATAGCACTGAGGGTCACAGGCCATGCTGCTTAAGCTCTGAAGGCTGAGGGGCTGTGGGCTCAGGTGCTGCTGCTTAGCGGCTTGGCCTCAAAGGCTTCTCTCTTGCTCCACCTGGTGGGGAGGTGGCGTGAGATGTGCAGGTGAAACCCGGTACTGGGAAGCAGTCGCTAAACCATGGCCGTTGCTAGTGCTGGCTTCCCTCTGGGCCTCGGTTTTCTTCCCACCCCCACCACACTGATTGTGGGGCTGAGGCCTGAGGAGGTTGCCCCCACAGTGATGGTGCCGCACTGCCCCATCCTGACCCTGGGCCCCGCCAGGCCCTGGACGGCTCCCACATTTCCAGCGAAGGTGCTGGTGCTTCTGTGGACTGGGCCTGCGCCAGGTGGCTCGTATCATTTATCAGGCTCCCCCCAGCCCACAGTCTGCTCCTCCCTGAACTGTCACAGCTGGGCGTATCAGAAGCTGGCCTGCAGCACGAGATCCTCCGGAAGGTCCAGGAACTGCTGGATGCAGCCAGGATCCAGCCAGGTACTAGCGCAGCCCTGGCCTCCTCTGGGCAGGGCTCCAGCCGAATGTGTGGCTGTGGTGGGGACAGTCATTTGCTTACATTCAGGATAAGTCCTGAGGGCTGCTTCTAGCCTCTGCCCGCCGGTAAGGTTCCCTCCCAAGGACCAGGCTTAGGGATTAGTGAGCCCGTTTTACAGATGGGAAAAATGGGCCACCAAAGTGGGGGAACAGAGAGACCTCCAAGTAGCAGTGGAGGGCCCTCCCAGCTCCCTGTCCCTCCTTCCCTCAGCCCACCTACACACGCTGGGGTCTACACACCGAGGGACCCTGTCCCTCCTTCCCTCAGCCCACCCTACCGACACTGGGGTCCACATACTGAGGGACTTTGGACTAGAGGGAGAAACAACCCGTGCCCAGGGCCTGCTGTATGCCCAGTGCTGGGCCTGAGGGGGTGCCTGTGGGCGTGGAGAGATGTCCACAACAGGCTGGGAAGGAGTGAAGGCAGGTCATGAGGGCCATGGAGAAAAGGGGCAGGTGTGGGGTCTGGGGTCTGCTGTGTGCTGAGCATGACCGGGTAGCCTGGCACCTGCCCACAGCCGTGCGGGAACCACGTTGGGGAACCTCCAAATCAACCCCATGGGGGGCACTGTTGTAGTCCTCATGTTCAAGATAAGGAAACTGAGGCGGAGACAGGTTAGCATGTCCCCTATCAGGTCCCACTGCTGGCACGTGGTGGAACCACTGGGCTTGACTGCCTCCCTGGGGAAGAGCTGAGGGTCCAGAGCAGGGGTGAAGGAGAGGGCAAGCTTGTGCAGCCTGGCTGGCCGTGAGCAGGGCATTTTTAGCCAGAGCCAAGGAAGAGGGGAAGCAGCCGGGGCGAAGGTGGAGTTCCTGGACTGGACCTCAGCGGGGAGGCCTGGGGCTCCAGGGGGCTGGGCGGACTGCAGCCCATGAAAGCTTCAGACACCAGTTCTGCAGCCACTTTACTCCAGGGACATTAACTCAATCCCCCCAAAGTCACTAAACTTAGTTTTTTGATATCAAGTCGTGTGCAGCATAGGCCCCTTCTGGATGTTCCCGACCCTTCAGCTCTCAGACTGGAAATCAGGAAGAGTTTGCCATCAGGAGCTGGGGTTACCCCAGCAGACAAGCCTCAATGAGCAGGAGTCACAAACAGGTGCCCCTCACGGGAGCAGGGTGCAGTGCCTCTGAGCCCAGTGGTCCTCAGGACTAACTGCTTCTCAGTGTTTGGGTCATCCTAGAGCTCGTAAGCAGGTCTTCCTCTCCACAGCTGATCGGCCACAAGGATCTGTGGCCATGTGCATAGAGCAGATGCCTCGGCTGCTCAGGGCTTCCCGCTTGCACCAGTTGGCAGGGGAAGGGGCTGGGGTGGGATCCAGCCTCAGTTCTAGAAGACATGGGAAACCCTCAATTTCCTGACAATTCTTATTACTCCCAGAAATCGGTATACTTTATATCAAATCTAGAGGTTGGGGTCGGGCGCGATGGCTCACACCTGTAATCCCAGCACTCCGGGAGGCTGAGGTGGGTGAATCACCTGAGGTCAGGAGTTTAAGATAAGCCTAGTCAATGTGGTGAAACCCCACCTCTACTAAAAATACAAAAATTAGCTGGGTGTGGTGGCAGCACCTGTATTCCCAGCACTCAGGAGTCTGAGGCAGGAGAATTGCTTGAACCTGGGAGGTGGAAGTTACAGTGAGCCAAGACCACGCCCCAGCACTCCAGCCTAGATGACAAAGTGAAACTGTTTAAAATTTTAAAAAAGCCAAAACAAATAAAGAGGGGTTGCCTCTGAACGTGTTTTCTTCAGGTATCTAAGTATAGATAGATCTCCAGTGGCTCATGACTGTAGTCCCAGCACTTGCGGAGGCCCAGGCGGGAGGATCACTTGAGCCTAGTTTGAGACCAGCTGGGCAACATAGACCCCTTCTCTACACAAAGTAAAATCAAATTAGCTGGGCCTGGTGGTGAGCTTCCTAGTTCCAGCTACTTGGGAGGCAAACGTAGGAGGATCACTTGAGCTTGGGAGGTCAAGGCTGCAGTGAGCCATGATTGTGCCTCTGCACTCCAGCCTGGGGAAGAGTGAGATTGTTTCAAAAACAACAAAAAAAAAAATCAAAAAACTAGCCCCAGCTACTCAGGAGCTGAGAGCTTCTGCCCCAGGGCTCCAGTACTGCAGCTGCACCACCAGATGGCCCCATGGCCCTGGGCCAGTGACTCCCCGAATCTGAGCCTCAAATGCCTCATCTCTGAAAGTGCCGAGCCCTTCTTGCAGGGTGGCTGTGAAGGGTCCTGGGGACATTAGAGATTAGAGGACCCAGTTAACAAGCTCTGCAGCCATCCCTGCAAAGAGAGACTGCACTCCCATTCTACAGATGGGAAATGAGGCTCAGAGAAGAGAATGTGTGGCAAGGAGAGCACTTCCCCAGATCTGAGTGCAGAGGCTCCTCCACCCTCCAGCTCACTCACTATGGGGATAGGCTGGGCCACGAGGAGCCCCTAGGGGTTGGGGTCATCCTGGTTGACCCTGGCTCAGTCTGTCTCTCTGGTCTCCACAGAGCTGAAACCACCAGTGGGTGAGTTCCTCACCCCCACAGCCCCCCAGGAGCCTCCAGAGTCCATGAGGCCATCGGCTCCCCCTGCAGAGCTGGAGGTGCAGGCCTCAGAGTGTGTGGTGTGCCTGGAACAGGAGGTAAGTCTGGGTCTCCCCACTGCGCCTGCCGTGCCCGTGGCTGCGTCAGCAAACTCTCCAGGCACAGGGGTTGCCTCCGAATATGCTTCCTCCAGTTATCTAAGTATATTGTGTTCATCTAGAAAATTTGGAAAACACAGAAAAGCAAAGAATGCAGGAAATAGAAATGACCCCCCATCCCACAACCCAAATATGAGCCGTGCTCACATCATTTTCCAGACCTTTTTCTTTTTGTTCCTACTTAATAAATACACAGGAAAAAAATCTTCCAAATTGTGAAATATCAACAACATGATGTACCCTGCAGAGGCTTTCAAAAAATCTTTTGGCCAGGTGCGGTGGCTCGAGCCTGTAATCCCAGCACTTTGGGAGGCCAAGGCAGGTGGATCACCTGAGGTCAGGAGTTGGAGGCCAGCCTGGTCAACATGGTAAAACCCCATCTGCACTAAAAATATAAAAATCAGCCAGGTGTGGTGTGGGTGCCTGTAGTCCCAGCTACTTGGGAGGCTGAGGCAGGAGAGAATTGCTTGAATCTGGCAGGTGGAGGTTGCAGTGAGTCAAGATCCTGCCACTGCACTCCAGCCTGGGTGAGACTCTAAAAAAATTTTTTTTGAAAAATTATTGCAGAGTTAACACTGATTGTAGAAATTACACAGAGCAGTAAATGAAATACAAATCGTCCTCTGCCTCCACTGAGGGATCCTACTTAGAAAAGCAGCCCTGTTTGCAGTTTGATGATTCCAGGGTCTCCAATTGACTGGGTCATGCCATGATATGGATGGACCTGTTGGTTCCAAATCTAATCCCTGTTCTGGGGCCCCTGGCATTCCAGACAGCTTTGAGCAGGGCTCAGATCAGTTCCTGAAAGCAGGAGATGCTAAGGCAAAGTGGGGTTCTGAGTCAATGGCTGCTGCTCCAGGTTGGGATCATTTTTAGACTGAGGAGTTCAGGGCCTGGGCAAGTGCATCAGCAAGAAAGAAGCCTGAGCACTGTGCACACCCGCCAGCAGGGGCTGGCTGAATAGACCTGGGTCCCTTGTCCGGAGGGCCCAAATATAATCCCATTTTATTTAAGAAATAGGGGCCATGTATGGTGGCTCATGCCTGCAGTCCCAACACTTTGGGAGGCAGAGGTGGGCAGATCATGAGGTCAGGAGATGGAGACCATCCTGGTTTTTTAACACGGTGAAACCTCGTCTCTACTAAATATACAAAAAACTAGCTGGGTAGGGTGGCATGTGCCTGTAGTCCCAGCTACTTGGGAGGCAGAGGTTGCAGTGAGCTGAGATCAGGCCATTGCACTGTAGCCTGTGTGACAGAGCAAGACTCCATCTCAAAGAAAAAAAACAGTTGGGGCATATAGGTATTTATTTTTTACAGACTTAGAGAAATAGACAGCAAACTGCTAACAGAAGGGCTAGGTTACCCCTTTTGTCCATGCCTGTTTTGTTTCTGTGGTGTTCAAATGCCTGGGTGCCCCACTGTCAGGTGCTTATGGTAAAGATGGTAAAGAATAATGAAGGGGGCCGGGCATGGTGTACTCCCAACAGTTTGGGATGCCCAGGCAGCCAGATCACTTGGGGTCAGTAGTTTGAGACCAGCCTGAAACTCCATCTGTACTAAAAATACAAAAAAATTAGCTGGGCATGGTGGCTCATGCTCATAGTCCCAGCTGCTTGGGAGTCTGAGGCAGGAGAATCACTTGAACCCGGGAGGGCAAGGTTGCAGTGAGCCAGGATTGTGCTACTGCACTCCTGCCTGGGTGACAGAACAAGACTGCCTCAAAAAAAATAAAAGAAGGACCCGGGGCCTGGGACTCCTGGAACGCGGCCGGGCTAGCCACATGCTCCCACTCTCCCTCCCTCCCTCCCCAGGCCCAGATGATCTTCCTCAACTGTGGCCATGTCTGCTGCTGCCAGCAGTGCTGCCAGCCACTGCGCACCTGCCCGCTGTGCCGCCAGGACATTGTCCAGCGCCTCCGCATCTACCACAGCAGCTGAGTGCTGCCCGCCCACCTGGGCCTGGCCCTGCCTCGGTCACTGCGAGCCCCAGGCTCCTGCTCAGCCTTGCGCCAGCCACACACATACAAGGTCCCCCCTACCCTGGGCCCTTCTTTCCCCACTGCCCAGGATGCCCCACCCTGAGCTCCAAGCGCCTCTGGGCCAGGCAGAGGCTCTCCTGATCCATGACACCACCAGTCTGAATGGGGCTGGGGCTGGAGGGGCTGGGGCTGGAGAGGCTGCTGCGCCACCACCCTGGGAGCCAGCATCCCAGCGTAATCATGGATCTGCTGCCTCCCAAGTTCTCTGACTGAAGGTCATTCTGCTCCTTCCGGAGCTTGGGTCCTCATCTGGGGACCATGCACAGTCCTGTCCTGCTCTGCATGTGGGAAGTGAGCAGGAGGGCCTAGCTGGGTAAAGGGAGGCTGTGGCCTTGGGGGGCCATCCTGGGAAGGCAAGCAGTGCAGGCCTATGCTCACAGTGGTGCCAGCACCCTTGGGCCTTCTTCTCTGCTGCTCCCTAGCACCCTGGGGCCCTCTTGCTCTCTGCAATTGTCCTTCCTCACACCATGTGGCTTGATCCAAAGCAGGAGCATCAATAAACCCATCTTCAGCGCGCTTCTGGCCAGAGTCATTGCAGGGTCCTCATGGGAGCCCGGGAACGGGAGCGGGTGAGGTCTGGGGATGGGGCTAGGACAGAGGGCACCTATTCTTGAGGAGGGAACCAGGAGTGTGCTGCCCCTCAGTTGAAAGGAGAGGTCGGTAGAGCCATCTTGAGGTGGAGAGACTGGGGCCCAGAGGGAAAGCACCGAGAGGTAGCCAGGGCCGGTGATGGTTGCAGCCTGTGCCTCTGAGCGGAGGAGCCCTGTGGGCGGGCTGTGTGTTCTGTATCTTATCCCAATGAGGCAGCTGAGGCTGATGGGGGTAAATGCCTAGGGCCTTGCAACTGGGACATGGTGATGCAGGGTTTGAGGCCCAGAAGCTTCCTCACCCTCAAACCTGTGCAGTTGTGCAGGTTGGTCACTGCACAGTTCTAGGAGCCATATACACCTGCACTCGCTGCAGGGGTGCATGTCGATTATGCATTTTCTGGCAGATGGTGTTGAGCCAGGGGAGCCTCTACCTTGGGCATATGGCAGGACTGCTCAGAGCACCTGGGCTCTACCTCCAGCTCAGTGACCCTGGCCAGTGTTTGGGCCTCAGTTTCAGCTAGTGGCCTCCAGGGGGTGCTGAGTGCTTGCCCCAAGTACAACATCCACAGGAGTAGGCAGGAGGGTTCAGGTTCTGGGGTGGCAGAAAAGTCCCTATGCCCAGGCCTGTTTCCCCCTCCCTGAGACCATCAGTCCTGTGCACGGAACGCGGGTGAATACCCTTTGTTGTGTGAGTCCTGTTTCCCAGGCAGGAGCTGGGTGGCCTTTTCCCATGTCGGCACCCTCAGTTCCCCCTCCTCCCAACACCCTCCTGGGTTCAACTTGCCAAGGGGGAGGGACCGAGGCAGGTGGAGCTTTCCTGGAGCACAGTGCTTTGCAGACCTCCTGTTCTCACCAGCCCAGGGAGGCCTCATGGAAGAGCTTGAGGCTCAGTGACCTGCCAAGGACAACAGCAAGCCACAGCCGCATCCCTGTGTTCCATACATTACCCCGCTGAGGCCCACGCAGTCCTGTCTTGTATCTCGGCCCTTGTTGACTGAGGGAGGCTCAGGCCCAAGTCATAGGATGCCACAGAGAAGCGGGCACCAGGGAAGCCAACGTTCCCCAAGGTGACTGGCTGCCACCCCACCCAATAAGGACATGCTTTTACCCATAGGTTGGGCAACCTACCCCCAACAGCTGCAGGGGTGTTCCAGTGCCCCGTAAGCTTGGCCCAGGTTCCCCATCCTCCTAGGCCTCAGTTTACACATTGGTGAAATGGTGACAGCAGTGACCACTTTCTAGAGCCGCCTCGAGGCTCCTGTTTCCACACACACTGCATTTGGCCCACACTGAGCGCTTGGCAAACACTAGTGTGTGATCGGGCGTGTTGAAGGAGCTGGCTGTTTGGATCCAGCCCGATCCTGGGCCCACCCCACTATGAGCACCCCAGGGTCCTGAATGGCCTTGAAGCTGCTGCCTGCCACCGACCCTGTCAGCCTCATCATTGCCCAAGGCTGCCTCTACCCCCGCAGCACCACTCAAGGCAACTGGCTTTAAATAAAGCGTTTATTGATTAGTAGAAGCATGAACAGTGTGCATATTTTCAATACAATATCGGGAGGATGATGGGAACCCCCCAAAAGGCACTAGAGGCACAGATCTTCAGTATGAGAGGGGAGAGATGCGCTGGAGACCAGGGCTGGGGGAGCTGGGGGGGTCCCTGAGTGCCAGGCACCACTGTGGGTCAAGACCCCTCCTCTGGGGAGCAGGTCTAGGGCACGGAGGATGCAGGGCTGGGAGGAGACCCCACTTCAGGACCCTGAAGGAGCCCATTTCTTCCCTGCCCCCCTGTAAAGAAGCAGGGGAGGAGATCTGAGGGGCTCTGGGGTGGGGGTTGCCAGGCCAGGGCCATCCTGGCTTGACCCTTGTCCCAGGAACAAGAAGCTGAGCAGGGACAACAGCCAGACCCAGAGTGACAAGGACATCCAAAGGGAGGCCTAGATTTTGGGGACACCTGTGAGGCAGGCTGGGGCCGGAGGAGGGGGTGCACAGGCCCACAAAGCCTGAGGCTCCCCCCAACACTCACAGCCATCTCAGCCTCATTCACTCACTCCTAGCATCCCTGGGGACCCCTCCTTCCCTCAGGACACTTCCCCTCCTCACACCTGCACGTTCTGGGCCTTTCTCATTCCACCCATCCTGCAAGGCACCCCCTAAATCCCATCCCTCCCCCCAGCACCCCCAGCCTGAAGACCCCCCTCCTTCCCCTTCCCTCCAGAATGGTGGGGAAAGTGAGGCTGGGTCCACCCCTAACTTTGGAAGGAGCAGGGCCAGGGGCCACAGCACTCCCCGCTCCCCATCCTAGCCCAGCCAGCCCCTGGGTGAGTGGGCAGGAACCCACTGGCTTTTCACACCAGCTTCCACCTCCCTCTCTCCAGGAAGGTTAGCAGCACCCATGAGGGGAGAGAGGCCACAGAAGGACAGAAAAGGAGGGGCTTTCCAGCCCCCCAGCATTGTCCAGCCCTCGGCACAAGCAGGAAAACCCCAAAACCAGCCCCTGCGTTTGAGATCATCCCATAGAAAACAGGGAGCAATAAAGTGTGGCTGAACCCAATAAAGTGACTCAGGCAGGTCCACTCCTCCCAACCCCTGGGGGTGCCACATTGCCCTGTCCCGCCTCCACCCACAAGGCAGACCAGGGTGACCTCCCCAGAGCCAAACCTGCCTGGGCCCTGAAGGGAGCAGCCTGTGCTGTGTGCAGCAGGCTAGGACCCACGGGCCTAGAACTCAGTCTGCAGCCCTGCACTGTCCTCGGTGGTGGTGTGGAGGGCAGGGTGGCTGCTGGGGCTGGATACCTGCTCTCCTGTCTCCTGGTCACTGGGCTTGGGGGGCCCAAAGTCCACAGCCTTTCCAGGCAAGACATGCTGGAGGGGTGAGTCAGGCGGTGAGGAGGCCTCGGGGGTGGCCTCGGGCTGGGGACTCTCCCTGGCAGGGGCCCCGTTCGGCAGAAGGCTGGCCGGCGGGGGACTCTCAGCCCGCAGACCTTGGGCCAGCAGGCCTCGGATCTCAGTGACACTGTCCGGGGATGTGGGTGATGGTGACTCAGGGCCAGCCTCGAAGGGCATCCCTGCCTCCTCATCCTGGACCACGGAGACCACCTGCTTGGCGCGCCGTCGCTTTTCCGAGAGGGTGGCTGCCTCTGGGGGGCTGGGGCTGGGACTTCCGCCCCCACGGCTGCTGCTGTACTCCTCACTCCAGTCGATGGGGGCACCCTCGGCCAGCAGGTGCAGGTTGGGGTCGCTGTTGTGCATGACGATGCTGTCCCGGTACAGGTTGTGCTTCCTCTGCACCGCAGCCTCCTTCACAGCTGCAGGGCCACAGTGGGAGAGTCAGGACACAGCACTGATCCCACAGCTGCCCTGTGCTGGACTCTGCTTAAAGGAGACTGGTCTCATCCCGCCCTGGGTGTCTGTGGATGTGACTCATTCCAGGACTCATTGCTGAAAGCAGCAAGGCTGTGATGCTAACTCCAGGTCCAGCCTGCTGAGCACGTGTCATCTCATCACTCATCTGACCCTCCCAGCAAAGACAAGGACTGGAGAAGAAACTAAGGCACAGAGATGCAAGGCTAAGGCCACTCCTGGGGCCACACAGCAAACAGTGGGCTTCACCCAGCCCCCAGGTGTAAGTCTGGGCTTTTCTTTGTGCCTTAGCTGACCCCCTCAGCTGCCCCCAGCATCCTCCCGGCCACAATCCCGCCCTGGACGGCACCCACCCTGCAGGATGTCCTTCATGACAGTCTGCAGCACCACCTCCTCGTACGTGTTCTCCACCAGAATGAACCTGGCAAAGTCCTCGAAGATCAGCTCCTGGAACCGGGGCAGCTCCTGCCCGGGTGGGTGGCAGAGATGAGAGGTCAGGGCCAGGGGTAAAGGGAGGTCTGTATGCTCCACCCCCATTCTGGGGCCCACACGGCTGGAGCGGGTGGGGGCCACTCACCGACTTGCAGGTCGGGGCCAGCTTCTTGAGCAGGAACGGGATGCTGACCTGCAGCAGCGCCTCCCGGAAGAACCTCTTCCGCACGGTGCTGCTGTCATAGTCATATTTCTGCAGGAAACAAGGGGGTCAGGGGCCTGCCAGTCATGAGCTCCACTGGCCCTGAGGTTAGGACGAGGCCAGTGGTCTGACCCAAGCCTCCAAGTCCTCATACACATGAGAGGACCATGATGCCTCCTTGCAGGGACAGCAGTCCTGGTGGAGGCCGAGGATGGGGCTCAGGGCTCGGCCCTGCCTAGGACGGTCCAGGACAAGGCATGGGGTCGCTCACCTTCAGCACCCGCTCCAGGACCCGCTGGATGGACTTGCACAGCTCCTCCTTGGTGGGCCCCTTCCCCAGCTCCTGGTGCAGGAGGGTCTCGAAAGTATACACAGCATTGTCCATTTGCTGCGGGGCACACCACAGACACGTGAAGTCCCCAGGGAGACCACAGCCCCTTCCTGGATGCTGCTGAGGGGGTCCTCACCCTCAGCCAGCCTCAAACCCCAAGGCCTGCCAGGGCAGCCTAGTGAGCGGTCTGTGCCCCCTCACTCATTCGCTCACTCACAGCACTGTACGCCAGAGCCAGTCCCAGCCTCAAGGCCACAGGAAACATGGGAAAGTGGCTAGGGGGAGCAAGGAGAGCTTCCCGGAGGAAGGGGTCTCTAAGCTGAGATCTGGGAAATGAGTCAGAATTAGCCAGGTGGGCAGAGGCACAGATGTTCTGAGCAGAGGAGGAGAGTGCCTGCCTGGCAAGCGTGGCTACAGCATGGCAGGGATAGAGCAGAGGGGACCCCCCCCCCCGGGTAAGGGGGCCTGTGGAGGGCAGTGGGTAGAGTGTGGGCGGGGGTGGCAGTCTTGGGTCTACCTCCCGCATGTGGATCTGGGCTCGCTGCTTGAACACCGACGTGCTGGACACATCAAACCGCTGCTGCAGCCCGTCCAGCCGCAGCAACTCCATCTTCTCATAGCAGCTGTGCATCTTCAGGGGGTGGAATGCCAGCCGGGACAGCTTCTCCATGTACTGCAGGGGTGGGACATGGGGACTGAGCAGGGCCACCCCATGGCCAGGCGGCCCCCACACACACATTTTACCTGGGTCTTCGAAGTCCAGGCCCAGGGGCTGGCGTCTGCTGCCAGGATGACCACCTGGTGCTGGTGGCCACAAAGGTAAACCCAGGAGAGCCCAGGACAGAAGGATGAGGCTCGGAGGGCACGGGGGGAATGGTCCAGAGGCACAGCATTGTGGAGGGTCAGCCTGGGTGCTGGGAGAAGCACCTCCTCCCTCCTGGGCTGCTGGGTGACCTTGGCCAAGCCATTTACCCTCTCTGAGCCTCGGTTTCCTCAGCTTCAGAATTGGGAGTTAGCTTTCATGCTCTCCAAGGTCCTCTCTAGGTCTCAGATTCTGTGATTATTATGGACTGTGGACCCCCCATTTCAGAGTATAGAGGAGGAAACCAAGATACAGGATAAATTTAATCTGGGAGCGACGTGGGCTCTGGGCTGCCACCCCAAGAAGGGGACTGTGGAAGGACGTCCACCCCGAGAGCCAGGTAACTGAGGTCAAGGCGGGGTGATGGCTGTCTCTGTTTGGAGGGCGTGTGACTTGTGAATTCTGCGTTGTCCATCTCGTCACTCCGCCTGAAGCCCTTCCATCCCTCTCCCCTCCTCTCCTTCCCTCCTCCTTTCCCTCCTCCCTTCTCTTCTCTGTTGAATTCTATTTTCTCACCACTCGGTTTATAAAGGGTGATGGCAGGGAGTTGGTGTTCCCTCTTTCCTCTAACTGCAGGCCCCTAGTCCCCAGCAGCCCCTCCCTGTCTACAGGGACAGCCTGGAGGGGAACGGCTGCCCTGAGTCACAGTCAGGGCCCTCAGGGACAGACCAGACCCACACTCAGGAGACCCCCTCCCAGGGGCGGTGCCAGCCTCACCTCGCCCAGCTTGTCAATGCCACCCTCGTTGATGACGTTCAGGTTCATGTCCGTGACCTCCTTGAAGAAGACGTCGCGCACTTCAGTGAAGCCCTGGCTGGTGGGCACCATCAGGGCCTCCAAGATGGACGGGATGTAGGGCTGGACGTGGTTCCGGACGCATACCTCCGCCTTGGGGAGGATGAAGGCTGTGCCCCCAGGGAGCCAGGTCAGCAGGAGGTCCCTGAGGAGCAGCTCCCAGCCCTCCTGGAACCCAGATGCTGAGGCTACTGTTTTACTATTATTATTGTTATATTCTTACTATTATTATTTTGTTTGAGACAGGGTCTTAATCCAATGGGAGACTGCCCAGGCCGGAGTGCAGAGCTCCCTGCAGCCTCAAACTCCTGGGCTCAAGCAATCCTCCCAGCTCAGCCTCCCAATATTGTTGTCATTTTTATTTCAACTTTTATTTTAGATTCAGGGGTGCATGTGCAGGATTGTTCCACGGGTATACTGTGTGATGCTGAGGTTTCACGTAAAATTGATCTCATCACCCAGGTAGTAAGCACGGCCCAAAAAGTAATTTTTCAGCCCTCCCCCAACTCTCTTCCCATTATTATTATTCCTATTAATTTTTGAGACAGTCTCATGCTGTTGCCCAGGCGGGAATGCAATGGCATGATCTCAGCTCACTGCAACCACTGCCTCCCGGGTTCAAGTGATTCTTCTGCCTCAGCTTCCCAGGTAGCTGGGAATACAGGTGTACACCACCAAGCCTGGCAATTTTTTTTTTCTTTTTTTCTTTTTTGAGACAAAGTCTCGCTGTCACCCAGGCTGGAGTGCAGTGGTGTGACCTTGGCTCACTGCAAACCTCACCTCCTGGGTTCTACCGATTCTCCTGCCTCAGCCTCCAAAGTAACTGGGACTACAGGCACATGCCACCACACCCAGCTAATTTTTTGTATTTTTAGTAGATACAAAGTTTCACCATATTAGCCAGGCTAGTCTCAAACTCCCAACCTCAGGTGATCTGCCCACCTCGGCCTCCCAAAGTGCTGGGATTACAGGCATGAGCCACCAATATTATTTTTAAAGAAAACCACTGGGTTTAGCAAGCTGAATGATTAGCAAGCTGAATGATTCCAGAGAAACAGTAGATCAAGACGAGAAATCCATGCAGGAAAAATGACAAGGTGTTCTGAGATTCGTCCCTGATTTTTCCAAAACCATGATGGCAAAAAACTAAGAAAACTGCCATTTAACGAGATTAATAATCAGAATATATAAGGAGCTCAAACAAGTCTATAGGAAAAAATTTTAGTAATTCAATTAAAAATAGGCAAAAAGGCCGGGCAAGGTGGCTCATGCCTGGAATCCCAGCTCTATGGGAGGCCGAGGAGGGTGGATCACCTGAGATCAGGAGTTCGAGACCAGCCTGGCCAACATGAATAAACCCCATTTCTACTAAAAATACAAAATTAGCCTGGCGTGGTGGCACATGCCTGTAATCCCTGCTACTTGGGAGGCTGAGGCAGGAGAATCACTTGAACCTGGGAGGCAGAGGTTGTAGAGCCGAGATCACGCCATCGCACTCCAGCCTGGGCAACAAAAGCGAAACTCCATCTCAAAAAAAAAAAAAGTGGGGGGTGGCAAGAGATTTGAATAGACATTTCCCCAAAGACATACAAATGGCAAACAGGCATATGGAAAGGTATTCAACACAAAGAGTCATATGAAAAGGTATTTGACATCACTTATCAGAGAAATGCAAATCAAAACTACAGTGAGATGCTACCTCACCCCAGTTAAAATGGCTTTTATGCAAAAGACAGACAATAACAAATGCTGGTGAGGATGTGCAGAAAAGGGAACCCCCATGCGCTGTTGGTGGTGTGAAAGGAAAGTATCTTAGGCCCCCAAATTCACTAAGCTAAGGGAAAAGTCAAACTGGCAACTGCTCAGAGCAAACCCACCTCCCGTTCCATTCAGCCACCCTCCCTCACTCAGATAAATGCAGATCTGATTGCTTCTTTAGGAGAGGCTCATCAGAAACTCACAAGAATCCAACTATTAGTCTCTTTTCTTTTTTTTTTTTTTTTTTTTTTTGAGGGAAAAAGAGAAAAAGAAGGGGAAAAAAAGAAAAAGAGGGAAAAAGGAATATTACTTCATTCCTAAAATGGGTTTCAATAATGGCCAATCAATATTTTGAGTGTTTTAAAGTGGTTAATGCATATTTTATGTGTTTAAAATGGAGACCTCTATTGTGTTTATTTGTTCTGGCTCTGAGTTCAAGTCCTGGATATCGTTATCAATTTGTTGTCTCGTTGAATCTAAGTCTCATTATGTGTCTTATGTATCTGGGTGTTAAGATCTCTTACTGTTGCATTAATCCTTTTACCCTTGCATCCTTGTAGCTTTGAAATCTATTTTATTAAGTGTGAGAATTGCAACTCCTGCTTTTTATTTATTTATTTTTGCTCTCCATTTGGTTGGTGAGTTTTTTTCCATCCCCTTGAGTCTTTGTATATCTTTAGATATATCGTTAGATTTTGTGGATAATGTATATTTTGTGTGTTTAAAATGGAGAGCTCTATTGTGTTTATTTGTTCTGGATCTTAGTTCCAGTCCCGGATATCGTTATCAATTTTCTGTCTCGTTAAATCTAAATCTCATTATGGGTCTTATGTATCTGGGTGTTAAGATCTCTTATTATTACATTAATCCTTTTACCCTTGTATCCTTGTAGCTTTGAAATCTATTTTGTCAAATGTGAAAATTGCAACTCCTGCTTTTTATTTATTTATTTTTGCTCTCCATTTGGTTGGTACGTTTTTTTTTTCCAACCCTTTATTTTGAGTCTATATATATCTTTGGATATACAGTTAGATTTTGTCTGTATCTTTTGATTGGGAGATTTGGTCGATTTAAATTTAGGATTGCTGCCATTTGATATTAACTGGCTATTTTGTCCTTTCGTTGATAAAAATTCTTCTTTACGTTAATGCTCTTTACTTTTTGGTGTATTTTTAGAAAGGGTCATACTGGTTGTTCCTTTCTGTGTATAATGCTTCTTTTAGAAGTTCTTGTAAAGCAGGCCTGGTGGTAATAAAATCTCTGAGTACTTGCTTGTTCCTAAAAGATTTTATTTTTCCTTCAAATGTAAAGCTTAAATTGGCAGGGTATGAAATTCTGGGCTGAAAGTTCTGTTGATTAAGTATATTGAATATTGGCCCCCACTCTCTCCTAGCTTGTAGGGTTTCCGTTGAGAGATCTGCTGTAAGCCTAATAGGCTTACCTTTATGGGTAACCTGATCTTTCTCTCTGGCTGCCCTTAATATTTTCTCCTTCATTTCGATCTTGGTGAATCTAACGATTATGTGCCTTGGGGTTGGTCTTCTTGAGGAATATCTTTGTGGTGTTCTCTGTATTGCCTGGGGTTGAATAGTGTCCTGCTTTGCTAAATTAGGAAAATTTTCCTGGATAATGTCCTGGAGAGTATTTTCCAGCTTGAATTCATTCTCTCCGTCACATTCAGGTACACCAATCAAGCGTATATTAGGTCTTTTCACATAGTCCCATATTGCTTGGAGACTTTGCTCATTCCTTTTTATCCTTTTTTCTCTATTCTTGTCTTGTCGTTTTGTTTCATTAAGTTGATCTTTGACCTCTGATACCCTTTCTTCTGCTTGATCCATTCGGCTGTTTAAGCTTGTACATATTTCACTAAGTTCTCGTGTTGTATTTTTCAACTCCATAAGTTCATTTGTATTCCTCTCTATATTGTCTATTCTTTTCAACATTTCATCGAACCTTTTTTCCAAGTTCTTAGTTTCTTTACATTGGGTTAGAACAAGTTCCTTTAACTCCCAGAAGTTTCTTATCATCCACCTTTTAAAGCCTACTTCAGATAATGGAACACAGTCCTTTTCCATCAGGGCTTGCTCCGTTACTGATGAGTCCTTTTCCATCAGGGCTTGTTCTGTTACTGATGGGTTCTGATTTTGTGTATACTCGGCCTTCTTAGGCTTTTTCCCTTCATTGTAGATGAACCGCCTTTCTAATTAGGTTTCTAAGTCGACGTCCAACTTATTGATTCCCAGTGCTGGGATCCAAGCAACCCACTGTGGCAGCCTAAAATGGCAGAGATTCTTCTGCCCGGGAATCTCTGGTCTGGCTTCCCTCTTGAGTCCGCAACAAGCGGCTCTGACTTCCCGGAGCTCCAAACTCCGGTCAGTAGGGGAAGCAGTCCCGTTGGCTCTGCATGAAGAGCTGCTGCGCCGAGACGCCGGCAAAACCGCTGCGGCGGCCACAAGAGTTGCGCTGGCGACCCGTGGGGCTCCTCCACTGGGAATCGGCTGATCGGTGAGTGATGAAAATTCGTCTAAAAGTGTGGCGTCGTCTCGTCCTCTGGGCTTCACTGGGAGCTACAATCCTGAGCTGTTAGTGGTCGGCCATCTTGGATCGATTCCATCTATTAGTCTCTTTTCTTCCTATGACCTGGAAGCCCCCTGCCTGCTTTTCCTTTGAGTTGTCCCGCCTTTCTGGACAGAACCAATGTTCATTTCACTTTTTCTTGAGACAGGGTCTTACTCTGTCACCCAGGCTGGAGCGCAGTACCTTGCTTTCGGCTCACTGCAGCCTCTGCCTCCCAGGTTCAAAAGATTCTCATGCCTCACTCAGCCTTTCAAGTAGCTGGGACTACAGGCATGCACCACTACACCCAGTTAAGTTTTGTATTTTTATTAGAGATGGGGTTTCACCATGTTGCCCAGGCTGGTTTCGAACTCCTGACCTCAAGTGATCCACCCGCCTCGGCCTCCCAAAGTGCTGGGATCATAGGCATGCGCCACCATGCTGGCCCATTTTACTTAAGTTGATTGATGTCTCATGTTTCCTTAAAATGTATAAAACCAAGCTGTGCTCTGACCACCCTGGGCCCCCGTCACCCGGACCTCCTGAGGCTGTGTCATGGGTCCATGTCCTCAACTTGGCAAAATAAACTTTCTCATTTAACTGAGACCTGTCCCAAATTGTGTGGGTTCACAGTGGGATGTAAATTAGTACAACCACTAAGGACAGACTGGAAGCTCCTCAAAAATCCAATAGAGCTACCATACGATCCAGCAGCCCCTGCTGGGCATCTACCCACATAATCAGCCTGTCACAGAGAGACCTGCACTCCCATGTCGGTGGCAGCTCTGTTCATAACAACCAGGATTTGGAAGTAATCTAAGGGTCCATAACGGATGACTGGATAAAACAAACGTGGTGCATACACATAATGGAGTACTATTCAGCCATAAAAAAGAATGACATCCAGTCATTTGCAACATGGATGGAGCTGGAGGTCCTTCTATTAAGTAAAATAAGCCAGGCACAGAAAAACAAACATCACACATGTTCTCACTTATTTGTGGGACCTAAAAATTAAAGCAAATTGACATTTTGGAAGGGGTCAACCCTGTGGGGGCAACAAAAAAGATAAAAAAAAAAAAAACCACCACCAAAAAACCAAAGCAATCAAACCCATGGAGAGAGCGAGCAGAAGGATGGTTACTAGAGGGTGAGTGGGTAGTCGAGATGAGGGGGAGGTGGAGATGGTTAATGGGCACAAACAATAGAACCGTCAGAGGCACTTGAACCAGAGTCACTCCATCTTGAATAGGTGCTGGGTAAAAGGAGGCTGAGACCTACTGGGCTGCATTCCCAGACAGTTAAGGCATTCTAAGTCACAGGATGAGACAGGAGGTCAGCACAAGATACAGGTCATATAAGCCTTTCTGATAAAACAGGTGGCAGTAAAGAAGCCAGCCAAAAACCACCCAAACCAAGATGGTGACAGAGGGTGACCTCTGTCGTCCTCACTGCTACACTCCCACCAGCGCCATGACAGTCTACAGATGCCATGGCAACCTCAGGAAGTTACCCTACAGGCTCTAAACAAGGGAGGCATGAATAACCCACACCTTGTTTAGCATAACATCAAGAAATAACCATAAAAATGGGCAAGCAGCAACCCTCGGGACTGCTCTGTCTATGGAGTAGCCACTATTTATTCCTTCACTTTCCTAATAAACTTGCTTTTGCTCTATGGACTCGCCCTGAATTCTTTCTTGCTTGAGATCCAAGAACCCTCTCCTGGGGTCTGGATCGGGACCCATTTCTGGTAAGAGAATGAATGAATAAGCCCTAGTATTTGATAGCACAACAGGGTGACTAGAATCAATAATAATTTAATTGTATACTTGGCCAGGCGCAGTGGCTCACACCTGTAATCCCAGCACTTTGGGAGGCCAAGGTGGGTGAATCACCTAAGGTCAGGAGTTCGAGACCAGCCTGGCCAACATGGTGAAACCCCATCTCCACATATTTTCAAAAATTTGTTTTTTAAAAATTGTACACTTAAAGAAAGGGCAGGTGTGATGGCTCAAGCATGTAGTCCCAGCACTTTGGGAGGCTGAGGTGGAGAGATCACCTGAGGTCAGGGTTTGAGACCAGCCTAGCCAACATGGTAAGATCCTGTCTCTACTAAAAATACAAAAATTAGCTGAGTGTGGTGGTGCTCAGTGGGCACTCTTTTTAAATTTTTTTAAATTTTTAAAAAAGTTTTCCCCAGCCAAGACCTCTTCTCTACAAACAATTTAAAAATTAGTTGGGCATAGTGGCATGCACTTGTAGTCCCAGCTACTCAAGAGGCTGAAGTGGGAAGATTGCTTGAGCTCAGGAGGTCGAGGCTTCAGTGAGCCAGGACTGCACCACTGCTTTCCACCTAGAAGACAGAGCAAGACTCTGGCTCTTAAAAAACAGGCTGGAAGCCGTGGCTCACACCTGCAATCCCAACACTTTGGGAGGCCAAGGTGGGCAGATCACAAGGTCAGGAGTTTGAGCCCTGCATGGCAAAACCCTGTCGCTACAAAAATACAAAAATTAACTGGGCTTGGTGGCACATGCCTGCAGTCCCAGCAGCTACTCAGGAGGCTGAGGCAGGAGAATTGCTTGAACCCAGGAGGCAGAGGTTGTGGTGAGCAGAGATGGCACCACTGCACTCCAGCCTGGGTGACAGAGGATAAACTGACCTGGGAAAGCTACACTTGCTGAAAGTAAGTGTACTATAAAATGACACATGGTAAAATTTGTGATGAGTTAGAGATAAAAAGAAGGCTTGAGGCCAGGCTCGGTGGCTCACCTGAGCTTGGGAGTTCAAGACTAGCCTGACCAACATGTAGAAACCCCGTTTCTACTAAAAATACAAAATTAGCCGGGCATGGTGGCACACGCCTGTAGTCCCAGCTACTCAGGAGGCTGAGGCAGGAGAATCGCTTGAACCCAGGAGGCAGAGGTTGTGGTGATTCAAGATCACACCATTGCACTCCAGTCTGGGTAACACGAGCAAAGGAAACTCTGTCTCAAAAAAAGAAAAGAGAGGCCGGGCACGGTGGCCCACGCCTGTAATCCCAACACTTTGGGAGGCCCACGCCTGTAATCCCAACACTTTGGGAGGCCAAGGCAGGTGGATCATCTGAGGTCAGGAGTTCAAGACCAGCCTGGCCAACAAGGTGAAACCCCCATCTCTACTAATAATACAAAAAATTAGTCGGTCATGGTGGCATGCACCTGTAATGCCAGCTACTTGGGAGGCTGAGGCAGGAGAATCGCTTAACCCAAGAGGCAGGGGTTGCAGTGAGCTGATATCACACCATCACACTCCAACCTAGGTGACTGAGTGAAACCCCATCTCGGCGGGGAGGGTGGGAGGCTTGAACCTACTGAACAAAAATTTTTATATTCAAGATCTGGGTTTTTAGAAATCATAGCCACAAAACAACTCACAGGGGTTGGAGGACCACAGTGCAGATTTGACTCTAATTTTTTTCTTCCCAGGCAGTGCTGAAGAAATTGACTTTAATTTTTACAAAGGATCAATGAGCAAGTCATTGCTGTGAAACTCACATGGATCATGGAGGGCCCATCGGACATGAGGGTGGTGCCTACCTCGGATCTTGCTGGCAAGGTGCTCCTTGGAGGTGATGATTTGGTCCATGTCTGTGCGGATGACGGCCTTCATGGCCGGCCGCGCCTGCTGCACCTTGGCTAGCACCTCCTCGAAGCGTGCCTTAGCCTGTTCGTACACCATGCGGTACACGGCGTCCGAGATCTGTGGGCAGAGCAGCTGCATGGGCACCGGGGCTGTGGGCACTGCACCAGCTGCAGGTCCCGGCACCAGGGCTGAGAGCGCCTTGCCAGCTGCAGGTCCCGGCACCAGGGCTGAGGGCACTGAGCCAGCTGCAGGTCCCGGCACCAGGGCCGAGGGCACTGAGCCAGCTGCAGGTCCCGGCACCAGGGCTGAGGGCACTGTGCCAGCTGCTCCCCCCCCCCCCGCCCCACTCCAGGGCCCCAGGCCCACCCACCTGGATCCACTGCCGCTGCCGCTCCTGTGGTTTCCCCTTCAGCCGCGGGGCGAGCTCTGCCTTCAGCTCAGGGCCCAGCTCCTCCATCACCAGGTTGCTCAGGATCTAGGTTGAGGAGGCACAAGCCAGGGCAGGGGTGGAAGCACGCTCAGGTGGCCTGTTTCTCTCTGCATTCTTGCAAGCCAGGCACTCCAGCCCCTACCTCCTCCAGGCCTGGCCCATTGTTCAACCCCCACACTGCCCTCTCTCTCCTGAGCTTCATTCCCACAGGTCCTGACCGATCTGCCTGGGTGTCCTGCAGGATCCTCAGACTCGGGGGCCAGCCCCAGGGCCTTTGCATAGGCTGTCTCCCCTGCCTGGAATACCACACTCCCTGCCTGCTTTGTCTGCACATGGAAGTGTGCACTGATTTGCTGAATGTCTGTTTTTCCTGCTAGACAGAGAGAGTCAGGGATGTGTCCATATGTTTCCCAGTTGCACCCTGGCACCTCGTCCAGGGTAAGTGCTCAGGTGCTCAGTAAATGATGAATAAAATAGCAAGTATCTCCATTTGCATGGGCCCTGCGCCTGTCCAAATCTGAGCCAGTCATCTTCCAAACCAGCAGCGCCCCAGAGCCCCGTGTCTGTACCCAGTGCCCCCCACCCTCCCCGGCTGGGTCCTCACATGACTTCCGAGGTCTCCTCCCCAGCCTGCCTGGCCTCACCTGCACCTCGTTCCCGCACAGCATCTCCCAGGTGCCATACAGCTCCTTGGACTGGCGGTACATGCGGATGGCGTCTGTGAAAGCGGGGCCCTCCACCTTGGAGTCCTCAGGGATTCCTGCCCAGGAGAGGGAGCGGGAGAGGTCAGCAGATGGCCCAGTGGCCTCTACCAAGATCAGCTGACGACTCACCAGAACTTCCCCACACATATAGCGTGCACCTCGGGAGGGGCAGCTGGGAATCCCCCCACTGCCCTCGTGGTCATCAGAGCAGTCATGGTTTTATCTGATAGCAAGAGCGGTAATGACCCCACCACCAACAGCAGCAAGGCAGCCCCCTTGCCTCCTCCTTAGCTCCTGAAATCCTCCCAGCACCCCAAGGCCTGGACACTATCGTTCACCTTGCTTTACAGATGAAGAGAGAACCAGCTGGAGGACAGGCCACAGGCCCAGGGTCACAGGGCAGAGTGGCAGAGCCAGGACTGAAAGCTCCCATCTCATGAGCGGCCACCCAGAATGGCCCTGGAGGCACCCAGATACCCTCGTTCTAGCCCCAGTTCCTCCCTTACTGCTGGACCACGGCCCTTCGAACTTTGCCCGGAACAGGCTAGACTAGCTACTCTCAGCCCTGCAGGCCATAAAACCCCTCCTGCAATGCTCGCCTCTACCGTCACAGCACAGAAACCACGGACCATCCAGAAACAAACGAGCGTGCCTCTACTCTGATAAGCTTTGTGAACAAAAACAGGCAATTGGCTGATTGGGGCCCACAGGCCATAGACTGCTGAGCCTGGTTCTAGATCGCTGAACCCAAGAAGGCCTGTTTCCTCTTCCCAACAATGGGAACAGTGACCGTGGCCTGGCCTCAGAGACCCACTGTGGGGCTCCATGGGCCACAGTATAGGGACGGGAGAGCAAGGCCCAGCACTGCCCTGACCACACTTTTTATCAATAACTGAGGAGCCCACTGGCTGCCCCACCAGGCCCAGGGTCTGTCCTGTTCACCGCTGAGTCTACGTCAGTACCTGGCACAGACAATTGAATAATTTTGTTAAAGAATGAAGCTAGGCTGGGTGCAGTGGCTCACACTTGTAATTCCAGTACTTTGGGAGGCCAAGGTGGGGGATCATGAGGTCAGGAGTTCAAGACCGGCCTGGCCAACACAGTGAAACCCTGTCTCTACTAAATATACAAAAAATTAAAAATTAGCTGGGTGTGGTGGCGGGCGCCTGTAATCCCAGCTACTTGGGAGGCTGAGGCAGGAGAATCACTTGAACCCGGGAGGTGGAGGTTGCAGTGAACCGAGATCACGCCACTGCACTCTAGCCTGAGCAACAGAGCCAGACTCCGTCTTGAGAAAAAAAAAAAAAAAACGAAGCCAGGCACACTGGCTCACACCTGTAAGTAATCCCAGTACTTTGGGAGGCTGAGGCGGGGGGATCACTTGAGGTCAGGAGTTTGAGACCAGCCTGGCTGACATGGCAAAACCCCATCTCTACTAAAAATACAAAAATTAGCTGGGTGTGGTGGTGGGCGCCTGTAATCCCAGCTACTTGGGAGGCTGCAGCAAAAAAATCACTTGAACCCAGGAGGCAGAGGTTGCAATGAGCCAAGATTGTGTCACTGTACTCTAGCCTGGTGACAGAGTAAGACTGTCTCAGAAAACAAAAAAAGGAAGGAAGGATTTACTATTGATAACAACTGGAAAAAACACCATTTCTGTATTTGTGTCACTGTTGGTGCTGTCAGTGGCCCAAAGGCCAGTGAGGTGGACCCAAGTGAGGCGTGGTCCACCTCACTTGGATGGACAAGACTCTGTGCTGGGGAGGCAGTTGGCAGGAGAAGTTGCAAAATCAGACTTGGGGTAAGAACGTGGTTAAACACCACTGAGCCAGGCAGCAGGCAGGCTCCCCTGGCTGCGTGCCTCTGACCATCATGTCCCCAGAGCCCAGGAAGGGGAAACGGAAGCCTGTGCATCAGAAACCCAAGGCTCCCACTGCCATGACTATGGGCTGAGTCACCATGGCAGAGAAAAAGCCCCTCACTGGGTCCCTCCCTCCCCACACCCAGCTGACCACAGAAATCACTGCCTGTCAGAGCCGCAAGGGAGCTGAGCAGGGGGAGGCCCAGTGCTCATCCCTACAGCGCAGCTGCCTGGACAGGTACGGGGGACTGTGGGAGTCTCACCCCTGCATTTCAGGGACTGGAAGTCAGGCAGGAGGGACAGGAGCAGGGCAGATGTTCCAGCCGGGGCAGCATGCAGAGCCCTGGGTGGGCGCTGCCTACCCGGGCCAGAGGAGGTGATCCCCCCGCAGCTCCAGCAGCCTCTGAGGAGGGTAAGATCTCCTAGAAACTGAGTTTTGACTGGAAAATCTGGATGATGCGTTACCTGCAGGCTCCCCCACAGGGAGAGGGAATTTTCATTCTGCACGAACCAACTCAGGTGTGCAGGGTGGGGCCGCTTTCCAGGTGGCAGGAACGTGAGACAGCGGGGCTGGGGAGAGGCCAGCCAGCCTCAAGCCTTGGGACTCACTTTCTGCACACCCAGCTGCTGAGTGTGACAAGTTTCAGGGTCGCCCCTCCTGAGCTCTTCCCATGAGCTCAGCTCTTAGGGACTGAAGCATGCCTTCACATGCCCCACATTCATACACTGAGTCCTAACCCCCAGTACCTCAGAACATGATTGTATTTGGATCCAGAGTCTGTCTTTTCTTTTCTTTTCTTTTTTTTGGAGAAGAGTCTCACTCTGTCACCCAGGCTGGTTGCAGTGGTGCAATCTTGGCTCACTGCAGCCTCTGCCACCCGGGTTCAAGCCATTCTCCCACTGTAGGCTGCTGAGTAGCTGGGATTACAGGCACCCCCCACCATGTCCAGCTAAATTTTTAATTTTCAGTAGAGATGGGTTTTTACCACGTTGGCCAGGTTGGTTTCAAACTCCTGACCTCAAGAGATCCACCTGCCTCAGCCTCCCAAAGTGCTGGGATTACAGGCGTGAGCCACCATGCCCGGCCTTGGTCCCAGGGTCTTAAAGAGAATTACCATGGGCCCAAATCCAACACAATTAGTACCCTTAAAAGAAAAGTACATTTCTTCTTGAAAGAAGAGAAAACACGGGCACGCAGAGGCATGAGCCTGTGAGGACTCGGGGAGAAGGCGGCGGCCACCAGCCAAGAAGGGGCCTCGAAGAAACCAGGCCTCCAGTGGGGAGAGAACAGATTCCTGCTGTGTAGCTGCCCGGTCTGTGGTATTCATTATGGCAGTCTTGGGAAACTGACGCCCCAGCCCTGGCTGAGGCTACATACATCAGCTCACTGAATCCTCAACCCACTGCCCTACTTTTCCCAGAGAAAGAACTAAGGCTCAGAGAGGCAGTTACTGCTCAAGGCCACTCAGCTAGTGGATGGCAGAGCGGGGCTTGAACCCAGGACCAGCTGACTCATTCCTCACTCCCAGCAGCAGACAGAGGGGGACCACGGTCAGACAGGAAGACCTCTGCACCCCAGGCTCACATTGAGGACCCAGCATAGCCAGTGCCCCAGCTGCCTCCTGCCACCCCCAGCTGCTCCAGGAATGCAGGATGTGAAGGGGGCCTGGGACCGCTGGTGTCTGCCCAGCTTGGCCTCCTTCCCCCCACCCCCCACTTCCTGGCAGCCCCTGGAGTGAGCAATTCCAGGCTCCACAAATTCCAAGCCCAGCCTCCGAGACGGAGGAAGCAGAGAACTTTCTCACAGTCCATGGGGTGGAAGGCAGGCCTGAAACCAGCCTCGTCAGCTCCCAGCCTGGGGTGAAGGGGCCACCCGGCAGGACACCTTCCTGGCACAGGACACCCCTTCATTCCCTGGCCCAGCAGCTCTCCTGGGCCTCCCTCTGCTCCACTACACCCTAGACCCAAGAATCCCCCCATGGCCTCCACGCTGAGCGCTCACTGTGCATGCCAGGCTCACCGCCAAGAGCTCCACGCAGACCAGCTCTTCCCAATCAACTCTCCAGCTCGAGTTTATCATCATCCCCACCGTACACATGGGGACTGAGGGTGGCCCTTCCCCACCTTGCTCTGTACCCACCCCTTCCCTATCTGGCACATTCTGCCAGGCCAGGTTAGCCGTTAGCCTTGGAAACCTGGAGGAATGGCACCAAGCCAGGGACTGCAGAGGCGAAGAGCCCTTGGCCAGGCAGCCAGAGCCTTGAGTGCCTCCACCCAGTCCCAGCCCAGCCCACAGCACTCGGGACCCGGGAACAGGAGGCCCTTTGTGGGCGGCTGGGCCCAGGTGGCAAGGGCTGGCCTGGCTGAAGACCTGGCTCGGCAGAGGCCAGACAGAGCAGAGGCAACTCTGGAGGGGTGAGCAGGAGGGGTGGAGTGAGCCCAGGCCTGTGGCAGCAGCTTAGAGGCCACCGGAGCCCACCCTGTTCCCTGCAACCTTCCACCTCTGCACCGTGTGGCACTGCGCCCAAGGGTGGAGCGGGGGCAGGCGCCTCCCTCAGGCCAGATCACCAGAAAGCAGTTCAGGGTCCAGGACTGCATTTGCTTCTTCCCCGGGGCACAACCCTCACCTTGGAAGGCACAATCCTCAGCCTTCCTGATCAAATTCCTTAAAGGGCTTCAAGGCTCTTCCAGACCTGACCCCAGAGGCCCTCCCTCCAGCCCCATTTCAGGTCATCCCCTCCCCGCTTCAGGGCCTTGTGCAGTTCCTCCTCCAGGCCCGCCCCTACACCACCTGTGGCTCTCCCTTCATGCTGGCTGCCTACTTCTGCCTGGCACACTCCTCCCCTCTCCTCTATGAAGGATGTGAGGGGCCCTGGCATCTCCTCCTTCAGGACTCGGCTGAGGCTGAACCATAACCTCCTCAAGGGAGCCTGCCCTGAACAACCCCTCCCCCAACACACACACACCCTCAAGGCTCCCGGGGTGGCTCCGCCCAGCAGCCAGCATAGCTGTGAGCTATCACCCCAGCTACCACATCTGTCTAGCATCTGTCTCCCCTGCCAGACTGACAACTACATGAGGGCAGGGAATGTTTCTTGCTCCTTTGTTGCACCCCAGTGCCTAGATCTGGGGCTTCTCAGAGTAGACACTAAAAATGTTTGTTGAATAAATGAGTGACCTGGAAGAGTCACCTCATAAGTTTACAGATGAGAGCAATGAGGCCCTGAGGGAGGCAGTGAGGTTTCCAAATCACCCTGCTGGTTGGTGGAGGAAAAAAAAAGATATTAAAAAAAAAAAATCTTTACCAAGCATGAGGTAGACTCTGTGAATCCTCACAAACCCCTTAAAACACACAGGGAGTATCCCCACTTTACAGAGGCTCCAAGAGGTAATTCGGTTCCCTAAGATCATATAGCTGGAAAATAGAATCAGGATTGTGACTGTGACTCAGCATCCAAGGGATCAACAATGACACCCCTCTGTGAATAATTTCCTAATTTTTTCCTAAGCAGCACAAAACTGTTTTCATCAAGAAGGAAGATTAAGGGTGGTATTACATGGTTTCTTATAACCCCAGAAGAGAAATCAGAACAGCTTGTAGAGCAGGGTTGCCACACCACACCCAGCCACTAGGTGTCACCATTTAGCAATAACCCAGGTCCTGCCCCTCCCTCCTGCCACCCCTGCACCCACAGGCTGCTCACCATTGTTGCAGTGCCGGATGCAGTCCTGCAGCACAGCCTGCCACTTGTCCTGCTCAGCTTCTGTCATCATGCAGAAGTAGTAGTGACGCGCGTGAGGATGCCAGAGGATGAGTGGGAACTGTGTGGGGCACTTGAGGATGGGTGCACTGCCTGACTTTGCTGTGGTCCCTGTGGAGACAGAACCTGCTGAGCAAATACCTTCTGTGGTTACCCTCAGAGAGTAGAGGATGGCAGAAAACTGATCCCTTGAGCCCAGCTGAGGCCAGGCTCAGGCCCAGAGAAGGTTGGCATGTCCCGGGCTGACCAGCGAGCCAGGGGGTTTTCTGGCTGTCCTTCTCAGCTCCAAACCGGAGTCCAGCATCTGTGCAGACCCATTTCTTTCCTTCCTTTCCTTTCTTTCTTTCTTTCTCGACAGAGTCTTGCTCTGTCGCCAGGCTGGACTGCAGTAGCATGATCTTGGCTTACTGCAACCTCCAACCTCTGCCTCCCGGGTTCAAGCTATTCCCCTGTCTCAGCCTCCCAAGTAGCTGGAACTATAGGAGCATGCCACCATGCTCAACTAATTTTGTGTATTTTAGTAGAGAAGGGGTTTCACCATGTTGGCCAAGATGGTCTTGATCTCCTGACCTCATGATCCGCCCACCTTGGCCTTCCAAAGTACTGGGATTAGAGCATGAACCACCATGCCTGGAGAGACCCATTTCTCAGAGTGGGTAATAAGTCACATCCATCCCACTCTTGGGTAAGGTTCTAAACTCTGTGTAAAGCACAAACAACACAAGGTCAGAGACCCCAGGTTCAAGAGCCAAGCACTACCTTCTTGGGTTTCCCTTCAAATATCAGCTGTGGAGGCCAAAGTGTGGCTTAAGTGTCCACATGGGGAGGGAGGCATGTGGGGAGGCACAAAATACAGCAAAAGGAATTTTTCCCTCCTTCGATTTCATTCTCAAGGATGTATAAGATCCAGCAAGATAGCTGGTCCTGGGCTGTGACTCTACCACTGTTGTTAAGAATACAACAATAACAGTTATTCTCTCTGCCCTGGCTCTGGGTTGGGCTGTGCTGGGCACACAGCCCCTCCAGGGTCCACACAACACCCTGCGGGCAGTCCTCTTAGTGCCTGTGTTTTGTAGGCACTGAAGAGGCTGAGATTCAGAGGGGGGAGTGACTCACCCGAGCAGACACAGTGAAACAAAGCCAGAGTCACACTGGAATCCAGGATGCCGCTCACCCGAGCCCTCCATCACCACAGAATTAAAGCAAGACTCTACTTTCAAGTCCCTGGGGCACAACCTGCCCCCCAGGTGGGGATGTCCCCTGCCCCCTGGTTCCCAGGGATCATCAGAGAAGCTGGTGTTGTTCCTGTCAGGCTGCTGGGGAATTTCAGCCAAGGTGAAGCAAAAGCAGGATACCAAGAAGAATAAGTCCTAACACATGCAGTCGTGACTCACAGATTTACAAGGCAATGTCACCAGACATCTCCCAGGAGGCCCTCAAGGACTTAGGGAGATGGGAAAGGCAGACGGTGAGGTCCCCATTCACAGCTCTAGGCCTAGCTGGTCTCTCTGCAAATGTGGGGCTGAAAGCAATGGGCTCAGGGCCACCCCTCCCCTGGCCAGCTCCAGAGGCCTGTGGAGGGCATCGTGGCCTGGGGTGGGTGCTCCTTTACCTGGTAAGGAGTTGCCAACAAGCTCCAGGTATTGGTCCACGGAAGTGAGGATTTTGTAGCCTGCACTGTTGATGACAGCTCGTGGTGGGACTTGCCGCTCATAGGCCTGAGGAAAGCAAGAGAAATGATCCCTGAGGGTTAAGGGTGTGGCCAAGCCCAACTCCCACCTGGCTTCAGAGCCCTACTCAGTGTGGCCCAAAGTAAGGAGGAGAAGGGGAAAGAAGAGGAGGCAAGAGAGGAACAGAGGGAAGGGTGTGACTCTCATGGTGATTAGAGCAGTATGGTATAGCATCCTAGACCCCGGCTCTGGGCCCAATTCCTAGCTTCACTGGGTAGTGTCTGTGTGATGCTGAGAATAAAGTTCCTTAAATGCCTGAGCTTCAGCTTCCTCATCATAAAACCAGGGAATCAAGAATATTCAGGATGAGGAAAACATTTTAAAATAAAAATAAAACCAGGGTAATAACCATTCCTGCCTCACAGAGCCATGTGAGGATTGAGTGAGCTAATCAGTGGTGCCTGGCACACAAGGACTCAGCAAGCTGGGCCGAGGTGTTGTTCTCATTGCTGCTACTGTTGCTATTGCCTCTGCTGCCAGCAGCTCCACTAGTTATTTCTTACACATCAGGCCCTGTGCTAAGGGCATTGCATGCTTCATTTCACAGAATTCTCCCAATCCAAAACATGAACACCCACAACTTCACATAGCTGGGAAGTAGCAGAACTAGGACATGAACCAGGACTACTTGTCTCCACAGCCTGGGGTACTTGACAATTACCCTGAACTGCCCCCACCAACTTCCTAACTTCTAAGCATCACACAAATGTCCTCTGGAGGAGAATTTGCTCCAGAAACTTACACCAGTAGCAGGGGGTGAAAGCGGTTTTGATGGAATAGCTCATACAGCAGGGCTGCCATGCTACTCCCTGCCACTAGGTGTCACTATACAACCCAGCTCCTCTAAGTGGCTCAGCACCTTTCCGGCACTGATTTGCAAAACGTGGTCCCAGATCTTCACCACCACCCTAGAACTTATTAGAAATGCAAATATCGGCTCCACCCCAGATCTGAATCACACTTGGAGTGGGGGGTGAAAGCCCAGCATCCGGTCTTTCAACAAGCCCTCCAGGTGAATGGGATGCCCTACCATTTGAGAACCACTACTCTGGGGCATGAGGTTGTTCCTGACTTTATGCTGCTCTAACACTGATCTGCCCTGAAATACAGGGCAGAGGCCTGTTCTTCTGGCTGCTCTGGAGAAATATGCAATTGAAGAAATCAGGTCTGTGGCTCAACCAGGTGGGGCTTTCCCGAGGGTTCAAGGAAAAGACAAAGCAGAATCCTCCAGGAGAGGCAGGAAGCCCAGTGAGAAAGGAGGTGGCAGGAGGAAAGGAGGTGGCAGGAGGAAAGGAGGTGGCAGGAGGAAAGGAGGTGGCAGGAGGAAAGGAGGTGGCAGGAGGAAAGGAGGTGGCAGGAGGAAAGGAGGTGGCAGGAGGAAAGGAGGTGGCAGGAGGAAAGGAGGTGGCAGGAGGAAAGGAGGTGGCAGGAGGAAAGGAGGTGGCAGGAGGAAAGGAGGTGGCAGGAGGAAAGGAGGTGGCAGGAGGAAAGGAGGTGGCAGGAGGAAAGGAGGTGGCAGGGCTGGTAGCTCCTTCCAGCCCTGGAGCTGGAAGGACTGGAGAGAGATTAGAGGGATGGGGAAGAGTGAGTGACAGTTGGTTATGAGGGACAGGAGTCAGCGGTATTCCCCAGAGATGAAGAATGGGCTGCTGTCCAGAGTGCACCCAAGGCAGCCTGCAGGTTGGGTGAGGGGAGGGGCTGAGGTTGCGCTCTGGCCCTGGTGACGGTGTGAGGGTGGCTTCTGGGGCCTAAGTTTCTGAGTGGGGAGGAGGCACACGTGGAGAAGGCGAAGAGGCTCAGCGCAGCGCTGGGGCAGACCCACCACTTTGTTATCATAGAGCACCAGCCCGTAGTTGTGGGGCACGAGGCTGAAGCGGTTCCTCCACTTCTTGCTGTCCTCCTGGTACTGGAAGAGGTTCCCCGAGAAAATGATGCGCTCGTCCAGTGGCACCTGTGGGCAGGAGGGGGCGGGGAATGAGGCCCAGATCGGGGGCTGGGGGGATGCTCCCCATGAAGCTGACAGCCCAGTCAGCAGACCTGTGTGCAAGCCCCCGGCCTAGTACGTCCCCCACTTTGCATCTCCCAGGGTCCTCCCAAAGCCTCTGAAGCCTGGCTGCCTCTCACCCATTCTGCAGATGAGAAGAGTGAGGCTCAGAGCTGTGGAGGGGCTCACCCAGGGTCCAGGCAGGGTGGCAATACCAGGACTTGAACCCAGGACAGGAACCCACCTACTGCACCACGCTGCTCCTCACCCACCTACAGCTGCAGCACTGGTGCCCCGCAGTCGTTCCAGGCGCAGGGGACACACCCACAGGCCAAGACTTCGAAGGCCCCAGTGCCTGGGCAAGTCTATCCCTGGCTCTAGGCCTCCATTTCCCCTCAGGGCAATGACAACTTGAACAAGGTGGCTCCAGAGAACCTCCCAGCTCTGATCACTGATGAGACGGCCTCCCTCAATCTGGGTGGGGATGAAGAGTGCCTCTGTCTGGGGGTGTTTGACGTCTGACCCACGTCCTGGCAGGCTGGTGACCTACGTAGACTGGTGACCTACATGGGCTGCAAAGTGCCCAGACCTTCCTACAAAGCCCAACTCTGCCTGACTCACAGCGTGTTTCGTCACTTTGAGCATCAGTTTTCTCAGCTGTAAAATGGGAATCATAAGAGTTGGTACCTGACAGGCAGGTGCATAATACACAGGACCACCATGACCACTATTGGTAGGACTCAGTATCTGTGATAGCTTCCCAGCCCCAGGGACTGACTTATCTGGGGATGGGGAAGGGGATCTTTAAACCAGGGTTGGGGGCCCAGTTGGAAGCTATGGCCAAGTGCAAGGCCTCCTGAGCAGACAAACACCAGGAAGCTTTTGGAAGGAGAGAGACCACAATGAGAGATGCTTCGTCTTGGATGGGAGGGAATCCAGGGGAGTACAGTGTTCCTCTGTTTCTTAGCAAATTCTATTTGTTCTACAATAAATAAGGTGCCTTTGGCCTGACGTGGTGGCTCACCAGGTCACAAGTTCAAGACCAGCCTGGCCAACATGGTGAAACCCCATCTCTACTAAAAATAGAAAAATTAGCCGGGCATGGTGGCACATGCCTATAATCCCAGCTACTTGGGAGGCTGAAGCAGGAGAACTGCTTAAACCCGAGGGACGGAGGTTGTGGTGAGCCGAGATCGAGCCACTGCACTCCAGCCTGGGCAACAAGAGCGAAACTCCGTCTCAAAAATAAACAAGGTGACTTTTGCAAAAACAAACAATTCTCCGAAGCAGTCATGGGAGAAAGGGTGATTGTGCCTGCACCTTCCTGGCTTCCTGGCTCTGCCCAGGCCCATCCTCACAGTCCTGTCTCCTCTTGGCCCTGTGCACCCTCCACCGCGTCCCCCTCTCCCCACTCCCTCCCTGCTGCTTTTCAAGGGGAAACACAAAACACTCCTGGAGAAGCAGAGCCCATTGTGCTCACACAATAGGACCTGCAGGCTTCTTCCTACCAGGGACAAAAATATTTACAGGAAAAGAAAATGGTTCCCCTACCACCCTCCACCCTACACACAGTGGGCTTTGCCCAAGTCATGGAGCTGCCCTCAGTGGTCTATATATAAACTTCCCACACCCAGCTCAAATCCCTGTCTTTTCTAGAAAGAGCAGAGAGCTCTCATAACACCAGAGGCAAGAGGCAAGAGGCCTCTGGTTTTCCTTCCTCCCTGTTTAGGGCAGGAGCCCCAGGACACAGGGACTCGCACTCAGGGACAGGGCCAGTCCCAGCAGGAGGCTGTGCAGAAGTGGGCTAGCGACCTAGGCAGGCTTAACAACCCCCACCACCCAATCCGCCCCCAGATCCCAGGGAGCTCGCAATGGGTGGCTGGCTGTGGGTTTGGGTTTTATTTTTAAGACTTTCAAATGGCAGAGTCGTGTTTCGATTGGAAGGCCTGCAGGAAATGAAATGGAACTCGACAGCCCAGGCAAAATAGTTTAGACTCTGCAAAGCTCTCCAGTGCCTCAGTCAGAGACAGCACAGGCCCGGGGTCACAACCAGGACTCCTGTCTCAGCACCACCACCCACCGCCAGAGCCTGGACAAGCAGCTCTGCCTCTCTGAGCCTCAATGTCCACATCTGTGATGTGGGCATCATCATAGCCCCTCCCTCAGAGTGGGGCCAGGTGGCTGAGCAAACAATACAGACACAAGACAATTGCTGTTTTAGCCAGGCACAGTGGCTCACACCTGTAATATCAGCACTTCGGGAGGCCAAGGCAGGCAGATCCTGAGGTCAGGAGTTCGAGACCAGCCTGGCCAACATGCTGAAACCCTGTCTCTGCTAAAAATACAAAAAATTAGCTGGGTGGGTGGTGGACGCCTGTAGTCCCAGCTAGTGGGGAGGCCAAGGTACAACAATCACTTGAACCCAGAAGGCAGAGGTTACAGAGAGCCGAGGTCGTGCCACTGCTCTCCAGCCTGGGTGACAGAGTGAGACTCTGTCTAAAAAAAAGCAAAAACAAACGAAAAGACAACTGCTGTTTGATTATTCTTATTTTTGTTGTGTTATCATTATCACTATTTTTATTTTTTTATTTTGTCCTCTATGAGAAGAAATTTGGTTGAAATTTTATTGTATTCTATTGTTTCTAATAAAAAACAGTGTTGTTTTTATCACCACTGGTGATTAATACTCTCTCTAGTAATATGATGTTATTGTGACTTTACATTGTGATAATCCGTTTCCTGAGGGACAAAATAAGACCAAAAATACCTGCTTTTCAGGGACTGTGGGTGATTTCATTTCACTCTCCTTGCTTACCTGTTGCCATTTTTCTATAATAAATACACACTCCTGCCTCCCCAGAGTAAATGGGGCCTCACGCAGAGGAAATGCTTAACGCCCTCAGCTGGCGCCCACTTATCTTAGAATTTTAAGACTTGGGCTGCCTGTGACATTGCTTTCCAGACAGGGGAGCCATTCTGGCCCCACTCACCTGGGCAGCATCCAAGGCCTCATTTCTTTCCTTTCCTACAATACAGGTGCGCACCTGCCAGACGTCCAGGCCAGGCCACAGCTGGGCCCCTCTGCTGCCACGGGGTTAAGAAGTTACCACGACACTGGGGAATAGGCAACCTTTTCTGGATCCAAAAGCAAAGGTGATGCTCTGAGTGGCTCCAACACAAGGTCCTGATCTCCCTCCACCAGGCGGCTGCAGTCACAGCAGAAAGGGCCCTGGGCTGGCCCTGCCTCCGCCATCCTGAAGGAGCCACTTAAAGGCTCAGCCCTGGCCAGGTGCATCAGCTCAGGCCTGTAACCTCAGCACTTTGGGAGGGCGAGGTGGAAGGATCCTGAGTCCCACCCCCGGCCCTGTGTCTGAGTCAATCACAGGTTCCTTTTCCCAGAAGGCTTTGCCAGCCCCCTCTGGCCCATACTGACCCTCAGACTGGAGCCAGGCTTCTTCCAGTTCCTCACTTGACAAATATTTCCTTAGCAAACAGCATCCTACTATTTACAGCATAGCAGATCATGAGGCCAGTGACAGCACCTTCCCTGCTTCAGGCACAGCCACCCTGGGAAGGAGGTGTTCTCCCATTTGACAGATGAGTAAACTCAGGCTTAGAGGAGGAGCTTTCCTTGAACCAGAGACTATCAATACTCTAGAGCCCCAGCTCTGATGGGGGAGGTGAGCTGGGAGAAGTCACCCATGGTGACTGAAAGGATCTCAACATGATGACCTGGGTTACCCACCCATTCAGAAGTGGGAAGGAGGCTAGGCGTGGTGGCTCCTGCCTTTAATCCCAGCACTTTTGGGGGACTGCAGCTGATTTGAGACCAGCCTGGGCAACACAGCAAAAGCCCATCTCTACAAAAAAATACAAAAATTAGCTGAGAGTGGTGGTGTACACCTGCAGTCCCAGTAACTGGGGAGGCTGAGGTGGGAGGATCACTTGAGCTGGAAAGGTTGAGGCTGCAGTGAGCCATAATTGTGCCACTGCACTCCAGCCTGGGCAACAGCAAAACCCTGTCTCAAAAAAAATTAATAGGCCAGGCACAGTGGTTCATGCCTGTAATCCCAGCAGTTTGGGCAGCTGAGGTGGGCAGATCACTTGAGGCCAGGAGTTCAAGACCAGCCTGGCCAACATGGTAAAACCCCGTCTCTACTAAAAATACAAAAAAAAAAAACCCTGGATATGGTAGGTAGTGCATACCTGTGGTCCCAGCTACTCAGGAGGCTGAGTCAGGAGAATGGTTTGAACCCGGGATGCAGAGGTTGCAATGGGCTGAGATTGCACCACTGCACTCCAGCCTAGGTGACAGAGCAAGACTCGTCTCAAAAAGGAAAAAATAATAATAATAAACAAGAGGCCAGGTGGGGTGGCTCACGCCTGTAATCCCAGCAGTTTGGGAGGCTAAGGCAGGTGGATCATGAGATGAGGAGTTCGAGACTGGCCTGGCCAATATGGTTGACGCCTCATCTCTACTAAAAATATGAAAATTAGCTGGGTGTGGTGGTGAGCACTTGTAGTCCCAGCTTCTCGGGAGGCTGAGGCAGGAGAATCGCTTGAACTTGGGAAGCGGAGGTTGCAGAGAGCCAAGATTGTGCCATTGCACTCTAGCCTGGGCGAAAGAGCAAGACTCTGTCTCAAAAAGAAAAAAATAAAATAAAAAAAAAGCAGCAGCCTAGGGAGGGGGGCCTTAAAGTCCATCACAGTAACAAGGAAAACTGAGGCCCAGAAAAGTCAAGTTACTCCCCTGAGGCCACATGATGAGGCAGCAGAACCCACCTGAGCCCTCCCAGCACCTCTCACCTTGCGCCAGAGCAGCTGGGCCTGCGGCAGCCCCGTGCCCTCAATCTCGTGGCGCATGCTGTTGAAGAGAGCCACGCCATACTGGTCTTCATAGAACTGGAGGAACTCCGTCAGGATCTTCCCGGTTTTTTCTGGAAGAGAAGAACAAACGGGAGTTTGAGGTCCTCAGGGAAGCTGATGCATCTCAGTCCTCCCCCAGGCAGGGGTGGCTGCAAAGCCCCAAATTCCTGCATGTGGAATTGTTTGCACAAGCTCCTCGCGCTCATCTGTGCTGAATTTCTGGCCAGAGCCTCGAGTTTCCTGTGAAAACCAAGTGCCTTGGTAAAGGGTGAACCTCCAGATGGGGAAGTGGGCAATGGCCATAGACAGAGAATCAAAATTCACAAATGCAAACGGGACCAAGACTCCATTTCCTCTCGTCACACTAGTGGGGACATGCAAAAACAGGCCATGTCACCCAGAGCTGGGAGTGTCAGGAATGGGGACAGCCGTTTTTCAGGGTGGGTGTCCAGTCCTTCGATGCTCCCACCTCTAGGAATCTACCCCATAGAACGAAGCGCAGGAGGCCACGGAGGTGAATGTGCACTGAGGCCATAGCGCGGGGAGGCGGCAGGGAGCAGCAGATCGTGATCTCTAGAGATGATCGCTATATACTGGTTCACCCAGGACGGTACAAAGTAAAAAGACGGAGGGGGCTGGGTGTGGTGGCTCCCAGCACTTTTAGCGGCTGAGGTGGGTGGATCAACTGAGGTCAGGGATTCTAGACCAGCCCAGCCAAGACGGCAAAACCCTGTCTCTATTAAAAATACAAAAGTTAGCCGGGTGTGGTGGCAGGCACCTGTAATTTCAGCTATTCAGGAGGCTGAGGCAGGAGAATCACTGGAACCTGGAAGGCGGGGGTTGCAGTGAACCAAGATTGCACAACGTACTCCAGCCTGGGCGACAACACAAGACTTCATCTCAAAAAAAAAAAAAGATGGTGGGACTTAGCCTGACAGGTGCCAATAAAAGGAAGGGAGCTCGTGCTCCATTACGTAAAGCAAGCCAGTGACAGAGTCAGCTGTTGACTATCATCTCATTAAAAAAACTCTTTCTGGCCAGGCGCAGTGGCTCACACCCACAATCCCAGCACGTTGGGAAACTAAGACAGGTGTATCGCTTGAGCCCAGGAGTTTGAGACCAGACTAGGCAACACACCAAGACCATGTCTCTACAAAAACAAAAGTTTGGCCAGGCGCAGTGGCTCACACCCGTAATCCCAGCACTTTGGGAGGCCGAGGTGGGCCACTTGAGGTCAGGAGTTCAAGACCAGCCTTGCCAATATGGTGAAACCCCATCTCTACTAAAAATACAAAAATTAGTCAGGCATGGTGGCAGGTGCCTGTAAACCCAGCTACTCAGGAGGCTGAGGCAGGAGAATCACTTGAACCTGGGAGGCGGAGGTTGCAGTGAATCAAAATTGTGCCACTGCACTTTAGCCTGGGTGACAGAGCAAGACTCCTTCTCAAGAAAAAAAAAATACAAAAATTAGCCAGGTGTGGCCGCATGTGCCTATGTCTCAGCTATTCAGAAGGCTGAGGTAGCAGGATCATGTAAGCCGGGGAAGGTAGAGGCTACAGTGAGCTATGATCATGCCACTGCACTCCAGCCTGGGCAACAGAGCACGACCCTGTCTCAACACACATAAAAAAAAACCGTAACGCCTCCTGTTTGTGCGTATAGATGTCTTAGGCTTGGGCGCTTGGAGGAGGTCTGGAAGACAGCACACCAGGCTGGGAAGGGCAGGACCGCTGGGTGTGGGAGTAGGGAGCACAGAGTGAGCTTCATTTTCTATTTCCTTTTATAGCATTCAAATTATTTTATAATCATGATTCCTTTCATAATAAAAAATAAACATTCTAACAGTAATGCCTCTACCGAGTGAACACCCTTTCTGCTTCCACTGGCCATTTGCTCCTGTCTCCTAAGTGGCTTCTGAGTGGAGATGAGTGTTACGTCCTTGAGAGGCTTGGGCCACATCGGGCTCAGTATGTGTGTTCCCAGGCACCCCACGTTCTGATGAAGGACCAGGCCCATACAGGGTCTTGGACCCATAAGGGGAGATGCTTCCTGTTCCTAAGAAGCTGCAGCTCTCGTCCCCACCGGGATCCGTGCTGGCCCACAGTGTGGCTCTCCTCTCTGGGCCTCAGTTTCCCCCCCATGCACTGAGAGGCTGGATTCGATGATGGACAGGCCCTGTCCCCTCTGACAGTCTTGGATTCCAGGTTTCAAAGACCTGGTCCTTTCTCAAAAGGAGCTGGCAGGACCCTGCCCCTCCCTCGGCCAGTACCAAGGGCACCTGGCTAGGATGACACCTCATACCATCTTCTCCATAGCTCTGTGAGGTAGCACCCGTGTTATCCCCACTGTACAGAGGAGGTAACTGAGGTCCAGGGAGGTTAAGTCACTGGCACAAGATCACACAGCCAATGGGTAGTGGAGTTAGGATGCAGTCCCAGGTCCCTGCCAGGAGGTGGTGGCCTGGGAGGGCTGAGAGTACATGCCACATGCCATGCCTCACAGCTCATACCCAGGGTACCGGGCACATGACCCTCCTGGATGTCTGCCTACACCCCGGGCCCTGCCTCAGTGATGGGGGTAGGGGGATGTCCCCCAATCCCTCTCCACAGACCCTGTCCCTCCCTGTGCTCCCCTTTCCTGGAATGAGGTTATATCTGTCCAGATTCCAGTTTTGGGGGAGGAAGGGGAGAACAAATGAGGAATTTGCTTTGAACGCCTATTTTTTTTTAAACCATGAACAACCAGAACTCTCTCGGAGACCCATAGGAATTGTCTTGAAAAATGATGAGGCAGAGAGGGAGCAGGTGGAAGAGTCATACACTGGGACTGATAGAGAAAAGAGGATAAAAGCCGACAGTAACATCGGTACCATCATTGTCATCATCATCGTCATCATCATCATCGCCACCATTTACAGAGCGCTAAACCTGTGCTGCGGCAGGTTTTACACATGTGAACCCAGAGAATCTCCATGAGAACCCAGCCAGTGCTGCTGTTTTCCTATTTCCCAGATGAGGAGTTCAGACACACACCCCCTGGGTATTCTATCAGTGTGGCCGGCAGGATGGGCAGGCTTGGGCCTGCAGGTCTCAGGGGTCCTTTGGCCGTGGCTCCGGGGCCCCCAGCCAGCCCTGGTGCAACCAGCCCACAGACAGAGCATTCTTTCCACACAGAGTGTTATTTCCCGAAGGGCTAGAGTCTGCCCTGGAAGGAGCTGCCATGGCTGTGAGGACTCACACCCAGCTCTGCCTGACTGCAGCCCATGCTCAGCTGCCCGGACAGCACGGCCCAGATATTGAGTCCAAGCAGGGAGTAGCTGGGTTCAAAAGGACCCCTGTGCAGAGCTGGGGAGAACACAAGAGGGCAAGATGGAGCCAGGAGAAGGCCCAGGCATGTCCCATCAAGGGACAGTTTAGGCCCAAGTTGGGCAGGGCTGTGGACCGGAGAGGAAGGTGCAGGAAGCTCTGAGGAAGAGAGGGATGAGAGCTTGGGGACCCACTACCCTTCAGGGTGGGAGCTGAAGGTCAAGGCGGGAGCTGAAGGTCAAGTCTCTGGGCCAGGGCGGTGCTGGGCCAAGGGGGCCTGGGCAAGGGCCAGGGGTCCATGGATGCAGTTCCCTCTGGGTTTCTCACATTGGCCCCTGGTGGAGACAGAGTTGCTCACTACCCAGGCTTGCTCTCAGAATTCAGGAGCCAAGTGGGTCGGGTAGGGAGGGCTGGAACTCTGCTGGAGGGTCTGGTCTCCTTTTGCTCACCATTGGATCCTGGGCACCGGGCCTGGCACAAGCAGATATCAGGGAGGGGTTGGAAGATTCAGGGGGTTGGTCCAGTGACTAAATAGTTACTAAGTCCAAACAAGAGAAGGCCTCAGGGTGGGCCTCAGGGGGAAACTGAGGGAGCAGCAGACTGGAGGTAGGGGGACGGCATCAGCAAGGGGTCAAGGACCTTAAGGGTGGTGCCCAGGCAGCACCGGGAAGCCAGCCCTGCTCAGCAGAAGGGTGGCCGCCAAGGCAAGCTGGAAAGGGAGGACCATGGGGAACAGGGCCACGGACGGCTTCTTGGCACATTCTTCCAAGCGCATTCTTGAGAGCTGTCTTCAGCAAGCGTGGAAAGAACCGCCATGTGCTTAGTACAGAGACGCAGAGGATGAGGACTTGGGCACTGGGGGCCCCAGGTGTGGAGGCCAGAGGGACCCAAAAGGCCAGCAGCACCCAGAGGGGCCTAGCCTGGACGAAGGGTCTGCAGGAGTCTTCCTGGCCAGGCCCTGTTGGAAGAGGACCCAGGTGGGCACTGCAACCCTGGCAGGGGCTCAAACATAAAACCCAGCCTGGCCACAGCCTCACCTGCTGAGCTCTGGGGCCACCTGGGTGGTGGCACCCACCCAGTACCCCACTTCTTCCCCCACCCAGTACCCCACTTCTTCCCTCCACCCAGTACCCCACTTCTTTCCCCCACCCAATATCCCACTTCTTCTCCCACCTAGTACCCCACTTCTTCCCCAGCCCAGTATCCCACTTCTTCCCCTACCCAGTACCCCACTTCTTCCCCCACCCAGTACCCCACTTCTTTCCCCCACCCAATACCCCACTTCTCCCACCTAGTACCCCACTTCTTCCCCAGCCCAGTACCCCACTTCTTCCCCCACCCAGTACCCCACTTCTTTCCCCCACCCAATACCCCACTTCTCCCACCTAGTACCCCACTTCTTCCCCAGCCAAGTACCCCACTTCTTCCCCCACCCAGTACCCCACTTCTTTCCCCCACCCAATACCCCACTTCTCCCACCTAGTACCCCACTTCTTCCCCAGCCCAGTACCCCACTTCTTCCCCCACCCAGTACCCCACTTCTTCCCCCACCCAGTACCCCACTTCTCCCACCTAGTACCCCACTTCTTCCCCAGCCCAGTACCCCACTTCTTCCCCCACCCAGTACCCTACTTCTTCCCCCACCCAGTACCCCACTTCTTTCCCCCACCCAATACCCCACTTCTCCCACCTAGTATCCCACTTCTTCCCCCACCCAGTACCCCACTTCTTCCCCCAACCCAGAACCCCACTTTTCCTTTGTGCTA